GCGATAACTTGGTCGCGCGGTACCGGCCACTGCCGTGTCACGCAGTATTTCGATCCTGGTACGAGATCTATCTCGTGCCGCACACCACGATCCGCCGGAAGCTCAGCTGGAATTTTCTACGGGAAAATATCGGCGTACTCACGGGCGATATTGTATACAGGGTTGCCTGGAGCACGAAGAGCATCCCAAGACTGTGCCGCGAAGCGTTCTTCGTGCGCTGATTTAGGCTTGGCGCTCTTCGGGCGAGCCTCCAGAACTTCTTCACTGGCTGCTTCGGTGGCTGAAACAATGCACACTTGCTCGATGTCGCCGGCCTTGAGTTCATGAAGGAAGTCTTTTCATGCAAGGTCTGGCAGAGATGTGATATCTGCAGCAGTGCACGTTAGGCTCACTTCCTCGATGTTGCGGCCACAGTGTGAATACCCCTCCACATATTTAAGCGCACATACGTTCACTACGGAATCATCTGCAATATCTTTTTGACGTAAATGGCATCGTCTCGGCGATCGGCGTGCTCCTTTCTCGCGTCCTCTTTTGCTTCTCGAGACCCTGCTCGAGACTGGCTCGTCGCTACAACAGGAGGGTGACTTTATCCACTCTAGACGTGGGAGCTTAGTCTTTATGTAACTGGCTAAGGGCCGTTACCGTCTTACACTAAAAGGGCGTTCAGGAAGCGCTCTTAATTAACTCGTAACTATAACTGTGTTATTTTTGTTTAGTTTTAATTCACATTAAGTGCGAATATGTTCCCTAGCTCATGGGAACCACTCAATATGGAAGTCAATATATTATTGGTTAATTATTGGGTCTGGCACCTCAATAATAAACCAATAGTAAAAATGACGCGCAGTATCCGCTAATCGATACTGTCCTATGCTTACTTATGTAATTATGTATTATCCCTATAACTACTTATGTAATAGGTTGCCTCATTACACATATGGCCTCGCTTGCCGCACTTGTAGCAGATCACATCTGCATTGCCTAACTCTACTGGAGTGGCATTCGACTTCTTGGCCGACGGCTTTATAGCCGAGGCACTTTTGTAGGATTGCTCCTCAACCATGGCAATGTCAATTGCCTCTTCCATCGTATTGGCACCTTTCTAAAAAGGGCCTGACATGATGGTCCATGCCGTAGTTCCATTCATGAACGTGGCCACCTTGATACGCTCCGGTATCGGACCAACATTAATGGACGCCGACAGCGAACGCATCTCCTGCACAAATTCTTGCAGAGAGCGTTTCGCCTGTAGTGCTCCAAAGAAGCGCGCCATAAGCAATACTTCGTTGTTAAGAGGCTGGTACATAGCACGAATCTTTGACTTAAAGATCGTCCATGATGGAAATGCATCATGATTTGCCATCAGCGAAGAGTATGCCCACTCTGACGCTTTGCCACGCAAGTTGGACATGGCATACGACACCATTCTGGTGTCGTCTTCGCTGAGCTGCGCCATACCACATTGCTTCAACTGCTAATAGCCAGTGAGCACTCGTGTGAGGGCTAGTTCCATCGAACTTCGGAGGGTCCATCCGAATGGGCCTCGGTTGAGTAGGCCGGGCAGAGAGCGTCTCAACAGTTCTGTTGAGCGCCTCATTCCGTGCCTGCTCATGCCTAAGCTCATCCTGAGTCTTATTGATGGACTCAGCGGTGGCTTGGCTGTTTACCTTGGACACGTTTCTACGCTTTCCGAGCACAAACGCCTCGAATTGCTCCAACTGAGCAACATGTTGCTCAGGAGGACAATGCAAGAGGTTGACCAGGGCTTGTTCACCAAGTCTCTGCGCCATATGCTCTGCCAACTCCCTATGATGTTGGGAGAGGTGAGAGAAGTCATTCCAGCCCATATTAAGGACCATTTTAACCACACGCACGCTCAGAGAGACGGGTCGTGCGAAGGACTACTAGTGCTACCAAGTTTAGACGGGCACTTCTACGAAGTTGCCTCGTGCTACTAGCACACACCTTCAGCACAAGCGAGGAAGCGGTTAGACCGTCTTACCTTCGCGTGCGAGGGTGGTTATGCGGTTGGTCGACTGCTTAAGCAGTCGTACCACCAATTGCCTCTCGCTTAAGCGAGAGTGCAACGAACTTCTAAAACAAGAAGTCACCGGCGTCACGCAGAAGCTTTTAGAGCTTCTCGTGCGCGGTGCATTCGATTTAGCAAATTCAAGACTGAGCTATATTTAATGAATTATAACTAAATATAGACTTAGCTACTGATTGGCTATATATGTATATAGATCGGATACGCGACTCTTTAGAAGCGTATCCTGTCGCATGAACTTAAATATAGATTTAAGATTGCGAATGACGTCCTTCTGAGACGTCGCGATGCCTAGCTTCAACTAGCGTCATCCCTTCCCATGTGAATCCATAAATGGATATCGCATTCACGAGGGTCGATCACACTTGTGTATCGTACCCAAGTGATAGGTCAAAAGTAATCATGGATACTTTTAGACCTTACATCTTCTATATAATAAAAAGAATTGTGTCCGTCTGTCTGTCCGTAGTGCTCCTTTTCCGGCATTCGGATTGGCTATTTTTACATTTTTGGCTAATTTGCATTGGCTGATTTTGGATTGTGCATTCAACCTAATTACAACGCTTGCTTTTAGCAAATTTGCAGTACGGATTTATGGGTACACATCATCATCAGTACATATTGTACATCAAACACAGCATTTTTTTCATATAATATGAAACACATGCTGTGTTTGATGTAGCAATATGTACAATTGTTCAGTACGCAGATTGATGTTTACCCAAAAATTTGGAGAAAATCAAGCGTCATGTCATTATGAATGCAAAATTAGCTAAAAACAATAAGTGAAATGACCCATATGTAATGTATCATACTTATTGATGTACATGAGGAACCAAATACTGTTATGTAAAACGATAAGTACGAATATTAAGAAGTAGACTTCACTCACAATGTCCAATGCAACGACGGGTACACGTTAACCTTCAAAACGACAGGTATTGGGTAAATACTGTAACTTTGTATAAATAACATGGGCTCAGTGCTTAAATAATTCAATAAAATGGCAAAAGCAAGCATTGTCAATAGGTGAAAAGTATTCAGTTACAATCAGTGAATTGACCCATATGTATTGTATCATACTCATCAATCTACCTTAGTCAATCGGATATTCTAAGATACAATGATGGGTCAATAATATATCAGCGTAGACTTTGCGCACCTATACGTCGGAACGACGGGCTATACCCTAACAGAGAAGGGTTGATGGAGCCATGATGCAATCATTCATGTATTCACCACAGCACATGCACCATCTAACAATAAATGAATGTATATTAACGCGTTCCCGAAATTCGTCAATGTGTACCCGGTGAAACGACGGGTATACATTAATCTTCATGCACATCGACTTGAATACTTATTACTTTACCTGAATCAACCGGATATCCTAAGACAAGTGATGGGCCAATATACTGTCAGCGTATAAATTGCGCCTCTATCCGTCGGTACGACGGGTGAGCACCCTAGTTAAATATATTATTTAATGTTTACGTGTAACTAGATACCCTGTTACACCCCAAGCACTGGTAAGGGTCAAAATTGTCGATTAGAGCCCTTTCATGTTCCTTTCGGAGCGATCCAACCAACCATGAAAGAAAAAATGTGAACTTCGCGGCAATGTTGGGGTGCTGGAAGGAACAATACATATGCTCACGAGTTCTTAATCAGTGCTAAGACATGCCATGAACTTCGCTTCGCGCCTGTGCTACTTACGAAAACTCTCTCTTCTTTCAAAAGTGTTAGAGATTCTTACTCCTGCATCTGTGTAGCAAACATGTTAAAAATCTTGTGCGAATCATGGACGGTTTTTGACAGTTGGGCACCCTTAGCTACTAAGCATGACAAGCATTGCGATATACACAAACATGTTGTGCGTCCCGGATGATCGGACGTTTGGATACAAATATCACTTCTCCGACTAGTAAACGGGTCGGGGGTCGTGCAGCGATTGTAAGCCAAGCTTTTGAGATTGAACCACCCTTTCGTTCGCTGTGTTCGACGATCAACGTTTGCAAAAGTCACAACATCGATGTCTATCACTTGATCATGCCGTAGTAGGTCAACTTGTCGTCTAATTCTAAGAAAAACAATCCTCAACAAAATTCCTTTGTTGATACGGTGCGTACGCGTATGACGTGCTTCCTCACGCTCTACGTTCATCGATCTCCTTGTACTACTGCAAATACATGGAGTTCGACGAACGTATAGCCGATCGGATACCTTACACTAAAGGCGAAAGTTACTGGCTCAGCCACATCGTCCGCATATTATCGTTCAATGTATCGAGTCCTCTGATGATATGGCGCCAGACGCAGTTAAGGCCGTCATATCCAAGTCTACCATACATTGCTCCATCTAGCATTCTTAAGACTAAGCGTTTTTAACATAAGGAATTCTGTTATCACGTTAGTAGGTCTGTCTCGCTTATAAAAAGCGGCTCATCGTTGCCCTAGGCTCGGTTGAGCTATTAAGGACAGTCTAAGCGATCCCATGAGAAGAGTTGTATCAAATTTAGCCGAAGTGCCGCGCTTGTGCTGCTTGTTTCGATAAGTCACTGGACTAACCATTGGATGACCAAAAGCATGTATACTGCTTGTCACCCACTGCACGCTTCCAATGCAGCACATACAAGCTAGATTGAATTCATCAGTAAGCATGACAAACATGTACATGTATTGCGCTTCTGTATCTACTGCGACTTGCATTCGTCTGTTACATTACTTTGCCACAGAACTCCTAGATGATATCACTACGACTGCGTTGATCGTTCTTAGCGAAACTTAGTTCATCTCAGCCTTAAATGCCGTGTGTATGGAATTATTGGTTAATCGGTAGGTCGGAGGACTAGTTTGTGCGTACGGAAAGTCATTGGCAGTGGCCGAAGGTGACGTACTCAGCAGGATTACTCCTAGCTCCGTTACATTAAATACTGTTCTCAACATTCGCATCAGAATGCTGGAGCTGCCATTGGAAGTTGTACAGGAAATCGATAAGCTGTCACCTGCCGCGAGACGAAAGCAGCGAGCCTCTTGATACCGACGGACGACTGTGGCATGATGAAGTGAGGGAAGAGAGTGAACACGTGAGGCATGTGCTTATGGACGTCCAATTCCACGTGCACGCTACCGGATTTGGCGTTCTTGGCGAGCTGCAGTGATTGCTGATGCAAGATGTCGAACTCTGCCGTCTGGATGAACAGCGGGGGCAGTCCATGCAGATCTGTCTGCAGCATGGCGCCTTCACGCCACGAAGACCACGGAGTCTCCTGGACACACAAGTCTCGGATGGCATCCAGCATGGACTTGGAGATGTAGCAGTGCTCCGACACGGCCACGTCGGATGACAAGTCTGCGTACGGGCAGCTGCACAATGCCGCGAGAGGCATGTCACGCCTCATTCGACGTAGTCTCAGTAGCGTAGCGAGCACTAAGCCACCGCCAGCACTGTCGCCAGCCATAATGATGTTCCGTGGTGAGACCTTCTCGTGCTTGACAAGGTAGTCAAACATGACCATAGCGTCATCCAGAGGCGTAGGAAAGCAAACCTCGGGTAGCTTTCGGTAGTTAGCGAGCAAAATCTGCACGTCCATGGAGTCGTTGGAATCCTGACAAACAGCTCGAAGCTGGCTCTGGACTTGAGTCAGCAGGCGATTCGCGAACTCCACGTAGAAGCGTGGGCTGAAGAGAGCGTAGCCTCCGCCATGGTAATACAGTATCACGATCCGTCTCTTGCTCTCCATCTTCTTGTTGTTGGATTTAGAACGCAGCCATAGATGCTCGAGCCCGTTATATCGGAAGCTCTCGAGTTTGTTGCCGTGACGCAAGCACGCCCATGTCCCCAGCAGCCGTCCAATGAGCTCGAAGTTGCGTCGGAATGCCACTGCGTTGGGCATTTTAAGGATGTGACCGCCGTTCCGTTGACCGGCAGTGAACGCGATGGCTTGGAACCACTCGTACCAGAGTGTCCACTCCAAGAATTTTGGATGCAGTCCTCGCCTGACAAACTGCAGCACGGCAACATTGGCTGCTGAACCAACATGAGCCGCTAAGATACAGACACCTCTGAACGAGAGGCAAAAGGGTCGGAGCAGTTCGTGCACCGCTAGCAGCAGCACCAATTTAGTTAGCAGCACGACGTGTGCGAGTCCGAGCCATTGCAAGTGGATCGCGTTTACCCACAGCGAGATGGCCGCTACCGTCACGAATACAGGCAGCGTGTAGGCGGCTCCGTAGCCGGAAGCGCGGCCGCTTGCAAACTTGTGGACGTGCTGTCGGACGTGCTTCATGGAGATTAAGACTTGTGCAGACAGAAACGAATTGAAAAGTGAGTGGATGAAGATCACGATCGCAAGAGGCGTTGGTGCTTTCCCTCCGATTGTGAGCAGGCACGTCAAAGCGACGACATGACAGATCAGCTGACTGAAGTGGGGCACCTCCTGAGCAACGCTACGTACCTGTTATCGTTGGTTGCGCTTCCATTCAGGTAGATGTTAGAACTTTCACGCTATCGATTACTCATGATCTCGGCTGTCGTGGTGTTGCGGAGACTACTTTCCAGAATACTCATAGTAGATATCTCTTCCTGGAAGGGAGGAATTACATGGAAGTTGTCGAAGAATGATAGACGACAACTTGATTGACAGTGTATGAAATGCTGGCACCGCTGGTCCATGGTTAACTGCGTTCGTCAAGTGGGACAAAGCACCGACTTGAGCTGCGCACAGTAGCATCATGATCGCTATCTAGTCGATTCTATGCCCTAGAGGAACATGTCATGAGAGTGGCCTTAATTTCATTCGTGAAACCTAGCGTCTCGTTCTCGCCCTCATGCATGGATGGTTCATGTCTAAATAATAGATGTAGTGGCTTAGATTGCTTACATATGAGTGGAAAGACGAATGCAAGTCGCAGTTTGCATGACGTTAAGCGCAATACATGTACACGACAGTGGGACTTGATGCTGATACTGATGATGACTCTAGGTTGGTTGTCTGTTTGTAAGCTGGCGTTGGTTATGTTTCGTTGTTTCGATAGTTCAGCGTTTTAGAAGCTGTAGTCGATGAAAGACAGTGACCAGCTTTAGTCAGTCTGCTACCGAGGTTTAGAAAGGAGTTTTCATGCTACTGTAGCAAAAGCAGGTTGTTACAATCAATTGAGGGGGTCATTGTAAATTCACAAGTATCAAGTGTCGGTCTCGCACACGTTTGACTAGCGTTTGTCTGCGTTATTGCTCGAATGTCTCTGTACTTTGCTGTACGTCGTCTAGAATATAAGTCACTCGCACTTACAGGTACTACGGCACAATTCATGGAATTTAGGCATCACTCTCACTACTGCTGTAGATGCTAGTAGAAAAGGCGGCGGTTGAACTTCTTTCGCGAGCTTGAACGAGTCGTTGGTCTCATGCAGTTGTCGATACGAGCTTCAGAGTGCAATGTTGTTGCTGTCTTGTCATGACGATATTTTAGACCGCGTGTACGGCCTTTGCGAGGAGTAGTCACTGCGTGCCGTGCCGCTTGATCCTCACGTTGAGTTGCGAGACTATCCGTCGTTTTGGCTGTCGACTGAGCTTCTTCCAATAGAGCACAATACGATACCGACTCTGGGTGTGATGCCGGCTGCGAGGGAAGTTCCGAAATCACACTTAACACAAATGGCGTCAATTGGAGTGGTGTTTCATTGTGCTCGTTTGGCTGGGGTGTGCTTGTTGGATGTAACTCCATGTTGTCGAAAAAGTGCTGGCCATCCACATCTAGCTCGAACTCTAGCAAGTCCTCGTCACAGCTATTTAAGTAGTTGTAAATCCATTCGTAGCCATCTTCAGTGGCTGTCTTGCTTGAGCAACCTCGCCAGCACATTTTTTGCCGTGTGTGTGCTGAAGCCTCTTCGTCAGCACTCAGCTTCTAGGAACTGCGCTTTTGCAGACGTTGACATTGCTGCTGAAAACGCCGTCACCAGTCGGAAAGTGCATCCATCACCCAACAAGTTTTGAAATTCAAATTGTGGGGCGCTTTGGTCTTGTGCTGATAAGAAAATGCTCCACTATACAGACATCGTCAGCAACGACAAAACTAGATGGAGATTAATGATGTAACTTTGCATACAACATCAGCATAGAGCCTTGCTCATTGTGCAGGATTCCGTACTACAGATACCACAAACTCGTAAGTTTGTGACTTCTTTGGCTTCTTTGATAAGCTTGGTTGCATTAACGTACCAGTCCATGTCGTTGGTCATTGTTGTGGACGTCTGAGCAACTACTTTATCTTTTTTGAAGTTGTTAATAATAAGAATGGTAGATCTCACAATGAAAAGCATACATGTACAAGCGCCTCACCAAGATAGTAGGTGATAGCTGTGAGCTTTGCATTCCGTGTGGCTGCATTATTGAATGCTATCATTAAACTACCAATCCTTCCTTCACGTCATAACGAGCGATGGTTTCACCAGCGCAATTCCAGCTAGCTAGACATTGATACACGTATCCAATTTCTTCATGGACAGATCGACGTGTCCACGATCTGTCTCATCGACTAATGACAGTGACAAATTTTCGGCTACAAGTGATACCAAAAGCTTTCTTCTTGCGGCTATTTGACATTGCCGATCATAGTTGGGCTACTAGTATATCGATGGATGATGGATACGCGGCCGCTGAATGAGTATTCCACGTGACGAAAACCATCTGATGAGCTTCAAATCCAGTCCTACATAATATCCACCTCTAGTAGACCCCGACGTCACCATCCTATCTTCACATTTGCCGAAGAAAACTCGTACGTCGTTCCGAGCAAGCAATGCTACCCTGTAATTCATGTTGCGTCGGAATGCATTTCTTCTGTATATGAATGATATCAAATGTTTGGCTTGACATACTGCAATACAAACCTACCTAACAATGCTTTTCAAACTCGATATGATGTCATCCACACACAGTCGCAACATATTAATTCTGTCTCGTAAAAGCGAGGAGCTCCACTCGTCATTCATTTTACCATTTGCTCCAAGCTAGACACGTATCATTCCTTCGTCCTCAATGCTTTCACGTGCTTCCGCTCCTCTGCGTCGTGCAACCTCGACGGTCGTTGGTGCTGCTCGTAACGCCAGCACCATCCAATCCATCCATGCACGTGAGATCATTGACAGCCGCGGTAACCCCACGGTCGAGGTGGACCTGACACTGTCTGGTAGCTCCGAGATCTTCCGTGCGTCGGTGCCATCGGGCGCTTCCACGGGTATTCACGAAGCCGTAGAGCTGCGTGACGGTGGCAAGCGATATGCTGGTAAGGGTGTCCAGCAAGCCGTGCAGAATGTCAAGAATGTGCTGGCTCCCAAGCTCGTCGGTGCCGACCCGACCAAGCAGCGTGACATTGACGACCTTATGCGCGAGCTCGACGGCACGGAGAACAAGGGAAAGCTGGGTGCCAATGCCATTCTAGGTGTGTCACTCGCTGTGGCCAAGGCCGGTGCTTCTGCGAAGGGTGTCCCACTTTACCAACATTTTGCAGACCTGATCGGCAACAAGAAGTTGGTACTGCCTGTGCCCAGCTTCAATGTGATTAACGGCGGCTCGCACGCTGGCAATAAGCTAGCATTCCAGGAGTTTATGCTGCTGCCTACGGGTGCTGAGAGCTTCTCCGAGGCTATGGTCATGGGCTGCGAGGTGTATCATGAACTTAAGAGTGTCATCAAGAAGAAATACGGCCAGGACGCTACCAATGTTGGTGACGAAGGTGGCTTTGCCCCCAACATTCAGAGCAACCGTGAGGGTGTAGAGCTCCTGATGACTGCCATTAACCGTGCTGGCTATGACGGCAAGATTGGCATTGGCATGGACGTCGCATCGTCCGAGTTTTTGACGAAGGACGGCAAGTATGATCTGGATTTCAAGACAGAGGGGTCCACGGAACTGTTGTCGGGTGAAGAACTGGGACAGCTGTATCAGGACCTAGCTAAGGAGTTCCCGATTGTCAGCATCGAGGACCCTTTCGACCAAGACGACTGGTTGCACTACTCGTCCTTCACTAACGCCATTGGCGAGAAGGTTCAGGTCGTGGGTGACGACTTGCTGTGTACCAATCCTAAGCGCATTGCTACCGCCCTGGACAAGAAGGCTTGCAACGCGCTACTGCTCAAGGTGAACCAGATCGGTAGCGTCACCGAGAGCGTGGACGCTGTGGCACTCGCGCAGAAGAACGGTTGGGGTGTCATGACGTCGCACCGCAGTGGCGAGACTGAGGATTCGTACATTGCCGATCTGGCCGTTGGTCTAGCCACCGGCCAGATCAAAACGGGCGCCCCGTGCCGCTCGGAGCGTCTAGCCAAGTACAACCAGCTGCTGCGTATCGAGGAAGCTCTCGGCAGCAACGCCACATACGCCGGTAAGCACTTCCGCAACCCCTCCACAATGTAAGCAACGAGAAAACGCTACAATTGCCCAAAATGGGGACGGCCGCCTGTGCGCGTGGTCGACACCGTAGTTAGGAGCCCCTACTTTTAGAAAAAGCATGGGCTAGAGAATCACCGTGTTCGGGTGGTGGCAGAAAAGAATGCGCTACCATGTACTTCTTTCTCTTTAACATGCTGCAAAGCCTCTAGTATTTCGAAAACGTCCTGCTGTAGTAAAACGTAGCTAAATCTCTGTTCAAAAGTTAGAGCGTTACTTTCATCGAGTGCGCACGCATTACTACCGCTGGATTGTGTGCTCATATATGAGGAGGCACTTCTAGCGCAGATCTACTCGTAGTTCGTCGTCATGATGTCGACGATAGCAATCTAGTCATGTTATAATTTGCTGTAGCTTTGCTGGTGGGTGTACGAATAACATTTGGTGACTTATCTGCTGTTTAAAGGGTACATGTAAAAGTGTGCTTCAGCAAAACTTCCAGCACGCTTACAGAAGCCCCTCCGTCGACTAAGCTGAACCTTTTTACGCCGAACCTTAGTCTCTGCAAATCTCCGACAGCATAGCGATGGCAATAAAGAAAGAATCAACGGGTGCCGCTTGTAACGTTACTTGCTGAAGTTCAAGGATGTGCTATGTCGAAAGCAATATAACGATCTGCGTCGATAGGTTTCATTCTAGTTAGTAACGAGATGAAGTCATCCATGAAGAACTGCCGAGTATCGTTATTTGTTGGCTGCTCTCGGTGACAAATGTCATGGGAACCGGCAGTTGGTTCCAAGATCGGGACGTAGGCGTGACAACTAACGAGCGGGAATACAAAGTGTCGCCGATCCACGTCCTGTGCCCTCTTTCTTGACTCTAGAGAGCCGCTTAACTATGGTCACCAAAGCGCAGCGTTCAATGTCGTCGGTAAAAATTCAGGTGCTGAACATGAGTAACTGCAGTGTTGTCGAAGAAAACCAAACGAGCGGTTGTTACTGCTATGATGCGAGGCAACAATGACGATTAAAAGATGATAGTGAGAGCTTTGGATGAGACGAATCGTCTATCTAGTCTCGACTTGATCGCTACGTCACCTCAAAGCAGCTTTAATTTTACGTTTGACAGTAAGCCAAGTGTCATTTTGTCCGCTTTTTTCGCGGAAAAAATCAACCTAGTACTATACTCTTCTATACTGAGACCAAGTGCAAACTCGCTCTCAGCAGTTCAGAACGGCCGCTATTCATGACGTCTTTTTATTTTCATTCAGCAGTTCTCACTTAGGGTGCCATTTCCAAAGTACTAGTAAGCACTTTGTCTACTCGATCGCTTCGGACTTCACCGAGCAATCCTATCGATGAGTTTGTGAGTCTCGTCTATCGCATGGTAGACCGCAGCAACAGCAACAGCAGCAATACGCTCACTGAATGCAACACTTCCGAGTTACCTATCTTGGGTGATAATGTATCCCTTGCGACTCCTGAAAACCGCCCGAGTATGTGCAGCAGCCAACGCTTCAGTTTTCGGAGCAGCAAAAGCAAAATGATGCATTCCCCGCTGTCACAAACACAGTCGTCATCCTCGTCGTTGGCAGGGTCCAACTCTCTTACCGACCGTCTCACTATGATGAACATCCAGACGCAGGACCTCCAAGGCGCCGTGTTTTACGGCTGGCTCTGGAAACGTGGTCAATCATTCAAGACGTGGAAAAAGCGCTTTTTCTTGCTCAACGGCGTCGCATTGACGTATTATTCGCAGTGCTGCGTCATTGCATCGGGTGCCTTGGGAGGAGGGACCCAATGTCTCGACTTGCCTGTGAAGGGAGGACTGCGAGTCGCCAAGGTGGAAATGTCAGACTTGACGAGTTTTGGGCTTAAAATAACCAGCTCCAGTGGACGTGTGCTCTATGTGCAAGCAGGAGATCAGGAATCTCGTGCGCAGTGGATTAAAGTGCTGAAGGAGGCGCCACAACTACGAGAGGAGATGATGGGACGGATGGCTATGCGTAAGACGACGATCAGCGACTTGCCGAGCCAACGGTCATGCCAGGAAGAAGGTAATTCATGCTTTACAACAGGCATGAGTGTGCTCAGTAGTGACGACGAAGAAGACGGACAGGGTTATGATATGCAAGGCTACTTGTACATGCGGGGTGGGCTACTGCCCGGCTGGAGAAAGCGTTTCATGACGCTCACAGATGGTCACCTCACGGTCCGACGCAACCAAACGCCCCGCAACTCGAACGTACAAGAAGCATACAAGCCAGTCGAGGTGCTAACAGCTGTACAATGGAGCGGTCATGCCAATGGAATTTGTATTCGTCTGGGTAACAACAAGGAGATGTTTGTGTACGCTGACCATGACGCTGATGCGTCCATGTGGTTGGCTGCACTGAAGAGCTGCTAAGTTTTGACTCAAGTGGGGACTCTCGGTACTGTTCAATTTATTGTCTGCGAAGGAAGCAGACATACCCGTTATTGAAGGCCACAACCAATTAAGGCCCATAATCCGTCCCTCTATCCCTCAGCTAAATTATTAGAGACAGTACGCGATAATTATGACTACATTCTTGGCCCCTAATTTGTACGTACACGACTCTTAATATTCTACGTCTCTGGTGCACCTAATGTAAAATACATGGAACCAAATTCTGAGCCTAATCGCACGTTTCTAAGTATTTCTAACCGTTCATGTGTGGGTCACACCACTTTTCCCACACAGTCACATCTCTCATGTCTCGCTCGGCGCTGACTCGGCATGCGCTACAAAAGTCTCTACGTGGACAGAACGTACAAGATCATCCACCCGAAGAGACGGAGCGCCGTGTTAAACAGGATGAGCTCGCCATGTACGTAGTAGTTTCATCCTCTTGTCTTTTTTATGCTTCGTGATAAGGGATTAAATATATAATAGTACTAATACTAATAGTACTATTCATACTACTATTTTTGTATGTTTTTGGTATTACAAAACTACTACTACTACAGCTATGGGAACGATACGACGTACAATCTAAATACGCTGCTGCATCAGAACATCCTACAGTCTGCTTACTTTCATGAACTCTACAAGTTTCGAACCTATCATGAAGTCGTGGACGAGATTTACTATCGAGTAGACCATGCCGGTACAGTAGTTAATATTTGGCCTCTATGGGATTTTATCTCGATTCCTAATTTGTGTATGAATTGTGTGTAAATGTGGCTGCAATGTCAGAGCCATGGTCTCCAGGCACGGCACGTCTTCCATCGAGCTGCTTTTGTCTACTGCATAAATTCTTTCTCATGCGTCTTACGATCAAGCAAATGCAGGGATTGCTACGGCATACGGTGAGATGGAATATGAGACGTAATAGATGGAATGTTGCTTGAGTATGAGGCTTTTGACAATCATATGTGGTGACTGACAGGACTCTCCATACATTCGTGTGATTGGCTTTTTATACCTTCGGTTCACATGCGACCCCGAAGAACTCTGGACGTGGTTTGAGCCATACCTGGAAGATTTGGAAGAGTTTAATGCATCAGCAAACCCGAGCTTAAAAACGTGAGTTGGGAGTTTTGTGTACCGTCGGGTGGTAAGAGTGACTGCTGCTGCTAGATTGTGGCTTCATTTGCACTGCAGCAAGCAGTTGTCAGGTGGTGTGCTGACTTGTGCTTTGTTTATGTTGATGCTGCTGTAGAACAATTGGAGAGTGGCTTGTTAAACTGCTGGAAGAGAACAATTATTTTGGCACGATTCTGCCGCGTATCCCGAAGAAAATCGAGGATGGGATCAAAGTCAAGGTGAGTTCATTGAGGTGTACGTGCATGAATGGAGCACAGCGGGGTTTTGGACTGGGGCGTGCCTCGTTGTTTGGTGGGGGTTGCGTTCTGCAGTTTTGTCGTGAATTGGTAGTATTGTAATTATTTTGACCAGGCGTTTATGGATGTGTGTATGGTAGCTTTTATTGTTTTCCCGTAAAAAGGAACGCGCTAAAGAAAACCTGGCGATCGTTGATCGTCTGCTGCCTGGGACAAAAATTCGCGCAATGTATGCTGACGAAGAAAACGAACCTGCGGTAACCTTTGATCTGCGTCAAAATGATGGAAGTGGTATACTATGTTCTGACTTTGTATACAACATGCTCGTAGATGTATGATGCGGTAATCGATTCGGTGGATGAAGGCAATCAGTTCTGGGTAAGTTTGATGAGGTAGTATATACCAGGATGCATTAGCTAACGGGATCTCGATGTTATCTTGCCAGGTCTCGTTCCCAGCCTATGGAAATACGGAAAAAGTTAGCCTTGGCGATATTGAATTTAGCAAGAGCAAACAACGCCGTGGACGCTCACTCTCTCGTTCTCGATCAGTCGGGCGGTCTCGTTCGCGTTCGCGAGGGCGTGACAGAGGCCGAGATGGATACCATCGCCGAAACCAAAGTCGAGATCGTGACAGTCGAGACAGCGACCGGCGCCGTGGTAGTCGTCGTGATAGCTCAAGGTCGCGCACACGCCTTCGATCCCAGAGCAGGTCGCGATCCACTTCTAGGGATCGCCGTCGCAATCGCAGCCGTAGTCGCACTACCAGCTACTTACAAAGCAAGACTGGGTGCGTACTTGTGGCTTTTTTTGCGTTGCGCCATGATACGAGTTTTTTTCTTTTCACTAACTGATGATGTCTGGTATGCTTATACAGCGCTAGTGATATTACAGGGGACTTGCTACAGCAAGTGCGAGAGCGAGAACGGCGCAAGGCTGAGGCTGTTGGGCGTGATTACGCATCGCGACCAGCTAGCTATAAGGGCTCACTATCCCTGAAGCTGGATCGCTGGACGACTAGGAAGCGCTCACGCAGCCCAGCAAAACGAGGCGAAGTGGTTGTAGTTCAGCCAGGAATGTCTAAGGGTGACCCCCGTAGTAACTCGTCGTCTCCACAGAAATCCCGCGAGACTGAGGAACGCCTGCAAAAGCTTCGCGAAATGTACGGCGATGCCTCTTCGAAGAACAACGATGAATAGATGTGCCGTGTTGAGAAACGTAAGGAGGACGTAGACAAAGATCGTTCATTCGAAACGATTTGCTGGGCAGACAAGAGGAATACAGCGTAGCATGGACAATCTGGATGCAATTGGTACGTGTGTTTTCACTTCTGCTTTGATTGTTTCTTGCTTCCCACTATTCCGGCGGAAAAAGACGACGATGACTTTTGCTCAATAGGGATACATTACTTTTGTCGTTGTCAATAAGGACATTGTGAAGTTCGACTTGTGTAGGGCGGAGGAGAGGAGAAGATTAAACAATTGTTGTCGGCAAGAAGCTGTAAAATCAAATGGAGTGTCTAAGACCGGAGACAACTTTATGGTGATATTTGTCTGTAGTGAGGACTGCAATCTCTTGCGAGCCAATTAGACAGTAGAGGATTTTCTACTGATTTCTCGGGACTTGTACATTTCTAGCTGCTTTTATCATTGTGTTACTGGTTCTACTGTACAGTATGGTGTTTGCTTGGCCAGCAGTAATATTGGCTTGGCCATTTGATCGCGTTACAATCTTTTTGTAACGTTGGACTCAAGCCGCACAATTGGCTACGAGGTTACAAAAGCAAATACGGTTTGGAAGTTTAGAAATATGATTATATATCTTATTTTGTGTCTAGGGAAATCCAATACTGTATTAACTTACACATGCCAATAAAACGCGTTTTTTAAATTTAGAAAATTACGTGGTCTAAATGTCATAAATTTACGTCAGTGCATACTGTAGACTATTCTTTTAATCTTCATAAAAATATATACAAAATAGTTTTTGTAAATAAATACGTGCTAGTGCAAACGGCTTTTTCTGCAGAGTATAGAGCCAAGACAGTGTATAGAGCCACCTTTTTTTATTAGACATAAAACGCCGTATGATTTATAAAACTCAAAAGTGATATACGCCCTTTCTGACTGTCGATGTGTCCTCGAAATCAAGTACAATTTCGAATGGGCAGCTCTAACATTCTGAAATGCTACTGTTAAAAAAAGTATTTTTGTAGCAAAGCTACAATGAATCTTATCTGACATAATGATCGCCACAGCCCCAGCAAATATTTCTACAGTATCTAGCTATGAAATGACGGATAAATTTGTCAATGTTTTAGACAACATGAAGCTGATCAATTCCATATGTACGAGCTCATGTGAATAAAATAGAATGACGAGATTGACTGCTTATGAAAGTCTAATGTACAAGACAAGCGCAACTTAAAGCTATCAGCAGCATTAACACATAGCAAACTATTTACAAATGAGGTAGCGATAGTAAATGGTTGCACACTCGATGCATCATGACACGGCCACAATAATTAGGTGCTGTATTCATTCTGTTGCAGCAAAGTGTCCTGGTGTTTGCATATAATAATAGCAAGTCTCGAGTTGCAGCTCTCCCCCTCTCCCCTCCTCTTCATTCACCGCTCACTATTCTCCTTGACGCTCTAAAGTCAATGTCAGGGTTGCAATCACCTAGACTCTCATCTCGTCACGTGGGTGTGTTGTACGGATCTGCCGTTAACCGATCGTTGAACTGCCTTATAACTCGACGCTTTGCATATGGTGAAAGTCGTTGGCGTACTGGAGCTGGTGTGTGAACGAAGTCACCGACGACGATGACTGCTCCTGAATCTTTAGCTCATTCTGCTGCATCTGCAAACCGGTAGTGTACGATTGTGAGAGCAGGTCGGCAAGTTTGTCGTGAATCTGGTGGCCAGACTGCGAGCTATTTACCTTCGTGCGCTCCTGGTTCCGTGTCCACAGATCTTCGAGCAACGCACTCACCTGCTCGGCAAGGTTTTCCAGCAGCGATCGCTGTCGCGATGACACGGAGGTGCGGGACTGGGTATCTGCTACAATGAGCGCACCAAGCACAACACCGTCACTCGCTCGGAACGGCACGCCCATGATAAACCGTAGGTTTGGCGCCTCAGTGACGATAAAATTAGTAGACAGAATGTCATCTTGCTTCGCGTCCAGCACCGTCACGACCTCTCCACTATCCTCAACTTCTTCGTCAATGCTCGTGCGCTTAACGACAGGACCCTTACGAGTAGGAAAGCGTCGCATAATCTCCGCTGTAAGCGAGTGAGAGAGAGGCACCTCGCATAGCTCACGCGCTAGACCAAAGCTGGATTTGATGAATTCCCGTCGGGCATCCACGAAACTAATCGTGGCCAGCGAGCAGTTTGTGTGCTGAGCCGCTTGCTTTGCTACAAGGTCATAAATGTGCTCCTTGCCCGAGTCCATAATGCCGTACTCGGCGAGACGAGCAGCGCGCTGTTCGTCTAAAGGTGACCCCACATGTGATCTACTCAGCACCATATTCGTGTGGATCTCCTCCAATACCTCCTCATCGTACTCTTCGTCACCCTCTTCGAGTTCGTCAAGGCCCTGGTACTCCTGTAAGTTAAGATCCTGTAACTTAAAGTCGATTCCGACATTTGAGTCGTGAAACTCCATTCCATCATCCTCGTCGGCCTCGTCCAGCTCTTGAAGGTCAAAGTCACAGATATCCTCTTCATCCTTCTCTCCGTCTTCGTTCTCTTCCTCACCGATACCGTCAAGGTCTTCTCGGCCCGAATCCACGTCAGCCTCTGAATCATCAAAGTCGAAAACGTCCAGTTCAGACTTATTTGTAAAGCGCCCAGCACCAGCACCGGGAAGTCCGCCCTTAAGGGACAGATCAAACTCTGAGTCATGGAAGTCCATCAGTGATAGCTCCGAGAATCGCTTGTAAAACTGATCGCTCTGCATCACAATGCTGCTAGGTGATGACGGTGATGACGAACACACGGATGCCACTTCAATCGCCTCAATCGAGTCGGCATCCAAGCTCGAGTCGACTTCAGATTCCTTCTCCACTTCTTGGGAAACCCGAGTCCTTTCCACCACTCTGTCAGTGTCGCTATCGTCGTCTTTACCATCAATATCATTTCCTTCAATGTCATTTTCGCTCTCGTAATCGAAGCGGCTTCCGCGAGAGCTGCTTGCCGTTGTGGCGTTGCTTGCATTGCTCGGTTTGTAAAAGCTACCACCAAGGCTGCTGATGCTCAACGTCTTGGAGCTGCTGCTCTTGCCAAATGCTCCCAGGCCATGGCTACTGTTGAAGCTGCTCACCGTACTTCCAGACATGTTCGACCCCAATGTCCGATCTGCGGTCGTTGACGCATGGGATGATAGTAGACCCTGCGAGTCATACATGTCCGAGCTGTCGCCACTGCTTGAATTCGTCGATGGTGGACGACTGTACTCCTCGTCATCCTCAGGGCTGCGTGGTGGTGCACTACCGCTACCAAGCCGACGACGCAGAGAAGTGATGCTGTCCCCTGGATTCCTGGGCGGTTGAGCTACACCCTGGGCCTGAAGGTTCATCCGTCCTTTGCTCAACCTTTGGTTATCATCCGTTCCGGGTTCGCAGTTGTAGCAGATGCGGAAAGGACACTTACCAGCCTTTCCAAGTTTAATTTGGTGCACCTCAGAGCACTTGGAACAAGCGACGTCACCACACAGACGACAGTGGTGTTTCCTGCGTGACATAGAGAACTTACCCTGACACACACAGCAAATCTTCCGAGCCTTGACCCAGTTTTCCGACGTTAAGTAGGGAGACTCTCGTAGACGCATGACAAGCAACACTGTGTCCAGCTGCTGGAAAGCAGTCAAGTACGCCAGCATGTTCTGTCGTCGTGTAGCTGTGACTCCATTGGCGTCGTAACAGCTGAATTTGATAAGAACTTCCAGTACATTCTCGCCTGCAACCGATGATGCCACAGGGTACACAACAAATCCTGAGAATTGTATCAACGCTCTTGCAGTCAAGGCGAAATTGGCCTGTTGCGATGATGACACCTTCGATCTCGTCGCTGTAGACGTCACGATGGGTTTACAGTAGCGTGTGACTCCTGGATCTTCAATCGAGTGCTGTGAGATGATCCCGATTCGCTGGTCTTCAAAGTCTTGTGCCTGATTGTGTGCCATCGGACCACGAATGTACGCTCGACGAATCGTAGCGTACTCGGCGACACAAAGCGTCAGTCCTTGCTCCTGTGCACTGTCCGCACCCTTGCGTCCTTTTCCACGGTGTAGTCTCGCCGCTTGTCGTTCGCGATGTCGATTCTTGCCTCCAAACTTGAGTGAAGTAGATGCTGAACTAGCGTTTAATGTAGCACCGGAATTGTTCCGTGCCGTTCGGCCCTTGATAGACACGTACTTGATGGCGTATTGCTCCGTCTCGACTCCACTCTGCGAGTGCGAACTCGAACTAGTCGACGAAGTGGATGAACTCCGGTCGTTTCGACCGCTTGGAAGAACGCCAAAGCTCGTAAACACGTCGGCCAATTGCACACGCTCTTCAAACAACGCCGCTTGGACGTTCTGGAACGTATCTCGCTTAGGAGACGCCATGAGACGCATGAAATCGTCCAATGTTGCACGGACCCGCGTTGTAGCCAACATTGTGTGCATATTTTGAGACAATTGCAATGGATCGGCGGGCATCATGCTGGACACGCGGTGCATTGAATCAGCACGAAGCTCGTAGACATTGAGTGGACCACGTGTCGTGACAAATTGCCACTTTTCCGCGTCCGCAACGGCGTCCACTAGTAAAGCAGCAGCATTGCCACGTGCATCCAGTAAGAGTGCATCCTGTTGCTGCTCAGTGAAGTGGAGATAGGCATTGGAAGTGACACTGTCCGTATTGCCACTAGCATTCGCATTCAAGCGATCGCTGCTACAATTTGATACTTCCTGTGACGTGTGAGAATCCCCACTCGGTGTATCACTAGGACGCGAAGCAGTGGACGACGCCTTTTGCTGCCTGGAACGATAGAGAGACCCGTAGACCATGAGCGGACGAGTGGATCCACTCAGTGGACGAAAATAGAACCTGTGACAAGTTGCAATTTGGACACTTGCTCGAAAACGACCTGCTTGTCTCCAGCAAAATGTTAAATCTTGTGGTTAATTTCTTTAATTCGTTCGGTTTGTTCCTCTTCGTGTCAAGTCACTCGCGCTGTCCAACGCTCGAGTCGGAAACTGAGCGCCAGCGCAAGTCGCAAGGGGAGGGGGGGCTGGACGTAATTTGTATAGCCGGCGAACTATTTATATTTAGTATCTGGCCAGTTGTTGCACACGTCTATCACTCAAACCGGACAAGAGACGGGAAAGGTCCATTTTCGAAGAAATGGGCAGTGGTCAGCCAAATGTTGTACCTAAAATTGACGTTACAAAACTTGGTCGAGCGTGAATGTATCACAAATTATAGAAGCATTTGCGCCAGTTTGTAAGGCAAAAAAGACAGTCGTTTCATAGATGATGCAACTACATTGTTTTACAGAAAATACGGTCGTTGTCTGGTACAATAACATGTCAAAAAGAGCAGAAATGGGACAGAATAGGTACACTATTCATTTTTACGCCCATTTGGGGTGGGGGATAGACCGGCGAAAGGATTTTACAATGCAACGGTCATAAAGCTTTGAGTGTTGTTTCGTTGCTACTGGGGGTTTTAATGCTCTCTTGGCGGAAAGTGAGCTTGTCGTTCGTGAGCACGCTACAGAGGCCTTGCGACAGAGTTCAACTCTTTTATGTATTCCTACAAACATGCATACCATCATCATCTATCGTTTCTCCTACCAAAAGGCGTTCGTTCGATAAACTGTATAGGAAGCATTGGAAGAAAGCGTAAGCAGGTAGCTTAGTAGGTTGAGTTTTCGATGAGCTAGGATGGGTCAATCTCGTTGACGCGTCATGATACAGAGCGATCGTGCTGTTTAGGCTTTTCGTCTACAAGTGACGCTGAAACGTTCAGACCTTTGTGCTTCATTAAAGGTGATGGACGAAGCTTACGATCATCACTGCAAAAGTAAAATCTGAAATGGCTTTTTGAGTCCCAGATCAGGTGCTCTTTTTCCCGAGTGTTTCGCACTCGCAATAGCTAGCAGGAACCAAGTGAAGATTCCATACAGAGCAGAACATCTCCAAGGTCTACAGTGTGGGCTCCGCACGCCCAAGCCTACCGTGTTGCAGTCTAACGCAGCACCATCTCGATGAGAGGACAGAGACAGAACAAACTATGCCACTAGTGAACAAGAGACAGGGTGGAGTGTAATGTTGCGCGGAGCAGGTTGAAGCCCGAATTCAAAGAGCTCTGTGACGCTTATAACAATGTTAGTAGCAACAGTCCCAGCCTTTCCCTGTATGCCTCCTTAAAGCAACAGGACGTGTACAGAATCTTGAGAATCGTTCATTGCTACAAAAATCAGTCATAAGTCACGAAGAACAGCTTGCTTCATTCCAGAGCACGCCGGTCTGTCGCGACTATTGTAGAGTAGACGTAGGGAGAGCATGACAAAAATCTTGCTCACTCAAAGCCTCGGAGTATAGAGTTATATCATTTTAGTGTGCACCATTCTCCCTATCGAACAATACAGTTACCGATTGATGGCCACGCAAGTCTCCATTTGCATTTTTTTGTCTTCTTATTCTGCACGTGACCGATAAAAATTCGTCGTCCTCGTCTATTCTAAAAAAAGAATCTCTGACAAGCTGGTGAGAGGAAGACAGGCCTTGTTCTCGGATTCGGCGTTTGGATTGAGTCCCTACAGCCGCTGCAATGTAGACAAGAGTACGAAAGACAAAGGCTGCTACGACGTTAACGCTATAGAATCACGCAACATGTGCAAAAGTCGAACACGGGACACTATTGTTCGACGGTAGGGAAAGCTGCATGCTACAGAAAACGGTGGCCAGTATGGTCGTCATACTTCGACATCTGTCACTTTGACTGGTCGGTGCCAGCAATGCCACGCAGCTTGCTCCGGCAATCATTTTTTTCCTGGATGAAACTATGACGCAAACTAAGTCGATAGAATTACATTGACGTCGGGTTTGTGGTGGATAATACCATGACTAATGGGTGGCTTTTTCTAGCATGGCGCTTGTGGACAGCGAGCAGTATGGCTGACAGAATTTGACTACCTGTAAGTGAAGTCCACTTGTTGGCAACAAAAAAGCTGCCGGATCGAAACAGTCGACAATGCTGCCAGTCATGACTAATGTTGGCCATTGATAGCGCAATAAATGGCCATGATAAAATTCATCAAGCAGTCGCATGTCGTGAACGTATGCGTGGTGATCGGGTGCACTCGGAGATAGCCCAAGCACGGCATGACCATGTATAAACAGTGACTAACCTCAACAGAAAATGAGGATGTTCATGAAGGACGATTGGACCATGATCGCGAGGAAGGCTGGCCTTTACTGTAACCATGTAAATTAAACTACTGCAGTCCCGTTTGAAAGCAGTGTGAACCTCACATGCGTGCTTGTCTTCTTTATTTTCACTCGGAGAGGCGGTGACGCTTTACAGTACAAAGTTTTACATACCGACTTCTTTTTCGTCATAATAAGAGTGCTTACAATCCTCAGTGGTGCAAGCTTGCCTCCTCATTCTTACTTAATATGGATGAGGATACTATTGCCGAATAAATTCTACGCACTGTATCATCATGTGTTGCTGTGTGGCCTTTTAGCTGTTGCTTTACCGGTAGGATACCGGTACTTTAAGGAAGGAATCCAATGGTCGGTTTGACAACCATCTGTCGGATACTTGCCTGTCTCAGCTCTATGTTATGAAGAATCAGATCTCAAGGGTATTAGGGGTCTTGAGTTTTAGACTTCGGCGAGGTTCTGAAATGATGCCTGAGTCTATTCGGACATCGTTTAACCTGTTCGTACAACTTTACTTCATGCCCCAGCCACTTGCTGTTTATCTCTTTCGTGTCTGTCTATATGTGTACTAATATAAACTAGTTTGGCAACCGAATGGTAAAAATTTGAAGCGAATACCAGCTCTAGTTCTTCTACAATCGTCACCAAACTTCTTTGAATGGCACTGATCGATAGTGCAAAGCTTGCTTGCCTCTCCTGATCTCATAGAATCAGGTTAAAGAGCAATGTATCTAGCAAGCAAAAGGCGAAGAACTTCTTTAATGATCCGAGTGTGTGGGTCTTATCTTTATGCTACCGGAGCACCAATGAACGTTTCCATTGCACATGTCGAGTCGGTTCGTGATTACTTGTCAGTCATTACCAACCGATCATAAGAAGTTATTGACACAACCCTCGCACCGAACGCGCTGTGCAACAGCATGAAGTTTGGCCAAAGGCAAGTTGGAGTCGGTATCACAATACTTAAACTAAGGTTTCGCCAAGTTGACGGCGTTGCCGCCATTCTGAAGCACATCGAATTCGACTGCAAAAACGTCATTTCGCATACAATTTCCTTCATACCGACCGACCGGAGATGTGCCGATGCAATCCGACCGGCCGGCAAGGGGTTACAAAAGGCAAGTGATTTTGCACTGGGAAGACGACCGTCTCGGACAGGCGAGCTCTATACGCGGTCGTTATTGCAAGGCTGTTCGGCTATATTCGCCACCCATCTATGCTGCTAAAAGCCGGGAGACACCTTTCACCGACCGACCGACTGCCAGTAGGATCAGCAAGTATAGTATTTTCAAATGATTTGGAACGGTCTAACCGACCGACCATCATCCCGGCGCAGTTTTTTTATTTCGGCTTGTAAAACTTCGAAATGTTCTCTCCATTTTCCATTATTCGTCTTAGTTCTCAAGTGAATCATCTTTCATCACCTTGAATTGGAACAATGCACAGCAGTTCCATGAACATTCAATCGAGTACAATTCCGTCGTCCAATGTTCCGTCTCTTACGCAACTGCGCGGGTTCAGCCACAAGCGGCGACGTAGCGCAACGTTCGCACACTTTGAAAAGCAGCAGGACGAAGAAAATACCACTGAGAGCTGCTGCACCACGTCGGGTGAGAGCTCGGGCGACGAGAGTGATGATAATAGTTTGGAAGAGTTGATAGATGAAGAAGAAGAAGAAGAAGAAGAAGAGACGTTGGTGGCCGTCAAGCGGCGGCGTCGCGCCGATCTCGATGGACTCAAGAAGTCAATGAGGCGCATGGAAGCACAAGTGGTGAATGCGTCTGCACAGCTGAAAGACCTCGCAGCTGTAGTGGCCCAGGTTGCGGCACGACGCCAGCACCAGCAATGGCAATGGCAATACTCAGCACCAGATTGCATAGAGAGACGTACAATTGACACTCATCTAGCAAAGTGTTTTAGTAGTTTATAGCTGACCACGGGATGGCACCAAGTTGAGCAAGAGCGTCTTGACTTTTGTTGACTGTTGTCGATAGGTCGTGACCAACAGTTTATAATCGGTAATGCAATTGCAATCGCATCCATTGGATACATCAAATATCTGCTCGTATATCGTCTTGGTGTCTCTGCTTCGCCTACTTCTCGACCTTCCAGTGCTCGTCCCAGTCAGTTTTTTTTTCGGTGGTCGGTCGGTTTGTGGACAACCATCATTATCTTGACCGAGGTAAGGTAACACTCAATCTATTCGCATAGTCGGTCTGTAAAATATTCCTCTGCTTATATGGATGAACCCATTTCGCTAGTATGTCGGTCGTTCATGGGTGACTAGCTCTTCAATTAGGAACATGTTGCACTGCATATATTGTCATTAAGTAGAAGCCTTTGACAAGAGTAGATATGTCCTTACGCCTTATACCCACCACCACACAATGGGACCTCAGTCTTGGGACCTTGCGGTGACAAGTGATGGGTCTCCTCTACAAACCAGAGCTTGTCGAACAATGCCGATTGAGGCTCGGCCATGCATTCGGCCGTGATCTCGTCACACTTGGCTCGAAGACACTCCAGGGTCTCCTCACTCACATCCGGCGACAACACACGTCCTAGCGTCGAGTGAATGATCACTTGCGTGTCCGTCTTGGGCGTGTATGAAAACGTTTCTTTCGCCATGCGGCGGATCACGTCCACTGAAAACTCGGCATGAGCGTTGACAACGTCGTCATGAAGCTTTGTAGTCGTAGACAAGCATTGAAAGAGCATGATAATAGCACCTGAAGAGGCCATGAGGACCTGGACAGGAGTCATTTCGAACGGTACCACGTGCATGCACATGTCTTGGAGCTGTGCCACGTCCTGAGGGAACCGTAGTCTTGCGTCTGGTGCCATATCGCCAGGATGTGACGTATGAAAGAGAGTGACGTGCATGAGATCACGACGTGTGACGCAAGCCACGGCGTTGTTGGTTTCAAGCTCACGTGGTAGCAAGTCTGTCAGCTGCGTGCCAATGGCGTGACAGCGCTCCGCCATTTTCTGTGGAATTGGTGCACAAATGAGAGCAACACCGTCGTTCTCAGTGAGAAACTCGTACGGCTTGGACTCGAGCGTTGCACCAGCTATGAAGTGCTGTCTGGATGAAGGCATGACGTTCAAGGAATCACAACTAATCAATTGAATCGAAGAACGGAAGAACCAAGCAGGACATACCTTGTTTTACGAACACTCGCTCGATCAAGCGCTGCTTTGCCACCTTCATAGAGCTCTTCGTATAGTTTGGCTCGCTGCTGACGCCATTGAGCTTCCTGTTTGGGGTTGCATAATTCCAGAGAGCTCATTCTCTTGATTGCTGCATGTACTGCTGTAGCGGAATGAATGGACATGGAGATGGCTACATCCACCTTTCAGTCGTGTTACGGATTCATAAGAGTCATAGGCGACACTTACGTTGTCATACGTTGCGTACGAAATCTCTTTCTCTATGCAACTTGTATGTCCTAGAACGACAAGAAGAAGAAGTTGGCAGCAAGAAACTTAGTACGTAGTCAAGTTACCATGGTTAGCACACTTCCAGGTCTAGACTGTCATTTAGGACTCTGCAAGGCGCTGTATCCGAGACTCGACAGCGTTCAGTTGCTTGTGTAGTGAACGACGACGACCCTTCTTGCCATGGCCTTGCTCCTTCGACAGCGAGTGTTGAAGCGACTTCAATCGTGTTCTCAGCTCTTCCAACGACCCAGAGACCAAAGACAAGTGTTCGTCGCAGAACACGTCGTCCTCGGTCTCTCCTCGAGCTTTGGCGTCTGCACGACACGATTCGCACACGAGTACGTGCATGCGACAGTAAGCGCACCGGATTCCCGATAGCGTGTCGTGCGGCACGTGGCAACGCTCACATTGACCAGTGACTGACTGGTCTTCGGACGCCATGGTCACTCGCTGGTCGAAGACAAAGTTCTTGCCTTGGAAGAGACCACCTCCATCCGGAAACCGTTCAAGGTAGCGATGGATGCCTCCTTCCAGTTGATAGACATTTGGTAGACCGAGATGCTTAAGATAAGCCGAGGCCTTCTCGCAACGGATGCCACCTGTGCAATACATGAGCACCTTGTTCTTCTGTTTCAGCAGAGGCAGTTCATGTTGCACCCATTGTGGGAACTGCCCAAACCGACGAGTCTTTGGATTCAATGCCCCTGCAAAGTGGCCGACTTGGAACTCATACGTGTTACGCACATCGATGAGTGCAATGGACTCAGGGTCGGCATTGAGTTGCTCGGCTCGAAACTGCTCGGGCGTCAAGTGTTGGCCTCGTCGTGTCAAGTCATAAGCGTCGTCCGGCAATTCTAGCGCCACGATCTCCTTCACGACGCGCACTTGTAGATCCGGGAACGGTTTGACGTCCGACCGACTGGTTTTCCAATCCACGTCAGTGAATTGAGGCTGCTGTTGCATGGCTTGGATGTATCTCTGTACATTGGCATTTGAGCCCCCCAACGTACCGTTGATACCTTCACATGCAAGTCGCACGCGACCAGTGAGACCAAAGGACAAGCACAAGAGTTCATGGGCCTCGGCAAAGGCTTTCAATTCGACTTGTGTCTCGCAAATGCGTACGTATTTGTAGTAAAGCACAACGACGTCTTGCTGCATGATAAAGAGCAAAGTCCGTCCCTTGATACCGATTCGAGATGTGAGACGGTCGAGAACGGGTGGAGGAGACAGGTCACTCGGCGCTTGAGATCCAATGGTTCTATCTAAGCAAGCAGCACGACAACGAAATCCGACAGACCTCACACATTAATCACTACAGTGTTGTAAACACTCGGGCACAAAATAACGTTTGCATTTGTCCTGGCTTACCCATGATAAAGCCATCGTTAGCTCAGCTACTTCCGCTCAAAAAAAACACAGCTAAATGATCGCCTGGAAACTATCGTTGACGTGCTGGCGATTTTCACCATCAACAGCTCCATCCATCATTGCACTTGCGTGGTCACCTGCCCCTTCAGCGAGCGAGGCGGAGGCCGCAGAAAGAGCAGAGTTCTCCGACGAGTCCAATAGCGAAGACGCATCCATGTGTTGCTGGCTGTCACCTTCCAGCGACGCCATCGCAGAAGCGTTGACGCCGTCACCAGACGTGTCCAGGTCGAAAACGTTCTTTGTCTCTACACCGTGGCTCCCCAAAGCTCCCAATGCCTCTTTTTGGCCCTCCATTCGAATCGCATCCTGTACTCGTCGAATCGCATTTAAAGCACTGTCATCAGCATCACTTCGGTCCTTAAGGACGTGCAGCACATCACGAAACGCCTTCAGCTTCTCCTGCAACGACAGAGTGCGTCCTGGGCATTCCTCCGCGGATTCATCCACTTCGTCTTCTGGAACTTCGCGCACGCTTGACACCACGTCGAATTTGTCTTCGTGCACCGGATAATCAGACATCGTCTCGTCGTTCAGGTACTCCATTATAGGAATGGGGTCCCCGAGACGCAAAAAGAGCATCAAGTGCTCTAGCTCCGTGTCCAATAAGACTTCTTCTTCTTCCTGCAAAAGATCGTGATCGTTCATTTCGACGCGATTGCGCACAAGTTGTGTGGGAATCCAAGCGCGCTTGATAGTCTCCGTCGTGACCTCTTCCCAGCTGGTAATAGCCCACTTCATTGCTTGGAGAACATCCACATCAAACATGGCACTCTTTGATTCTGCCTTATCAATTGCATGACGCAAATGGTACCGACGGTAACGCTTTTTAAAGGTGGTTACGACGCGAGAGGTAATGGGGTTGAGCATCTGCATCACAGCAGGAGTCAAGATAAAGACCACGACATTTGTAAGATCGAGGTGTGCGACCACATGCGATGGCATGTCATTAATAAACAGCAAGATACGACGCTTTTGGTTCGCCATGGCAAAATCCAATCGCTGCAACCAGCGCGAAAAGATGACACCCGTCATCCACGCCTTATTGTTGCTAAAATAGTGCAATCCATGCTGTTCAGCCGTTTTCTTTCGAAAACACTTTGGATGTTCATAGTGTGACACAAACAATGGCTGAAGCTTTTCCGATCCATCTGCATTTGCCGCGAGAGACACGACAAAACGCTTTTTACAGCGTATACGTCCTTCATCCACTGCATTTTGTACAGGTGGCATTGTATACAACACTGGTGTTTCTTCAACGGCAAACACATCCTTGGGTTCATACTTGTCTGTTTCATTTAGTAATGTCTCCATATTAGTCCAATACAGGACTTTATTGTTCATTCCAAGTGCTCGTCGACCACAAAAGGTCAAATTTCCAGTCTCAACATCGCCCACAAGAGCCACTTGTTGTTGATGTTGATGATGATCAGCATTAAATTTCCGAAAACTGAAATTATGACGTAATTGAAAAGAATGGAGCCATCCATTGGAAAATTCCGGCTGTTCTGTGGCTGGAATATTGAGCATTTTTGCAAATTCCTTGGCTTTTTCCTTGGTTAAATCCCCTTGTACCGTCTGTCCTCGTCCTGCCATTTGAATGACCCAATTTGCAAGCGCACTATCAAGTTGAGGATGTTGCACGACACGACGTTTTTTAATCCCCAATTCCAATGAACTCATATTGATAAATTCATGTTGACGTCGAAGAATGCCCGAAATTGTCGATTGGGCCGGGGTTTTTTTCAATTGAAATTCATGTTTTGTCCATTGGGCCAAATCTTTTTGGGACATGACCCCACCACTTTTGCGATAGAATTCACAAATGATTTTACGTTGATAATTGGTTAAATTTCCATTCCCACCACTGGTACGTCGTGGTTTTGTAGAGTTTAACGTCGTCGAGACGTCACTGATGTCCTTTAATGGAGCGAAATTCGACGCCATCGGACACGTACCTCTCTAATCGATTCTTTAGAATGTCCAGTCTTTTTGAAAGGGGGGAGGAGAGTGTCATTATTGCGAGGGAGAGAGTCTGTTGGAGGAGTTGGTGTATGGGACGTGAATGTCATTGTTTCGAAAGAGTGACTGTATCCATCTTGTCCAACAGCACGATGATGTACTTGTGACGGATGGACGCGGCAAATGTCGAAGATGCGTATGCACATCACCTTGTCCTTGTATTGTCTTTTATCTTGTTGAAACGAAAAGACTTTTCAAATCTTTTCTCATCGGACGAGTTACACCTTGCATCACAATTCATTACAACCTTTAAACCAATTGAACAACAAGTATATGCACGATTATTACAGCGTCAAGGGCCATGGTACAAGACAACGTCACTCTTTCGATACTTTCAATTGCCAGAGGATATTAAAATAAAGAGGAAAGAGCTACCACAACAATACAAGAAACAAAAACAGCTGGTACCACAGAAACAGCTGGTATCCAAGAAACAGCTGGTACCGCATCAACAGCTGCAGAACGTTCTAAACGTCATGATTGACGCGGGCGTTTTGCAGAAATTTCCAGTGACGACGCCTGCGTCATTCAAGATGGCTACATTTGCTGACAATGTCCATTCGAAGCAACAACTTGACCAGTTGGATACAGTACTAGATGCTATTGCACGTTGTGCGACAGCATCCGAATTAGCACGTTTGTACATGAAAATGACGGGCAGTAAGAAACACGTTGCCAAAACAAACCTCATGGCTGCCATTCAAAAAGTAGCCAAGACACAGAGACGTATGAATGGTTCGAGGATTCCAGTGGCACAGTTGATGCAAGAAATTTGGCTTGAGTCCTATCCTCTAGCTGAAAAAAAGAGTTCGGATGTGATGGTACTCCGTATGACGCCTGGAACTCGAGATTTGATACTGAGAATGCATCGACTCTTTTACTTTGTGTCTACATTACCATTCAATGCAACGTCAATGATGCCACCGCCATTGGAAGATGGAAGTCAATTACTTGCCTTGGCAACGCACAAGCTGCGGCAGGAACCGATACAGTGGCCGGGTTTGATGGTGTTTTTTAAAAAAGTTGCGTATCCAGAATACAAATGGACCAAGTGTGCAAATGTCGATGACAGTTCGATGCCAAGGGTTCATTCTCATTGCATATTTCCATCGTCGGAAGCGTACGTGAGCTATGAAGTGGCGTATCAGCTGCATCGCATCATGAGCGTTGTTGAGCAGTGCATTCAAATTGTAACACCTGAAAAGGAATACCTGGAACCGGATCTTGAGCTTAAATGGATGCGATCGGATGGACCGCCAATTTTTCTTGCTTTTCAGAGACTTTGTATGGTTGTTTGTAAAGGTGAAGAAACGACTGAAACCGAGGATGAGTGTGTCATGGTCGAGGCCAACACGACACCAGTAGGGAAAGTGGAAGACAAAGCGACTGTGAATTGGCAAATGCGCAGCTGGGAACAATTTTACACCGAGATTGGAAAGATGGAGTCACTTGATGATCTGGTGTTGGCTAGCAGAGAGTGCCTGCAGACATTTTTGAAGTGGATGAAGGCTGCTGCGTACAGCACCTCGGGTGTTCCCATCTACTTTTACAAATGCAACGCCGGCTATCACTTGGTTCGTGTCTTGCACACTGCAGTGGGGTTGTACGAGAAGATGCGCAGATACCAAATTGCCACGTTGCTGCTAAATGAATTGCTAGCCGCGCCGTATCTTGAGCGAAAGCGCGGGTATTGGTGGGATCGCCTAGCTTTGAACTTGGAGCACTTGAAGTGTGCAGACCAAGCGAGAGACACGTGTTTGAATGCGTTGGAGGATCCGCATGTGCTACTGGCCGATCGAATTGCACTTGAAAGGCGTTTGCATCGATTGCAACGTCGAGAAAAGGATGAAGAAAAGTATCGAGTCGAGTCATTGTCGACTGCTGACATGTTGCTGCAAAATGCTGGAACGAGCCTCATTTCTACAAACATGGGTGCCAACGACGACGACGAAGACGAAGAGAAGACGGTGCCACCTGAGACACAACCTTCCTTCGAATACCACCAGGACCGCATTGTTGGTCGTCCACTAAATCGGCAAACGGGAGAAAAATCACGGTTTGTAGGTTACGACGACGAACCATGCACGGTTGAACAGCTTGGGCTGCAATATTACCGGGATCACCACCCTGTTAATGTAGCATCGAATGCAATGGTGAAGACTGGCGGATGGTACGGGGTGCATTCAGAAGGCAGCATATTTAGAAATCTGTTTGGTATCTTGATGTGGGACGTGCTGTACGCTTGTATTCCGGACGTCTTCCAGACACCTTTTCAATCGGCTCCACTGGACTTCGGCTACGCACATGTATTCTATGAAAACCGGCGTGATCTCATTGAAAAACGTCTTGCTCAAGTGAAGGATGAATGGACAATGGAAGAGCTGTTGGTAGCATTTGTGACACGATGGGATTCCGAGTTTGGAAAAGTGTCTCGGTTTGTGCACTGGCCAAGCGACGATGTTGCTTCATTGAAGTTCCACTTGCTGACACTTGCAGTGATAGGACGATCCGAGCTGACGAGCCTATTGCGCTACATGGCTACGTCAAAAGAGTTCCACCAGGCTCAGAATGGTCTGCCTGACCTTCTCCTTCTAAGGATTGAGTTGTCCAGACCAGAGGATGATTCTTCACCGCTATCTTCACAATGGCCAATTGACTGCCACGACTGTCTGAACGTTCACTCGTTTTGCGGCATGGGTGAAGAGCTGAACATGAACGAGAAAGCCCACTCGAGTACTGCGTTGCTAGAAGAGAATGGAATGTTATCAGAAGAGAAGCTGGATGCGTTACCGGTGGACAATGTTCTCCAGCTTGTACAAAATGGCAACTATGTTGCACGCCTGAAGTTGGTGGAAGTAAAAGGACCTCGAGATCGACTCAGTGTCAAGCAACTTCTCTGGCTGCAAGTTCTGAACGACGAGATCGGTCTTGACGCTAGCGTGCTGCACGTAGAAGAACCGGAAAAATATGCCAAGCGAAAGAAGAAGGAAAGCACTGCAAAGTCTACCCTTACAAAGCGACCTAAAAGACGGAAGTGACAAGCGCTGCCACTACTGCATTCATCACGGACGTCTGGTGCCAATGCACTGGTAGATAACGTTGCGTTGGTAGCAGGTCGTGTGCGTTCCGGGTACACAGCAATCACCATCAACTCGTTCCGTGCTCTTGTCGACATTGTTCATCTTGTCCCTCTTGACGTTCTAGCACCCTCCTGCATATGCTTCCAAGTGATCTACAGCGCTTTGCCTTGTCCCGATTGACTGGTTTGCTAATCACAAGATCACCTGTTACCAGCCAAGTCCATTTGACAAGCTATCGACACGATGACAAACGAACGCATGCGTTCCGTGCTCTGGACAAATGGTGGACTGCAGCTTATTGATCAACGCAAGCTGCCAACGGAGTTAGTATTGATGTGCTGCAATACGGTGCACGATGTCACGCGTGCCATTACAGACATGGTCGTGCGTGGAGCGCCAGCCATTGGTGCAGCCGGAGCTTTCGGCCTCGCTCTTGGAGCCAAGAACTTCCATGCTACTGAAAATAGCACACCGGTAGAGTTTCTCAAAGCTTTGGAGCAAGCGAAGGCTACAATTGATGCAGCGCGACCTACAGCGGTCAATTTAACGTGGGGTACGTCCACGTTCAGGTATATCGATCTGCTATGACATGTGATAGATACTACTAACGACTGGATGTCGTTGATGTGATTCTATTAGCAACGGATCGGGTGGTGAAGGAGCTTCGAGTAAAGGTGCAGGAGCAGACGAGTGTTGTCGAGCTGGTTACATACACATTGACAATAGCACAGGCATTGGCGGAAGAAGACGTGGCCATTAACAAGAGACTAAGTCAATTCGGAGCAGAGCTTGTGTCACCGGGGAGCAACATCCTGCACCATTGCAACACTGGTGCATTGGCGACAGTCGATATCGGCACGGCTATTGGCGTCATCTACGAGTGCCATGCCCAGGGCAAGAACGTCCACGTGTGGGTGGATGAGACGCGACCGCGTCTGCAGGGCGCTCGACTCTCGGCTTGGGAGCTCATGCGCGAAGGTGTACCAATGCACCTCATTGCCGACAACGCTGCAGGGTATCTCATGCTGGCTGGCAAAGTAGACGTTGTGCTATTTGGTGCTGATCGCGTCGCGGCGAACGGCGACGTGGTAAACAAAATCGGCACGTACAAACTGGCTGTGGTCGCTAAAGAGAACAAGGTGCCAGTGTATGCGTGCGTGCCAAGCAGTACGATCGACCTCAACTTTCTTGAAGGAAGGAGCATCCCGATAGAGGAACGCAACGCTAATGAAGTGACGTGCATCCAGGGCGTGCGGATCGCACCCGAAGGCTGTCCGGTCTTCAATCCGGCGTTTGATATCACTCCGAATCGATACCTGACCGGCATTATTACGGAAGAGGGCGTGTGCTACCCGCCATTCGAGCAGAGTCTCGCCAAGGTGGTGGCCGCTGCTGAAAAACGCCGTGCCGAGATGTAGGCGATACTGATCAGTCTCGACTCTCTAATGTGCCGTAAAGCATCTAAGATTTCTTGCTCGAGTATTGAGTCCATGTGCTCCTATGCTTCTTGTGCGCGTCGTTCTCAGCATCACGCTAATCCAAAGCACACAGTCAGATTCGTTAGTCACCATTTATCCATACGCAAGGTACCAAAGCGTCTCAAGACGTCCTTTGCATCTTTATCAAGAAAGAATTGGTCTGTCAACTTGAGCCTGAGACTGCCAAGACTAAGGTGCATGTCAAGGCCGAACTGACTGGGGCCTGGCCATTGAACTCTTCACCTTCATCCTCTTCATTACCAACTGTAGAAATAACCTACGCCATATTCATCGTGAAAACATTGGTCGTGGACACAGGAAGACCAGTACTCAAAGACTTGGCAAAGTACTTTGCAGCAAAATTTGCCAACCTTTGCACACCGACCTGTGCATACGGGAGCACGTAGGACGGAAAAATTACAAAATCGTGCGGCAAGTTCTCATGGACGTCGAGTTCCCAGTCCGTCACGCCGTCATCCACTGCTTTCTGAGCAAGTCGTATCGAGTGTTGATAAACATAGTCGAGGCTTGCAGTCTGCACGAAAACCGGTGGAAGTCCACGTAGATCACAGTGAACGGACGAAGCGTCCAACCATGTTGTTGGGTCAGCTGCCGTCGTATGATAGCCCAATCGTCCAGCAGCACACATCGCTGGCGCTAGTAGACAATGGGCTGACGAAACCTCTGGATCGCCGTGTGTTTCAATCTCCGACAAATCCACAGTAGGGCAAATTACAATAGCAGCTAGAGGTAAGTGCTCTTTGCTCGCGTCTCGCATTCTCAGCAGTGTGGACATCACAAGTCCACCACCACCACTGTCACCCGCAAGGATAATTTGTTCCGGAGGAATGCCCTCTGTGTGAAGCAGATATTTGTATGCAGTGACGACGTCTTCAGGAGGTATCGGGAAGCAGTGTTCAGGTGCCTTGCGATAGTTTGCCAGAAAAACGTCGATTTGCACGGGGGCTTGTGTACCAAGCTGTCGACAGAGCTCCTTCTCAATCGCAACGGCGAGCGTTGCTCCGAACGTGATGTAGAGTCTCGGGCTCATGATGGTGCATCCACCACCGTGAACAAAGAGGACCACCAAGCGTTTGGCCGTCAATGTCTGAGGACTTTTTGCAGGTCGGAGCCAAATATGTTCCATGCCATTCGTATGCACAGCTTCAATACGCCGTCCGTGCTGGCGACAAGCAAGCCACCCAAAGACTGTACCAAAAACAGCACTTTGCGATCGGATTGCACGTGCATACTTGACATCCATCACCATTCGTTCACCACGGGGACTTCGGACGCATTCTCGGATGACAGCACATAAAATCTCAAAGTGAAGCGTCCAATTCTTAAACTTGGGCTTGCACCTTCGTGCCATGAACCTGAAGATAGTCGAGCTTACGACAGTAATCAAACTTCCTAACAAGCGCACCGCTTCCCATGGAGTGCCGCACAATCCTTTGAAAACCACTTGAAGAATTGCCACGACCAAAGCACTAGTTGCACCACCACTAACGAGTCGAAGAATTAAACGTCGTCGCTCAGGGTCTGACCAAATACGCTTTAGTACGTGGCCATAGACTCGTAATTTTATCATCCACTCTGTCAATCCAATTCTTTGTTGTAGCGAAGTACAGGTTGCGATTCCGGAAATGAAAAGTCTCATTCTCCATAGATGTTGAAATGACAACCACAAGTCGCTACTTGTTCCACGTGACGCGTCAAGAGGTTCTGCTCTTCTCATTCCAAGTTATGAATGGGATCATGCTTGACTAGAGACAACTTTTGATTGACAGAATCGTGCATGGATATTTCAAGTAAAAACGCCGTCTAACGGCATGATGTTTGACCTTTTCAGACATCGTTACGGTTTCTCCACCAACTTCGTGACCTCGCTGCATCCCCCTACTGATGCTTTTTCTTGAAAAAAGGAATACAACTCTATATTGCTTGGACAGGTTGTGACATGGTCCGATCGACTCTAGTTACGCCGTCTCTTCTTTCGGCCTTGGTTACTGCGCGCTGCTTGGATGTTGCTAGCCACGCGGTGAGTGTATTGCACCACAGCCTCATCCGCCATAATCTCGTCCGTGAATGTTTTGCGGCGCTGTTTCTTTGTAAGGCGGGCCGAGTGAAACTCGTGAGCACCTTCAATAACGACGCCCATCTGGAAATGTTTGGGCAGTGCACGCGAATGGTCCGAGCTCTTGTAGAATTTCTTTGGGTCCAGATAGTTTCGCATCCGCAGTAGAGCGAAATCACGACGTGCATCAGTTGTCATCTCCTCTGACTCAAAGTTGAACCAGCGACGCCCCGCTGACTTTTTGTGTAGAGACTCGGCACGTTGTCGCTCCGAGTGGGCAACAGCCTTCTGACCAGCTGCAATCACTTTGGCCTCCTCCAACGCTCGGGCATCAGCACGAAGCACGGCCGCCGTCGATCGTTTCGAGCCGTCAAAGTTGAAGAATTCCTGGTACTGCGACGCGCCACTGTCGAGCTGATTGGGCACCAGTCGTCGCTTGAAAAATGCCGCCGTCGACGACTTTGCAGAGGTACAAGTCTTTATGGACGTCAAGGGAGAAGATGATGAAGGCTTATTGGTCTTTGTCGATAGATTCAACCCCGATGCAGCGAGGAGAGCCTGCGATAATAAAGATGGATTCAGTACAAGGCATTATAGAGCCATACAATGCACGCAATACACGTACATATTGATCCACATCTTCTTCTTCTTCTTTCTTCTTCTTCTTCTTCTTCTTCTTCAGCAGTCATTGTCTCTTGATTGGGTTCCGTCTCAGTATCAGGTTCTGATTCCATGACCTCCACCAACTGTATCGTTTCCGTCTGTTTCTCGTCCTTCTCGTTCTCCCCGTCCTTCTCGTTCTCGTCCATATCGTTCTCGTCCATATCGTTCCCGTCCTTCTCGTTCTTTTCGTTCTCGTCCTTCGCGTCCTTCTCCTTTTCCTTCTCGTCCTCCTCATCCTTCTCGTTCTTTTCCTTCTCGTCCTTCTCGTTCTCGTCCTCTTCGTTCTTTTCCTTTTCGTTCTTTTCCTTCTCGTTCGTCTCGTTCTTCTTTTCTTCTTCTTGTTTCGGTTCCTGATTCTTCTGTGGTGATGGTGAACGACACAAATTACAGACACTAGAACGTCCAGACGGAGAATTCATTGGAGACGGATCTGAGCTCATTTTGGCGGCCTCCGCCTCTGCCTTCGCTTGAAGACGACGCGACGTCCGGCGGGTCTCGACCATTTTTATTTCTCACTGACAAGAACTATTATAAATTTGACTGGTTGCGGATAATAACGACTAGTGATTGGATGAAAAACGATCGGATCAGATTTTTATAATAAGACTCAGAAAAATAATGTGTACTTTTTGGAGCCTTTTTATAATAGACATTTAGTGGTGGAATTGGATCAAATTAGGTGAAAATGGGACGTAAAGCGGTCAGGAAATTGGTCAAGAAGGCCCCAGTACGTAGCTGTTTCAATAATAAATATATATATGTGACGATGTTCCATCTAATACTGTTTTTTTATATTACTAGAAACTTATTTTCACTATTGCTACAAGCACGAATCAGAATCAGACTCAAAAGAACAAGAAGAACAAGAAGAACTTGTCTTATGTTGTAAATGACGACGTTCTTAAGCTCATGAGGAAACAATTGGCTGACATTGGGTGTAAATTACATGTAAGAATCTTTTGTTCTTGATAAAAAGAACCTCTATAACCCTTTTTTTCTATTTTTCTATTCTTGCAGGAAGTAAAGGGTGACGGCAATTGTCTTTTCCGGTAACTTGTCAGTCAGTAAATGAATATTTGCAGGTTGAGAAGCTTATAAACTATAGGTTCTTGCTGCTGCAGAGCATTAAGTGACCAGCTTTTTGGTGATCAACAACAATATCAACAAGTTCGCGAGGTGAGAGAGAGAAAAAGTTTCAAGTTCTTGACGTAATTCGTATCAATTTTTCTCACTTGTTCTTGTGTGCTTTTTGGTTTCTTGGTATCTAGAAAATTGTGAACTACTTGGAACAACATCGCAACGACTTTGAGCCGTTCATGGAAGACGAGGAAAAGTTTGAAAAGGTGCTTTGTATACCATTTTTTTTTTGTAAGAAAAAAAAGATGCTGAAGTTGTGATTGTTTGGAAAAATAGTATTGTGATCGGATGCGAGACAATGGCACGTGGGGTGGCAATCAGGAGCTATACGCTGCTGCTCGACTCTTTCAAGTGTACATCATTGTTCATCAGAACCAACCGAGTGCTCGAATAATGGTCATCGAATGCGACCAACTCAAGCCTACGCGGGTAATACACGTCGCCTACCACGGTGAGGACCACTACGACAGCGTACGAGCAATAACGGACCCCGTGGAGCCTGATAGTTTACCCGTTTCAATCGAGCTTGACTGCAATGGCTTTCGGTCCGAGGAGTTTGCCAAGGTGTGGTGTGCAACTTGCGATAGAATTTTCTCGCTATTGTTACACGAGTACTAGACGTTTGTGCTGGCCTTGTCTGCATGCTTGTAGCGGTGGCAAACGCAGGCTACTCCTGTGGCAAGCGATGAGCAGCGTGTCGTTCCAAAGTCGTCTATAGATCCAGCAGACGCCGAGGTTGATCAAATTGATCAACTGGCAAGTAGTCTCGGTGAACAGCTACAGATAGCAGCAAGAACGGGAAATGATGTAGCTAAGATGACGCTGAGCAAGAAAGAGAAGCGTCAGATGCGCAAAGTCGCAAAAGCCGCAAGTCGCTCCGCTCGGAAGCTGCAGTCGACGCTGAAATAGCGACGGTGCAGATATCGTCAGAAGAAACGATGTGGCTCTGGTGCACCACTGCTAGACGGAGCAGCACATTCAACGTCTTGCGTATCCTATCTCCGTATTTTCAAAAGCAAATGTGTGAGTCTGCTATATGTTGCGTGACGTGTTTGACAACTGTATTCATCGATTTAGATGCCCATGTTACATATCAAGTAGAGACCATGCAGCGTGTCATCCACTGCCAAAAGCGTGAGGATCCAAAACTTATCCAGTAAGTCATGAAGAGCTACGACTGCCCAAGAAGATTGTCATCATTTCCAGAAGTTGCTTCAGCTAGACCTTTCCGACTTTCTAGCAGGAACAACCCTCTTAGTGTGTAGCGTCTCTTACCCAGCAGGTCCTGTCTAAGAAAGGCAACGGTCGAGTAGGGATGCAACGCTGTTCTCACATCTTCACGTGCCGTTTTCAAAAGAAATTCCAGCCAGTGTGCAAAACTTCATCCTGCTTCCCTCATGTAAGTCTGTCATCCCACGTCCTGACGGCCAGTTAGACCAAGTAGACCTCAAAGTACCGAACTTGCAGCTCCTTACGTCTAAGAAGTAACACGACGACATCATAGGGCACAGCATCAAGAGCTCTACGAAAGCCACGCCAAATCAACCGCTGGATCAAGTCCATTGCTGACTTGGATCGTTCTAGGCCACAAGTTCACTAATAAACTAATCATCATCCTTGAAAGGCTCATGCAGATACGGCTAAAAAAAATTGAAAATGTCGTGAACAAGACGACATTGTCCAGTGTGGACATTGTTGACTTGACTCGTTTTTGTCTGCACATGTCGTAATCAAATGAGCTTGTCTTTTATGTATCCGGATCAACGCCATGACTTGACAGTTCTTGCTGCTTTTCCATCATCTGCAACAATTTTCACAAAACAAAATGACAATAGAAACAAAAATGACAATAAGACACTCGAACAATATGAAATCACACCTTTTCTTGGACTTCTTGCAGACATTTCCACCCAAAGAGAATGCGCTTGGAGATCGTTTCGCCGTCCTAATGTTATATTAGTATTCAAATATTACATTAGGGTTTATATTGTCTTTTTTCAGAAAATTAGTTGACATTTTACCGTCTCGTAGCGGTTCTGTTCGATCTCCATGCGCGCATTCTTCTGCAGCACCGACGACCAGAGCTGACCTTGATCGTTGCAGTGTGGAAACATACGTGAGACGAGCAGGATCTGGCGATACAGACGCAGCACCTCCTTCCTCTTGTTAAGTAGAGCCATCCCGTAATTTAATTCAATTGTTTAACATTAAAATCCAAAAAATAACACAATATTCACAATAGGGTTGCTTCAAGCTGATATTTGAACGATTATTTTATACCTGACTTAAATGATAACCTCTAAAAATATATAGAACATCCAGTTTAGTGCTACTATTTATGCAATAATGTCAAATACTTACTGCTTTTACATGTTGAAGTTGTGCTTTTTCATATATGACGTGGGTCACACAAATGAATGTGATTCACACCAAAATGTGACGATCTGTCCCCATACCAATGTCAAGTCAAGTTGCCACGTACCAAAAAGACTGCACAACAGAATGAAAGCACTGATCCTCGTGGGCGGCTTCGGTACGCGACTACGACCGCTCACACTGTCATGTCCCAAGCCTCTTGTCGAGTTCTGCAACAAGTCCATTGTCGTGCATCAGATTGAGGCGCTTGTAGCGGTGCGTAGCGGTCAAAATTTGCTAGTAAACATCATTTTTGACAGTTTGGTTGTCAATAATGGTATCTACTTGTCAAAAATACAGGTCGGGGTCACGGAAGTAATTTTGGCAGTCAATTATCAACCTCAAGTGATGCTGGCAGCACTGGAGTCTATGGAAAAGAAGGTTCGGAGCTTGTGGTGATGCAGGATTGCATCCGGGGCTCCTTTTTGACACATGGCAGTACATTTGATTATTGACAGTGTGTTGTATTGACTTATGTTATTAACTTATAACAGTACCAAATTAAAATCACATGTTCGCATGAGACAGAGCCATTGGGTACTGCCGGGCCATTGGCTTTGGCACGAGATCTACTGAATGATGGTGATCCGTTCTTCGTGTTCAACAGTGACGTCATTTGCGAGTATCGACTGCAAGACTTTCTGGATTTTCACAAGGCCCATGGAGCAGAGGGCACCCTCTTGGTCACCCGAGTGGATGAGCCATCCAAATATGGAGTGGTGATTTCCAACGCTGACGGACAGATCCAGCGCTTTGTGGAAAAGCCACGTGAATACGTGGGCAACAAGATTAATGCAGGTATCTATATCTTCAATCGTGAAGTGCTGGACCGTATTCAGCTGCGTCCAACGTCTATTGAGAAGGAGATTTTTCCACAGATGGCAGCAGAAGGAAATTTGTTCTCGATGGTGTTACCTGGCTATTGGATGGATATTGGCCAGCCAAAGGATTTTTTGTCGGGCATGTGTCTGCATTTGGATTTCGTGGAGCGCACGAAACCGGATACACTGTCAATAGGCTCCAAGTTTATTGGCAACGTGATGGTGGACCCCACTGCGATGGTCGGCGACGGATGTCTGATTGGTCCCAATGTTGTCATTGGTCCCGGATGTGTTATTGAAGATGGTGCGAGGAAACAGTTGTTAGATGCTGGCATGTTCAACGACTATTGCTGATGTGTTGTCGATTTACATCTTGTATTTCGGTAGGTGTTCGACTCAGCCGGACGACGCTACTTCGTGGTGTAACGGTGCGCGCGAACTCGTGGATCCATTCAAGCATTATCGGATGGGGCTCAACAATCGGCCGATGGGTGCGTGTTTTTATCGTAGTGAACTTATCTTAAAAGGCGCTTATGCATCATCTTGTGTGCTTGCTTTGCTTTCAGTGCCGGATTGAAGGAACTACCGTTGTCGGAGAAGATGTGCAGGTAAAGGACGAGAAGTTCATTAACGGCGGCCTTATTCTGCCGCATAAAGCCATTTCGACCAGTATTCCTGATCCAGGTACTATCGTCATGTGACTGGGCCAGTGCCATTACTTTGGCAGACAACAAACCACCTCCGTAGCGAGCACATGTCCGTTTCTCTTTCTGCATCGTGTTGCATGTCGTCCCAACAAATCTGTACGGCAACTGTATACACGTATTTTTTCGTCCAATAGAGGCTCCATTAGCTTGAACCTAAGCACTACCTGCTATATGTTTTGCGACCACCTTCGTCGAATCAAGACGAAGGAAGCACGCATGTTGAAGCAACAGCTTACTTGGCCGGCATCGACTCCTCTTCACTCGAGCCAGACATCGACGACATGAGAGTTGAATGGGCATTGGGAGAAAGTAAACTAAGATCGTCGCCCACGCGAATGCGGATCTGGTTCGTCTCGGATTCCCATTTGCTTTCGAGGTGCTCGATGTGGTTTCGCAAGGTTCGGACTTCAACAACCATATCCGAGTAGCTCTCTTCCGTGACGTTGTTGAGCTTTGTGCGGTCACGACAACGGTAGGCACCCTTTAGTGTTTCACCAAAAGCCACCATGACCAGGGCAAACACCATCGAGAACATCCACTCGTACCATTCAATGTATTTGAAGCCAAAGATATCATCGTTGATGATGGGGATGTTTGTGACCGACAGAGTCAGCGCCAGAGAGCCCACCGCAGCCATCTGCATCCACTTGTTGCTGAACATGTCCTTGAAAACTGACTTCGTAAAGCTGCGTGCTGTGTAGGCGCGAAGCATTTCCATGGTCGTGATGTAGACGAATGCCATCGTCTGCGATCGCGAGATGCCCTCAGACACGCACTCGTAGTTTCCGCCGTAACATAGCAACTCGTTACTCTCATAGTAGTCCAGAGAACGGATATTCTCAGCAAAGATGTAAGTACCGTTGAGATTGCGTGCTCCGCAATTACTGTATATTTGACGCGGATTACCCAGACCCATCCAGCGAGAGCATACCACGTTTCTGTAAGCCTCTTCACCCTTGTCAGTATCAATGCCGGCGATGATATCATCGAATAAAACATTTTCAAAATTCCAGTAGAGGCCGCACGTAAATACTATCAGTGCGCCAGTTGCAATCAACAACGCATTCGATAGCACAATAATCCAGAGACGGCCAAAAATGATGCGCTCTGAACGGGGACGTGGGCGCTGCGACATCACAGTACCATCACCCTTCTCAAGGCTGAGAGCGACGGCGGCCATACCGTCAGCAAACAGGTTGAGCACCAAAATTTGCAAAGGTTCCAGAGGATTAGGCATGCCTGCGGCGATAGCTGTAAAGATGAGAGCGATTTCACCAAAGTTGGTCGACAGTAGGAAACACACGAAGCGTTGGATGTTGCCATAGATTTCGCGGCCTTTTTCGACGGCGGAAACAATGCTACAGAAGTTATCGTCCGTTAGGATCATATCCGAAGCGCCCTTGGCGACAGCTGTACCAGCAATTCCCATTGCCACACCAATGTCGGCTTCCTTCAACGCGGGCGCGTCGTTGACACCATCACCAGTCATCGCTGCCACATGACCTTGACGCTGTAAAGACTTGACGATTTCAATTTTGTCTTCAGGTTTAGCGCGTGCAAACACTGACACTTGACTGGTGATTTCATCCAGCTCTGCATCGGGCAGATAAAGGTTTTGACGCAGGCGTAACACACCGCAATCCACAGCTTGCACTTCGGCGTCAACACCTACTGGTAGTAAGTTAATATCATGAGCAATAGCCACTGCTGTCTTTAAATAGTCTCCAGTGATCATTACAGTTCGAATGGATGCTTGGCGAGCAGTTTGAATAGCTTCCTTGACCCCCGCTCGAGGAGGATCAATAGAGGCAACAAGACCGACAAAGATAAGAGGTTCACAAAGAGCCTGAAACTTCGTCTCCACATCTTCGTCACTCAAAAAGGGCATCTTGTCCAGTGGGCGGATAGCGACAGCAAGGACACGGAGTGCTTGAGAAGACAGCGCGTCCACAGCCTCTAAGATGTTATCACGATCACATTCGTGCATGGTCGTCACAGATCCGTCTTGACGTAGCACCTGAACACAGTTTTTGACGATATAATTTGGGGCTCCCTTCACATTCGCAATCATCATAGTCTTGGCTGGCAATTTCAACAAGCCCAAACGTGGCTCTCCAGCAGGTAGCTCGTTGACAGTGATCATCATCTTTCTCGTAGACGAGAAGGGCACCTCCATCAGTCGAGGGTACATCTTCATAGCCTTCTCGCGCCAGACACCTGCTTTAGCAGCTGCAACAACGAGCGGGGCTTCAGACGAGTTGCCCATTGGAACCCAGATTGAAGCACCAGTGTCGCTCTCCTCTTGCTGTAAGCTCGTGTTGCTGCATAATACCGCTGAAAGTAATGTCGTGTGCACTGGGATTGACACCGATGGCTCCTTGGTCTGGCTTACACCATCGCGAAAAATGTCACCCGAAGGGTTGAAGCCCGTGCCGGTGATATCATACACGACCGAGTCACTCCACATTTTCACGGCCGTCATTTTTCCTTCGGTCAGAGTGCCTGTCTTGTCAGTGCAAATGACAGAGCTGGCACCAAGTGATTCAACCGCAGCAAGTTTGCGAACAAGGACGTTCTTCTTCACCATGTCGGCCGTACCAGTAGACAAGCAAATAGTAACTACCATAGGCAAACCCTCCGGCACAGCACTGACAGCTAGCGATACCGCAATCATCACCACGTTAAGCCAGACAGCACGATCAGGATTCTTCGGGTCTGTGTTGTCACGTACCATTCCTACAATGAAGACGACCACACAGATGCCCAGCACAGCGGTTCCCATGAATACACCGAGGTTGTGGAGACTTTGCTGCAGGGGAGTCATCTTTGGGTAATATTTGTCAAATCTGTGCCAGCAGTTGGAGTGTTTAGCGCCATCAGCGCCATTGCCTCCTCCCTCCAGTAGCATTGCAATGGATCCAACACGTGTGGCCATGCCTGTCTCGACGACAACACCAGTAGCGTTTCCAGTAGCAACTGAAGTTGAAGCAAACACCATATTGTCTGCCGTCAGCTTCTCGCTGCGGCTTTTATCGGCATCGTACTTCTTCAGCACATCCTCAGATTCTCCAGTCAAAATCATTTCATTGACCTTCAAGTCTGAGCTCTGAATGAGGCGAATATCAGCCGGTACAATGTCACCCGTAGTCAACACGACAATGTCACCAGTGACAAGTTGCTCGCTTGGAATCTGCACTTGTCGGCCGCCATCGCGTAGCACCACACACTGCGGCGACGTCATCTTTTGTAACGCCTCAAGAGCGTTACTGGCATTATGCTCTTGGACCGTCGCAACGATTGCATTTAGCGTCACAATAGCAATGATAGCGAGACCTTCAACGTACTCTTGCAAAGCAATCGAAGCCACGGCTGCAGTCATCAGCAGACCAATGATCACGTTCGTGAACTGCAACAGGAAAATAATATAGACAGAAGATTTCTTCTCTGCATCAAGAGAGTTGGAGCCATTTTGGTCCAGCCGTTGACGGGCAATCTCAGTGTCAAGGCCGTATTTGGCGTCCACGTTGAGGTGCTGGAGGATAGTAGCTACTGGCTTATCGTGCCAGACCCAATGATCCTCTTGGTAATCGACTTGAGCAAAAGATTCCTGAGTTTTTAGTGGATCTGTAGCTACGAGACGCTCCGCGTCACTCAAGAACCGATTGCGATGCGATGCACGCGAGCGCTCGCTGACTGTAGCGTCGAAGGCGACGGGCTGCTTATCAGTTCGTAATTGATTCTTCTTCTTGTCATTCGTAGCGTTAGCTCTAGGAGTGCGCACTCTAGCGTAAGACAAAGAAAGGGAAACCCGTGTCTCCTCGGCTGCGTCTTGCAGCAATGTTGTTTGTGTGAATTTACTCGAGTCTACACATGAGATTTGGTTATACAAGTCTGGGGGATCGGCCATTCAAGGGCGAAAACAGCGCGGGAATGAAACGAGATTGGAAAGAAAGAAAAAGACTTGGGAATGACTGACTTCAATGCGGCAAATTTGAAAGTGATCACAAATGCGGAAGTGGGGGGGGACGGTTTGACCTGCATTCTTTCATTTCCGTTGTTGAAGTTGTCGTAGGAGTACAGTACGGATACTTAAGTTCAATCTAATTAGAAAAAGTTTGCCTGTGATATTACATTTATTCTAAAATTGAATAATATTGATCCATAGTATGTACGAAAAAGGTACTTTCGAATACCTCACGAGAAGGTGTTCTGAAATTTATTCTATTTTCTGGTGATTTTGAATGCAGATAAATTGCAGTCTCATGAGAAAGGGCCACCTCTCAAATCTTGTTGTCGGCTCCTTTTTTCGAACTTGTACTGTACTGTACCGGTAACCGTAAAATTTGTAACGGTATGTCGATAGGTCGGTCATGAAGGTTGAACTTTGTGCCCTATATGCACACGAACGATATTATCAGCCAAGAGACTCTGATGAATCACAGAGGTACACACTGAGACCACATCAGCAACGACGGTGACTGCTTTCTCCACAATTGACGTTGACTCAGATCCCGTGCGAGTCAAACACTTCCTTACCAATTAACTCTGGTTAAAGTTGAATTGGACGTCACCTTGCACCGGTTGGAAGTTGAGCTTCTCGCCGGTCTGCTCTGACCGCACCACGGCCGGCGCTAGCATTGAGTCGGTCTCATCGACCTCGCTATCAAACCATGTGTCTATCAACTGCGACGCCATGCTGCTAACATCGTCGTTCTGGTCGTACGACAGCTCCTCTATCTTTGCCAGACACCCGCTTTCCTCGACTGCTATGCGGCCTTCCTGTAGATCCTTCTGTAACAAGCTCTCGATCGCCTCCAAGATGACCAACTCCACCATCGGGTCTTCCCACTCGTCAAGAAGTGGGCAGAACGAATGCAGCACGCCCATACGCACCACTTCCTTAACGAACTCGATGTTTGCTCTCACAATGATGTTGCAAATGGCCCACGTAGCCTCGCGCTTCACACCATATTCTGCCCACGACATCTGCTCCACTAACCCAGCAATTACTCCAGGAGCATTCATCATTGCAACTACCTGCTCTTCTTGTCCACCAGCAATATTCGACAACATCCAGCACGCTTCTTCGCGCACCGCTCGACTGGTTGTGGTCATCACGCTCGGTATCACTTCTAGCAGCTTAGCATCAATCACGGCCTGAGAAAACGAGATTTCCGCGGACACAATGTTGCCCAGTAGTCGCAGCACCGGCGCGAGGATGATACTGCTTTGAGAAATGTACAGAAGCTCAACAAGTCGGGGACACAAACCTGCATTAACAATACCACCAACAACGTCGGTATCGTGCAATGTCATTTCGACAAGTGCCCAGCAGCTATCACACAACGTGAGTACTTGCTCATCCAAAAGATCGGTTTCTTCGTCCTCGTCTTCGTCTTCACCAATTGCATCATCCATGACCTGCAGCGGGCGCATGCCTGCCTTCTTCGCTTGAAATACCATGTTCTCGCCAGTCTCGAAGTTCACGTCAACATCCATGACCTCCACGGTCGCAGCATCCACTTCGCGCACAAACCGGACGACAGCAATATCGTTTGGAGCAGGCTTGCCCGTGTTAATCTACCTCAAAAGGGACATGGTCAGGCTATATTCAGTATTATTGTTAGCTTTTAACGAGCCAAGAATAGTAAAGTGAACGTACCTCAAAGATTCGCCACGGGGCAATGGCCGCTGTCTTTTTAAACTTGATCGCGTCGCCATCTTGACCATTCGCTGAGACAAAGTTACTTACTTTTTCATTCGATAGTTGCAAGATAATACTCGACAACACCTCCATCATCTCTCGCTTCGTGTTTGGTACCATCACGCCACTCTTATCCATCACATCTGGAAACTCTACAAGACTGCGCAACAACCACACTGCCGCGCGACGAAGAGCCGGTGTAGCCATCCGAATATGAGGCAGCACCATACTAGGTGGACACAATTTCACGATCTCCTCGCAGCATTCAGCAGACGCGGACGCAATGTTGCCTAGACACCAAGCAGCCTGAATCTGCAGCTCTGAGATACCAGACTGAAACAGTTGTACAAGCTTCGGGACTGCACCCGATGCAATCACAGCATTAGCCTTGTCCATAGATGAAATGAATCGTAGCGCAAAGGCCGCGTCCGAATGCAGCTGCACTGCAATGACGTCCGACAAGTTCTCGTTCAAAATAGCCACAAAAGAAGGCAACGCAGCCAAGATGGTGCACCATAGACCTTCATGTTGTGAGTCGTTCTCGTCAAAGAGCGGCGGTACGCCACTCGACAGCAAGTATACAAAGGCACGCACAGACTTTTGTCTCGTCAGCGCGTCTGGACGTTGGATGCCTGTAGCAATAGCAGTAGTACAGTAACAAACAATAGTGTTATTATATCTAGTATATTACTTAATGCATTCAATAGTAGTAGCAGACGTACCTAATAGTAAAGCCTGAGATCGAGAGGCCAAATTGAGTAAAAGTTCCTTGCGACTTGCGGTCTGTGCGGCTGCCGATGGATGATTTGCTTTGAGGTTACGGCGTGTAGCATAAGCATCTTCCTTCTTGGATTTACGGATAGATAACATTGTCTCTTGGCGGTTACGGCGTCCCGTGAGCATACCTACATTGCCACCCACTTTGACGAACTTGCGCGCCTTGGGAGTCGACATTACGCTGATTCACTTGATGTTAGTATGTGACCATGCGGACATACCTAACACGTACTTTTAAATCGTACGTAGAAGGAGCACCACTGTAAGTAAAACATGCAGAGGACTGTATTGTATCGTATAAGTACGAATGAGAAGTACGCAATAAGTGCGACTACAAATCCTCACTTCTTTTTAATTATGTCCGTCCACACCAACTGAGATAGATGTTTGCTTGAGGAATGCCTCCTTCTTTCGAAATTGTGACAAAAGTCGTACCTATCGAGAAAACAAGCTTCACCCGCACATAATGGTCACTCTTTGTCGATGTAATACAAGTAAGTTATTGAGAATGTCGCTTTATGAAACGTGTTACCTGTAGTTGACGAACAAAATAAAAGCATAATTACTACCTAAAATTGCTTTGCCTTACGCGGGTCGGACCAAGCGGGTTTCGGGTTCGTCCAGACACGCACATTCTCAAACTTGGCTTTACCCGTAGCCTTCAATGCGATGCCATCCGATTTCGTCTTGCTAGCACACGGATAGATTCGAGCTGACAGGGAAAAGCGGTCGTTTACAAACACCTCGACACTGGACACGTCCACAAATACGTGAAAACGCAGCTTCTCACGAGCAGTTTCACACACGTCGTTCTTTGAACCCGTAAAGAGGTCGTACAGGTAAAAGTGGCCCCAAACCGACTCCGAGGCAGGTTTCATCTTATAGTCCGCGAACACGGCACAGGTCGCACTTGAACTTCTCGAGCGGTTAATGATCACCTTCTTCTGTTTGTCATCATACATGATGGTCGTCACCTCGTCACCATCCGAGCTGCGACGAACCTCGAAACCAACCTTGCTACCACGCTCAAAATTAGAGACCTCAGCAATCAGTTCAAACGAAGTACCCGTTGAGCTCAACACACGCGAGCCATGGTTGATCGACATTCTCGTAATATGTTCGAGCGCATCATTGTTGCGTAGGAGCTGTAGGTCGCTCAGTGGTTTCATACCAAGCGTTTTGATGGTTTTTTTCTGCTTGATCATGCCATTGCTGCACTCGACGTCTTCCCAGTTGAACACGATCGTGTCGCCTAAGCCTACGAGACGGTTTTCCACATCGTAGATGTCACGAACGATAGCAACAGTCACTTCACGCTGCAACGAAAGGATACCGTCCCAGCCTTGAGGCTGTCCCTTCTTAAAGTTGTTGTCCTCAGTGAGCCAGCCAACAAGAACATTTTTACCATCCTTGTTCGTGTACATGTTACCGGCGTACCATTCGCTGCGGTCCACTATGCCCACTGTGTTAGGAATAAACCGACTTGCTCCCATGTCCATCTTGGCACCTTTGCCATGACCGGAGAACGATCCAAACGCCCACATGACGTATCGATCCGGTTCACTCTCAGCAGCGAACAGTAACACATTGTGGGAATAACCGTCCTCGTCCTTTATTTCAAGGTAGACAGGCATCTCAAAGTTATAGCCGTAGCTTTCACTGTAGCGAGAGAATGTCGTGTTTTTCTCTGGGGCAAATAGGAACCCCTTGTACTCCCAGTTCACGTAGTCTACCGCATGATACAGGAAGAGACGCGGACCTTCATCTCGGACACCACCGGCAATGATAAGGTAGTTACTGCCTTTCGAGGCGTCGTATCCGAAATGTGCGTCCAGCGACTTTGAGTGGAACGGGGACGGATCGCGCCAGCCAGTCACACTGAGATCCGGCGGTGGGTATTTAATTAGAGGCTTCGTGTCCTTCTGCCAGGTCTTACCGTTATCGTCGGTGGTGGCATACATGACATGCTCACCGTTCAAGTATGGTTTCTTCCAGGCAATGCCAATAGCAGTGACAGAAGTGTAGAATATCGTTGTTTTATTGGCAATAGCATTCTTCATTGTGTAGCCCGAAAACACACCTTTGTGGTCCCACTTGTTCTCCTTCGGGAGCAGTGCATCTGGGTAGTCTTCCCAGAAAACCTGATCCTTCGAGACAGCGTGACCCCAGGTCATATTTCCCCAGATCGTCGAGGACGGGTTTGACTGGTAGAACATGTGGTACAGGTTCGTGACCTCATCGTAATACGCACCACACGGGTCATTCATCCAATTCTTGCGTGCCATGAAGTGAAAAATCGGGCGGAACTGATCAAACAGCTTCGACCCGGGCCTAGCCGGCACGATATTCAGGGCAGTAGCCGGCTGAGGACTGAAGGCAAGAGTGGCAACGAAAGCACCAAAGGCCACGATACTCGGGAATATCTGCATGGTTGGTAGCGAAAAAGCAAAGATCAACCGGTTGAGAAGTTGCTTGGACGATGCAAATTGAATTGTGAACTGATAGAGACATCTTGGCCCTCAAAAGCTTGAGATCAAAGGCCCAACATGAAGGCTCAACATGGAGGACTCGCTCTGTGCTTGAAGTTGAGCGTAGCTTATGCTTTTCCTGATGAAACCTTGTCCTTTTTGCAACATGTTGAGCTTGACTTGCACACCGGCTTGGCTGAGCCAGTAAAAATTCCAGCAATATCGTCTATCAAAACGGTGTAACTGATGCTAACGCTTCTGATGTTGCAGATGCGAACTCTGTGCTCTATTTTGATTCCAGGATACCTGATCTGAGCCTGATACAAGCAGGTCATACATACTGAGGGAGCATATCTTTCTCGATAAGTTCAAGCCAGCCGCCATCAATAGTGTGACTCGCTGAAAAAAAATGCCAATGTCTTTGTCATGTGGTACGGTTGAAGATTACTGCTCCGCACTTGAAGAAAAAGCTGGTACCGGCCCCAACTGTTGTGCAAATTGTTTTGAAAAAGCATCCCCATAACACACCAAGCAGCATGATCAAGCCAGTACAGTGTCACACAAGCAATTGCTTGAACAGATAGAATATACCACCGTTGTGAATCTAGAAATTTGCCGTGCAAGTTCAACCGTAAGTAATTGATAATAGCATGTGCAATACGTACAAGTAACACGCAGAGCAGGGTTTGTAGGCGAGGAGGATTCAAAGAACCGCAGTTCATCACCAGCTGACCCAACTGAACATGTCGAAATGTGCGACGCGTTCACTAGAGCCAATTTCAAAGGAGTATGCTGCAACAATGTTATGTCAAGTTTAACAAGAGTTCTCTAGGAAAGCTTTAATTTGCTCGTCGTATTGAACCGTAGTACGTGGTCACATCATTTCGGAGAAGCAGATCGTCGGAACGGACACGGGGCAAACCCTGCACAGAATTGGCCTACATTTTAACGATTGTGTTCGAAAAAAAGCATCACTCAAATGTCTCTTCGTCGTACATACGAGTCGCTCATTTGTGCGGATTTTGCGACTAATTGAATTGAACTGTCGTTGCTGTATGATGCGATACGTATTGAGCAATGCAAGATTGCGACGGTGTAGCCATGATGGTTCCCCATGGTCGCTTCAATTGCAAAGCATTTAGCAACTTTTGAGCCATGCGGTGGTAGGTAAGCTTATAGTTATTCGTTTGTAAAACAGTCGCTTGTAAAATGTACTGAAATGAAATAATTAATCGTGGATTCACGGACTTGTATGACGTGCCACCCCTCCTCTGTATAGCATATAAATGTAATTTGCAGATAGTACTGCGTTTGAATATAAAATAGTAAAATGAAAGACATATTTTGACCAATTCACTAAGTTCGTATACAATCAAGTTTGTATACACTCAACGGTCACATGTGTAAATTCATTCATCACAATGTGACCGCTGTTCTTATAAAAGTTGACGAAGAATGGCTTTAGTAGTATACTACCAAACTAGTCTATTCCAACATCATCAATCACATCTACGCTTTATAATTCCAGAACTCAAATTTACAAATGAGGTAGTATTCTACCACCCTGACCATTCTACAGCTACAAAGTCGTCGCATACAAGACTCCTCCATATTCCTCTAAGCCTACGTCAATGCATTCAAGTCTTGAATAAACATAATGATATCATCCGTTCCAATGGTCTTGTACAAAACAAGCAGCATTTACGATGGTCAAAGATCACTTGCATTCTACTTGAAAAGAGTAGATGACAATTACTCATCACGTTACATTGTACCTTCCACACTGTGAATATCCAGCACGTCTCCATTATTTATTCCCATCAAGTGAAACGAGAAGACTTGATAGACCGGGGTTCGGCCGGTCTCATCGACTGATCTAAAAGTACTTACTTGGTCCATCCATCATGACCCGCAAGTCTCTCGTAATTTTCACTTGATTTAAGTATACGATTGTCTCAAATTCGTAGGGGGGGGGGGGTCCTCCTACCTGACCTTTTTCGTTGCAAAGGTGCTTCACCAGTAGTTCCTTTACATCCTCTCGATCGGTTCACCGCAGTTTTTATCACTCTTCTTTCCCGCCGTTCGTCTGTTTATCTTCCCCTCTCTCTCTTTGTACCAAGTGGCATTGTCACTTCCAATCGTCACAGTCAAAAAAAGGAGAAGAAAACGCTTCCTTCTCCTCCTTCTCTTCTTCTTCTTCTTCTTCTTCTTCTTCTTCTTCTTCTTCTTCTTCTCTCCTTCCTTCTCAGTCTAAACCTTTCAAGCACGAATTGATAGAAAGAAAGCGTTCCTTTGTCTTTTTCTTTGCAACAGAGTGATGCCGATTCAGGAGGACTTAATCGACGTGCAAAAGCAGCGTGTCTTTTCGTTTAAAGACGTGGTAGTACGACCACCATCGACATCAAGACGTACCAAGAACAAGTTGTCTATGGTTGTCAACAATCAAAGCAGTAAGAAAGAAAAGAAGACGCGGACAAAAGGACCACGGACGATTCGGTCGCGTAGCATTGACAAGATTGTAGAGAGTTCGAGCTTTACAAAACGTTGCGAGGCGTTGAAATCACCTCAGAAACGAAACCATGACGAGCCAAAAGGAGAAAACAATCCGTGGACAATTCCAAGTCGACGGACACCTGCATCTCGTGGAAACTTGGAGACGGTGAAAAAGGTGACACCATTGGAACAAATGTGTAAGCGTGAAGAATTGGTGTGTCATACGACCGAGAGCTTGGAAGGACGGAAACGAGCAGCTCGGACAATGTCGAGCTCTTTTGAAACGAGTTTGTTGCTGGAAAAAGACGATCAGTTGAATGGAAAAAGTGGCAGCTCTCGACTTTGTGCAGTGTCGGAGGAGCGACCGCTTGGGTGTCAAGATTCTTTGACGTTGGGTGGGCCTACATTTGAGTCAGATACTCGTGAAACACTTTCTATTACGTCAGGTGACAGCAGCCCTGATAAAGTGGATGAAAGAGGTCATGTGTCGAAGAAGACGGAGAAGAAGGAAGACATTCGGTGTCTTATATCTAGCGCCTCTCAGCTGCGTAGTCCCATTGTGTCTATCTCATCTCCGTCAAGGACCTTGTTTTGTAGAGGCGAAGGACTTGTTTGTTCTCATGAAAGGGATCTGGCAGTTGGGTGTTCCACAAGTAGTAGACACCAGACGCGTAAAGGATTGGAGAGTGACGATGACTTTTTGGATTGCGACGATACCAACAGTGAATCTACTGCCGATTCTTCGTGTCCGAGTCCTCACCACAGTCCGCTGTCGCACTTTGGCTCACACCGCCGCTGTGACTTGAACGAGATGGAGGCGTGCCAAGAAGACGACGAGTTGCTGAGTATGTTATCGAAATGTGAAGAAGAGGATGCAGAAGCGTACATGCTGCTAGATCGGATAAACAACTTGTCGCTAGAGTTTGTGGCGAACCGAGAGTACGAAGAGTCAAATGCTCTATCATGGTCCGTGCAGCATGCAGCTCAACAAGGCGTAATATCTACGCAGTTGCAGCAGAATCTGCTTACAAATATCTGCGAAGGGTATCTTGACGACGCCCGGGATGTATTGTACCACAAGTGTCATCTAGTGCCAGCAGTCGGCGGTGTCATGGAGAGCCCGATGCAGCCGACAATGGATCCAAATGCGTTGCAGTCGTTTGCAGATTATGTGAATAGCATATCACCCACTGACTTGCCTGAAGCTCGCATACACAAATTACATGTGCTCAAGAAGATGTCAGATCTGCTTACAAAGTGGGTGAAAGTGGTCGGGCGCAAGCGCGAGCTGAGTGAAGAGCATATCACGTTGACAAAGGGATCTCTATTTCTTGCGGGTTCATATCGTCTAGGTTTGGATGACCCCAATTCCGACATTGATGCTGTGTGTGTGACGCCATGGCATGTGACCCACGACGACTTTTTTGGGTCGTTCTGTCATCTACTGGAAAGGACGCCTGGAGTCTCTCACCTTGCACCTGTGCCTAATGCGTATGTGCCACTAATTTCATTGTCTTTCTTGGGGGTACGGATGGATTTGCTCTTTGCGCGACTACCTGTATCAAGTGTGGAGTCGAACCAGAATATTGATTCGGACCACATGCTAGTTGGCGTGAATGAAACCTCGATGAAGGCTCTAAACGCCCCGCGTGTCAGCTCCATGTTGTTGTGTTTAGTGCCAAGACGTCGCCATTACCGAATAGTGCTACGAGCCGTGCGCGCATGGGCGCGGTGTCGTGGAATCTACTCGGCCAAACTGGGATACTTGGGTGGAATTAGCTGGGCTATCCTGGTTGCATTTGTGTGTCAACTGTATCCGAACGCAGAGCCCGCAAAGATATTTGTGCGTTTCTTCCAAGTACTGTCAGAGTGGCAATGGCCACAACCTGTTATGCTAAACATGATCTACGATGCAGGACTTGGATTTGATATGTGGGATCCCCGTGAGAATGTGTTTGATCGATCGCATATCATGCCGATTATCACGCCGGCGTATCCGCATATGAACTCGTCCGTCCAAGTCTCGCAATCTACGTTCTCTGTAATGTATGAGGAATTGTGGCGTGCGCGGTACTTGGCTGAGATTGCCGTGGGTATCTCCAAGCCATTTTCTGCGGCTTCTCTTTCACCCGAGAGCTCAGAAGCTGACTTGAAAGCAGCGGTAGTATGTATGGCCACGTCAATGCCTTCCTTCGATCAGCCGCTCAATGCAGTTCACTCGATTCGAGGTGAATCTGAGGCTATTCCGGGTGTGTATGAAGCAGGTGTATGGGACAAGCTGTTCCAGACGTCCAATTTCTTTATCCGGTACAGCTCCTACATGGTGTTTAACTTCGAGGCGGCCTCTGAACGTGCAATGCACAAGTGGGGAATGTTTGTTCAATCGCGAATTCGGAAGCTTGTTGACAGCCTTTACCACATCTCGCCAGTTTCGCGAGTACATGCGTACCCTCAATATTTCGCCCACGTATGCGACGCCGAACATCAGAGACCTGGTTCGTGTATGTTTATTGGCATTGAGTTCCACTACCGCCGACATCAAACTGTTCAGCCGAAAGATGACCCGGAGGTGAAGAAAACGTTAGAGCAGACGATTCGGTTTTTCTTGGCGACAGATTTGCAGCAGATGGAGGACAAGCAGCCCGATATGGCGGCTGATGCCAAGGTGGTGAGCTGGAAAGAGCTGCCGGAATTTGTTTTTCGTTCAGGTCGTAGCCATGCCGCTCTGGAGCGTACAAAGTACACTGATGACTTGGAAAAGATGGGGTTTTCTCGCTGCAATACACCTTCTTTCCGACCACCTTACTACAATAACAGCTACAACCGCAACGGGAAGTGGCGAGGTGGTGGTCCGCGGAAGTATGCAGGTGGGCAACGAAAACGTCGGGAGTTTCGCAATATCTCTCGATCGTGCTCGGAAATGCAAGCAGGGTGAAGGATTTTGAGACTGCATTGTTCAAAGGTTGACCAAAGTACCAAGTGAATCTCTATCGACGACGTGGGATGCATTTCTTTGCAGTGCATTCCTTACTACAAGTATTTTTTCTCGCTGGTACGAGATGGCAGAGCAAGTTTTTGTCGAAACAAAGGACAAGAGACTAATTTTTTTGCAAGATAATAGTTGGTCACAAGACATGGATATACACCCGAGACGTGGTTTGTAAATTGTTATTATGATACGAAGTGGCTGAGAATTGATAACATGCGTTGAAGAAAGAAGAAGAAGAAGAAAAAAGAAGAAGAAAAAGAAGAAAAAGAAGAAAAAGAAGAAGAAACAGTTTTGAGAACGAGAACGTTGACAGTCGCTACCATGTATTTCGTATAAAGGAACAATCATTTCAGTCCAACCCTTGACCATCTGATCCTTTGTAAATGGTGCAATCATTTCCGTCTGACGATCAAAATGGCCACAGCCACCGCCCTCCCAACGTCACTACAAACCATACCTCTCTATAGTGACATCGCCGTCTACGCCAACCAATTCTATCGTCCAGTCATTTAATCAGTCGTCAATGGGTCGTGGAGCACGTAAAAGTCGTGCCGTGAGCACGTTAATACGCGCTGAGGACGCGGCTGAGGATGAGGTCCTTGAGACACCAGTACTGAGCTCCGCTGTGAAAAATAACGATGTCGAGAGCGATGAAGAAGAGGCAGAGGCAGTGCTTGAAGCTGAAATGGAACGTCGTCTCGTAGCGGACGCCCAAGACGACGTGACACGTCGAACCAATTGCATTTACAATTCAGAAGCTCTTTTACTTGTAGTCAAGGACTGGGACATGAAGGAATTGCCATGGGTAGAGACGCTGGAGACTTGTGCCGTTCCTCTCGAGCTGACAAATGTTCATGATGATTTGAAACGAGAAGTGGCTTTTTATAACAATACACTGGCAATGGTTCGTCTTGCAAAGGATCAGTTAAAGAAAGACAAGGTCGCTTACAAACGTCCAGATGATTATTTTGCAGAAATGCTCAAGAATGACGTCCATATGGCGAAAGTAAAAGATAAACTCATTTATGAACAAAAGAAGATTACGGCCGTGGAAGAACGTAAAAAGTCACAAGCTCATCGGAAAGTGGCAAAAGAAGTACAAGCTGAAAAAATCAAGGAACGGAATCAGCAGAAGAAGGACACACTTGAAGCAGTGAAACAATGGAAGAAACGCAAAGGAAATGATAAACGAGGGAGTCTCAAGAATAATAATGATGATGATGATGATGGAGAATTGGATTCGATCGTGGCTGGAAAGCGGAAACATGTGGATGGAGCACGTGATACTGGTAGTAAGAAACCTCGTGTCAACAGAGCTCGGGAAGCTAAGGATGCCAAGTTTGGCTTTGGTGGCAAACGACGTCATGCAAAAAGCAATTCAAAGGAGAGTACGAACGATTTGTCGGGCTTTCCAGGTGAACGGAAGAACAAGGCAAAACTCAAGGCAAAGACACTGGCTACACCGAAGGGTGGTAAACGTGCTGGCAAGACCCAGCGTACCAATCAACGCAACAAAAGTCGGCGGTAAATGACTTGATAGGTAGTTAGTTGGTAAGCTACGCCAACGCAGTGGAAGGTTACGGCTTGCTGCTTTACTTCTAGATGATAAAAGAGCTTTACATTTTTGTTTCATCCATCATGTCGTTTAGGTTTTGCTGCGGTACAAGTTTAGAAGGCTCAGACACATTTTCCTACGTCTTTAGAAAAGATGCTGTGGACGTCAGCACACAACAATGCTACTTGGCGTAGTCACATTTAGCCACAAGACGTCAGAATACCATCATTGACACTCTTCACCATTGCTTAAAACGGAATATTATTCTGTTGCATGAATGCCAACAACATCTGCCGCTCATTTGGTGGCAGCATGTCCAATTTTTGCGGGGTCATGTCACGAGCGAGTTCGGCGATAGCGTCAAATTGTCCGGTGTCGCCATCGGCACCACTGAGCTTGGCACGTTTCGAAGCGTCCTGGTCCCCCGTCGTCGGCATCATTCCTTCGTCAGCGGGACATGGTCTCTTAGCCAAACGCGGGTCTCTTCCTGGTCGTCGAGGGTCGCGACCTGCATGTGCCAAGTTACTGCTGGGAGGTCCACTTGACTGTGGAGGTCCAGTTGGGGTAGGCATTAAACCTGGTTGAGGCTGAGCGTGCTTGGGGCTAGAAGCAGAGACACCACCAATGGCAGGCCTACTAGCCATGGCAGCACTCGTCGACTGAGTAGCCAAGGGTCCGGGTCGTGCACTCCATCGGGTACCACCAGACTTGGCCGGTGCTGGCGGAGAAGGATGAGGAGCCATCATTGTCTGTTGGACACCTGGTGGAGCCGTCCCTAGAATCCCGGGACCTGGTCCCATCGATCCACCCATTGGTGGACATAATGGAGGTGGCATTATCCTTCCTGTCATCGGTTGTGGTTGGTGCATCGTAGGAGGCGGGGCCAGTAGCACTGCTTGTGTCTCGGTTGACGATGGAATTGAGATCTGTAGTGTCTTGAAACTTTGCACAATTGCATGTGTAAGGGCTGGATTTGCCATCAAAATACTCTTTGTCACTTCTGGTTTCTGTCTCGCAAGTTCCTTGAGCTGCACCAACATGTCATACAATTTAACTGGTCCAAGTCGTGCAATAGCCGACTCAATTGCATGAATTGCCATTTCTCCAGTCACCATCGTCGGAGGTCCTCCATCAGCTGTCACGCTTCTAAAATTACCATTAGTAGCTCCTCCAGTACGATTGTTTTGACTTCCATTCTCATGACGTTTCCGATCTCCACCTCCAGATTTATCACCACCGTCTGCAAAATCGACACGAAGATTTCGACCATTTATCTCATAACCATTGAGATTCCGCATAGCACTTAAAGCTGTTGCTCCGTCGGCATATTCACAAAAACCGTAACCTTTGGGTTTGCCCGTCTCTCGGTCGGTTACAAGGCTACAAAGGTATTGGAAAAAATACCGGTACAACTCACGGTTACTGTCCCTTTCTAACGTCATTTTTCACAAAATTTCGTACCGAAAATTCACGACAGACCCTGCCTCCGAGAATATTTCCTTTAGCATTTCTTCGGTTACATCGTATGGAATGTTTCCAACTGTAAATTTTGACAAAATATTGACAAATTAACGAAAGGAACAGATGAAATTCAAGTTAGCGATGGCTACATGAGGAGTTGGAATGCTAAAAACAGTGCAAAATGTAGCTGAAATAAAGAGGAAGACGATGGTGTACAGTATACGATCAAATGAGACATACCGAAGACGCTACGCTCCTTGGCAGAACTCGCTCGTGACTTATTGCTCATGGTGGAGACGATGGCGGGATCAATGGCTCTTAAAAACGAAAACCGCTCTTGGATCTGAATTGGGAATACTAGCGGTTTTATGTGGGTCACATTGACGCGAATGATACCGGTAATATCGGTTTACCTTGTAATAGCGTTAGAGCAGGGTGTAACCTTATCAGGAAGCTGTATTAGAGGCGAAAACCGTATTTAAAAGTAGGTAGTCCATGCCTCCTGCCTTTATCGCCCGAAGCTTGTTCTGTTAATGTATGTTTGGCTGCCTGACCTATCAAGACCGTAATACATGTACATGCACTATCTTTTTTCTCTCTAGTTTTTACCATAGACCGATCTAGCGGTGAAGAATCATTCTTTGGTTTCGACAAGTCAACCCTTAGGTCAGGCAGACCATTCTGAGCCTGGTGGAACTCTTTTGACGTAGCCATGTAACGCAATAGACTGGCCAGCTTTCGTTGTCTTATTACTGCAAGTGTCAGCAAGTAGAACTTCAATGAAGTAGAACTTCAATGAAGCAACATCGTTGCTTGGCCAGTGCACAAAGCGAGACACTTTTTCTAAACTCGTAATCCCATCGTGTCACAAATGCTGCCAACAGCTCTTCCATTGTCCATCCATCCTTTACTTGAGCAAGACGTTCTTCAATGAGATCACGCCGGTTTTCATAGAATACATGTGCGTAGCCGAAGTCCAGTGGAGCCGATTGAAAGGCTCATTCCAGCATTTTGCGGCAAAATGTCAGTGGTCGCATTAGCAGAGCAGCCAAGACTCATCTGCCACTGAACAGGAGAACGATGGGAGTTTGGACGGCTTCCAGTGCTTTCTTGTAACCATTGCAAGCAGACGCGCGCCAGGACTATCCAAGGTGGTCCAGGAACAGCTCACCAGATACCACTCAGACGAGGTGGTCGCATACGCCGTCGTGTGGAAACGACAACTTCGAGCTGCCGACGAATTACCACAAAATACAAGAAATCCGTCTGATGCTATGGCAACGTGCCATCGCAAGACAAACCCGAGTGCAGGTGATACGCCCCGTACAACCACCGGACTCGAACGAGGAATTGGCATTGCTAATCAGGGCTCAGGATCTACCAGACATCCTGCTACCGCTAAAGGTTAAATCAACTCGTCTACCTCTATCTCGCTAAGAATACGGAAGCGAGGTGTCGACGCGATGGATTTTGAGTCGTCAATTGAAAGGAGGTGGTGACAGTTCGACTCTATCGACACTGCTCATTCCCATCAGACACTTTGAAATAATACACGTGTAATGCAGCAATGCAACTCTTAAGGTAAGAAGGACCATTATCACGACAACAATGCCAATCAAGTCAGAAGAAGCATGAAGTTTGCGAGTATCGATAAAGCTATGCAAGCTACGAGACCGAAAGAGCAAAAACCTGTGTACCATGTACGGAGAAAGTCCTCTCCGTCGTCGGATCTACTTGTTTATGGCTCTCCTACATGTATCAGACAAGGTTCTAAAGAATGGAGCTTACGTCGAGTATTCTTAACGATGTTGCGTTTGGCGAGAAATCATAACGTTGATACATAGTAGTTGCAACGAACTACACTTCTATGTATCAACGTCGTGCTTCGCTAACGGTATCTCTACCATGGATATCCTCGACTCCCTGACAGTGTCCTTCAGAACAAATCCAGGGCGTGATGTTGTGGCAATCCTTTGTATGCCAAGGTCGACCACCGTCATGTTGCGGCAGAATACGATAAAGATGCCCTCGTTTCTATCGATACCCGACGACAGCCGATCGACCGATCGATTGGAAACTTGCAATTGTAAAGTTCACATGAGTAGCTTCACCTGCCTGTCACCAAAGTGTCAAGCTCCACCGCATCCGTAAACAGTTACTACTGCTGCATCGCTTAGCTTACCATTACTGTCTGTCTCGATAAAACGGTAAGACCTCTGGTCCTAGTTCAATGGATTGTCTTGAGACGACGTGATTTTACCACTACGCTCAAGAAGGTACAATAGTTGTCAACAAAGGTATTGCTTATCGCTGTGCAATAACGACTCGACATATAATATCGGTGGCCAGTTTCATTCTGTCATTCTTCTAGTTGAGCTCAGAATGCACCAAGTCATGAAACTAACTCCACCAGTGAAACATCTAGCGATAGTCTCTCCCCCCCTGACGTCATTTAAAGTCGTGTAGTATCATCTATCAGCCGTCTGAATTGAATTGTTTTGCCTCAAAAGGAGCTCCTATGTGTTACTGATACATGGCCTTTTTTGCAGTTGGTCCACCGTCGGCTGTCTTTTCCCCAGCACTCTCTCGCAATTGCCCCTTTGGGGTCATTCTCCGACTACCACGCTCGTCTGCAATCGAGTTTGTGTCGAGCAGTTGTAAAAGTGACACCTTGCGCGTGGATCTGTACCAACGTCAGCAACGAAATGTCGCTCGCTTGGCTTCGGAATCACGCGCGCAACCGCCATCGCGGTATAACCAGGACCCGCTCCAATAGTCAGCGCCTTGTAGCAACAATGCAAGCACACCGCCAATTCGCCAGTACTAATGAGGCCCATGCCTTTCGAGTCACCTATGACAGCTCCTTTGTCGTTGACAGCAGTGTCACGTCCCGAGATGCTAACTGGATTAGCGACGAGCAATACAAGCGCCAATACTTCCGTCTCGGGTGGAAAGTGACCCCGATACGCAAGGATGGCAACTGCCTCTTTCGAGCTTTAAGTGACCAGCTCTACGGACACGAACGACGCCACTTAGAGCTGCGTCGACGTCTGGTGGACTTTATTGACCTGGAACGCGCCTTCTTCGAACCGCTTCTGGGTGGACAAGGGGGAATCATTGAGTACTGCTCGCGACTTCGTGAAGCAGGTGCGTCGGGAGGCCAATCGGAGCTTCTCGCTGCATCGAGACTGCTGGGTGTCAACATTATAGTACACACGGGACCTGTCAAACGACTGCACTTCGACACTGACAAGTACGCAAGGACTAAGGAAGGCAAGGGCAAGACGATCAACCTGCTGCTCCAGCACGAGCATTACAGCAGTCTTCGCAAGAGTGCGAAACCTCTTCACCAGCAGCATGGATGTTCCGATACGTGCTTGTGCAAGCGACTTGTGACTCCGTCCAGAGCTTCACTTGACTCCCGTGCATCTCGTGATGCTCATCCGTCAGATTTATGGTCAGGTCAGCGTAATTCAGACTTGGACACACGCAGCTCTCTTGTTGACATCGGATCAGAGAAGCGTAGACGAGCTCCGATGGCGAAAGGTGCCTATGGACGCAAGCCTGTGCCGGACGCAGACACGAAAAGTGGCAAGGATAGTTCAGTTCGCAAGAAATTACAAAAGACCCCGGTCAAGCCACAGTCCCGACCACCTCCTCCACCAGAAAAGCCAAAAGCTTTGCCACCGGCGCCTCCATCTCATTATGTGCCAGCCAAGCCAAAGACTCCAGCTCCTGCACCACCTACCAAGCCCATGCCTCTCGTGCATGCAGCAATTAATAAACCGAAGACTGTGGCGCCATCGGCCAAGGTACCATCAACTAGGTCACAGCCTTCAATCCGTGTGCAATACAAGGCAGCACCGCCTCGTACGAAACTGCCTGCAGTGAGATCCAAAGGCCCTGGCGTGGTGCTCTTCCAGCCGGAGTCGTTGAAGCCTGTGAAGCCGAGGGCTCCGCTAGCGGTGCTGTTTGACCCTGAGCAGACTCCTGCATCTAGACCTACATCCACTCCGGTGTTCAAGAAGGCAACGGTGAACACGAGAACGCCTGTAAAGCCTAGGTCGGCTGTGGAAGAACCTGAGAATCACGTGGAAGTGCCTCAGTATGGTATCCTTCTGCCGCGCCGTGCTGTCTTCAACGGCGGCATCCGTCGTCGATCTAGCGCAGCTGCGCTATCCTTGTTGCAGGAGGTCTCGACAGGTTTAAACACCACTGATCGTGAGGCAATGAGCGCCAAAGTCAAGCCGGTGGTAACTGTTGCCAAGGCCGTTATTACGATCGAGCCGGCGGCGGCTACAATCGAAACTGTGAATCCAGCCAAGCCAAATCCGCCAGCGCCACGCTCCATGGAGGTTAAGAAATCTAGCAAGAAAGTTTTTTGCCAGGGTCGCCCCGTGACAGTGCGCTGAAGAAACGTTAGCAGTGATATCGCCCCGTGCTGAATGAAAGTCCGGGGCTTGTAGGATCGAGTGATGCGTTTCGCTTTGAAGAGCAAGCCGGGAACGAAGGAGAGTCACAGGACTCATGTCGATTTCTCTCTTTACCTTGTCTTCGATTGAAGAGGCCGAGGGTTCCCCATTAGACTCTGTGGATTGACCGATCCCAATCAAGTATATAAAGTCAACACGATAAAAGGATGACAGCGTTAAGAACGTCAAGTCGCTTTTTCAATGCATCAATTGATCACAATGGGTACAAATATGACTCACTAAGCTGCCAGGGAATATGCACGATACAGTCAATGACACAGTTGATTGTTTTATTGTGGACTTAAAGCTTGACGTTGAAGTTTAAGTCGAGAGTGATGGTAGAGTTGAAGTGGAAAGATGGCTACACAGGATACTGTATTGTTTTCGGCGCCAAGGGGTTGTGACACGTATTGATGTTGAAGTTCAACATGTACATGTACATAACTGAAGTAATGCTGACTCATTGCGAAAAAAGATTGAAGGAAGCAAAAAAATATCATTTTTGGAGGAACTGGACTCATTTAAATGAAAGGGCATGTTGATCTGATCCAGCGGGAAAACCATCTGCACGAAAAAAGTCGACACTGTTTTGGACGACGAATTAATCTCAAGAGGAGTGAATTAGACGCCGAATAGATGGTTTTAAGGATAAGGTGTAATAGACAAAGAAGGAGCAACCTCTTTATTCGTGGTTGAATCTAGGAAAACTCCCTCCATCCAATGGAGCACCATCACATAAAATTAGAACCACCACGTCACGATATACAGTCCAGTGTTATAATAACTCAGCAACAGCTGTCGAGCCCACAGATGGGGAAGTAGCTAGCTGGATACGCAACCATCGAGAAGCAATAGTTGTAGCATGACTTGTCCTTCCATAATGTCAAGCTTGTTTTCCTGATCATAGGACAGCACTACTTGAGTCAGTATTTTGCCGCTGTTGTGCATGAGATATGACCACTCTTTCCACCACATTGTGCGTCAGTTCAACCTGAACTTGCAGACGTGAAATGAGTGTGGAAACTTTCAATTGCTCCGCTGTCTCCTGCAGCCTGCCTGGGTCTGTACTACCAATCTCTTGCTATCCAGCTGGGGTTTTCGTCACGTAGACATTTCATTGCTGTTCAGCGTAGAGCGACGAGGTAACAGCAATCAAAGAATCATTACAGTTTTTTCTAACTTGTCCACTACAAATTTGCATAAAGGCAAGAGATTAAGCAAGCAAACAAATACAATGGTACTTGGCTGATACGAAACCATCCTTCGTCTTGCTGATTAATAACTGAAGTTTAATCAGTTGTTACTTCAGAAAGAAGTCACCGTCTTAGCTCTGTACCATCAAAAAGAAGATACAGACAGGGGAAATCCGATCCCCTTTTATATATTACGCACTAAAACCTCGGAATAATCCTCTCTTCCCCCTACGAATTACCTCTTTTCCCCCTCTCCCAGACCCCCTAAATTAAAAAAAAATCTCTCTCTTCTCCGTCGTCTTTTCCCATTCTTTTCTCTCTCTAAAAGGTATCGGTCGACCAGCATCAAAAGTACGTCACAAAGGCCCAATTACGAGCAATAATCTCCCCTCCATCGACGTCGACGACTAATAAATAACACGTCCTCTCTCTCTTCTTCTCTTCTTCTCTTTCATTAAGAATAAAGAAACAGTCGATCTTATCGTTTAATATGGGAACAGGAGATCCCCTTCATCATTCAAGACCTGATTCCAATACCTCTATGACTGGAGGAGGCTATCTGTCTCCATACAATACATCAACCAATGATGTCTCTTTACCTGGAACTCGTGCCACCACCAACAGCAACACTTCCTACCTCCCACCACCATCTTCTCCTGTGGATTCATGTCTCATGTGTTATAATCCCCATGTCAATGTCCTATTGGAACCATGTCATCATCCATTTCATGCCAGTTGTATTGAACGGACTCTTACCAAGGACAAAGTCTGTCCTACCTGTTGGACACCTATACAAACACCACGTTATCTCATGCCATCACAACAAGAATATGTTACGCAGCTACAACATGGTGGAGGTTCCGCTGAAACTACTGACTACCCGGTAGACACAAAAGCTTACGTGATGGATCATACACTTGGAACGACCTCGTCGACGGCTACAACTCCTGGTACTACCGATACAAATACACAACCAGTGAATAATCCACCAACTGTGATGAGGAAAGGCAAATGGACAGCTGAAGAAAGTGCTTATTGTGATCGATTGATTGAAGAATTTAAAAAGGGGAATTTACCATTGTCAGAAGGCACGACATTGCGAACATTCTTGTCGAAATTATTAAACTGTGATCCGATGCGGATCTCGAAAAAGTATACGGGCGATCAGTGTATTGGTAAAATTATCTTTCGTCGACGAGACGATGAAGTGGCAAAGGATGATATTGAAAATATCCGGAAGGATCTAGCAGAGCTGGAAAAGACGTACTTGGAACGAGAACAATACAATCAACGAAGACGTGAAAAACGACTCGAGTCGGAGCTCTCACGAGATAAAAATCGCTTTGCAGCTGTCAGGTCAATGGGATACGCCACAACGTCAGGAAATTCATCTGCAGTCATGTCGCCACACTCTCATTCACAGCAACAACATGGAGGATACTCTCCTGCTTCCGTTCGGTCGATGACAAAGCAGGAACCTCGACCAGTTCCTGTTCAGCAGCCGAGTGGAGGATACGGTACTCCGAGTCGTGGAGGCGGCATGCCTGTTCAGCCGCCTTTGCATCCTCCACAACAGACCAATAACGTTCCCTCTCACCTATTTAATGGCGATCACAGCAATGTATCGATGCTTGGCATTGCTGGCGCACAAACCCAGGGCCAAGGTCAGGTCCAGGACAATAAGTCTGCCATGGACGGTAACTCCAGCGACTCGTTCCCCCGTGTGTCGTCGATTGACAGTTTCTCGTGTCTGTTTCCGCGCGTGGCGAGCATTGAAAACTTCCAGCACGCGACGTCGTCAGGATTTGTTGGAATGAATTCTAATGGCTTGTATGTGTCAACGGACAGTCAGAGTACAATGACCAGCAGCGGATTTGATACTCAGTCAAAGCCGATGTCTACTAGCGAGGGTCTTCATGCTTATTTTCCGCGCATCCAATCGCTAGAACAGCTATCCAATTTGTTGCAGGATCGTGGTTTGAATAGTCCGTCTGGGGCAGTAACGGCACCGGCAGCCCAGAACACACGAGATGTGATGGAAAATCCAGATGACAGCAAAAAGCAGCAGGGCAAGGAAAACACATTATTTGGAGGCACCCGGAGGCGGCTTGGTGATAATGGTATGAAAGAGGAGCCGCAGCGAGAAGGCGATCTCAATGCACAGTCAAATTCAAACTGCAGTAGCAGCAGTACCGTAACTGGGACCACTAAACGCCTCAGCCCCAGCCACAATGCTTCAACTTCATCTGGCTCGGGGAACCAGATTCAGATTCCCAAGCCCCTGAACAAAATGCCGCGTAGCTCGTCAGGTATATTTCCGCGCGTACCATCTATGGACAAAATGCCTCGGGTGCCTTCTGTTGATAAGATTCCTCGTGTTGCTTCGCTGGACAAACTACCGCGTATCCCGTCTATGGATAAACTCCATGCGGGGGGCGGTGGCGAGCAACGTATTCCGAGGGTGCCTTCAAGCGACAAGATGGCGCGAGTGCCAAGCTTGGACATGCTCTCTCGTTTTGGCTCGAGCGACCACCTCAGCAGCTTCCCGTCATTCTCAAACCTAAGCGCACTCTCTTCGAGCGCCTCATACGATAAGTTGAGCTCGCTGGGTGGATTTAAGTCGGGATTTCCGCGTAATTCGTCGATCGAGGACATTTTGTCTTTGGTAGCATCATCTGAGTCAACGGGCCTTTCATCCACTGGCTCAACATTGCAGCTGAGTGCACTGGCTGCGGTTGCTGGTGAGGAGTCATCCCATCTTGCCAACGAACGAAAACGTCGGCTGGAGAACTTGCAGCAGGATACGCCGTTGGCGGCTGATAAGAAGAACAAGCTGTCAACGTGAGGTAGACAGAAGATTAAAGATGGCTCCACTGGCCCAAAATGGTGCCAAGCTTGTGAAGCCAGGAGGCTGGATACGCAGTTAACGTGTTCCTCGCCAGCAGACGCAAGGCTATTATTCTACTGGCGGTGTGTATGCCTTCCTCGCGGCTGTCGACATGGTACGAGCATTTTGCTTTTTTCCATTTGCGGCTGGTGCTCGTGGCGACTGATTAGTGTAGTAATGTAAGCGCGTGCTATATCATACAGATGCTTTGGCTTTCATGAGAGCAGCCGTCGCATTCCATTTCGATTGCTGGAAACGTGATACGCAGTATCGATGGAAAGCGGCAGCGACGGTGGTCTGGTTGCCACCAAGATCATTGCTAATGCGTAGCATGAAGACAGCGTCACGTACTTTACTTTCTTGGTGACATCTTGTCGTGGCAAGTTGCGTCGAGTATGAAAGATGAAGGAGATGACGATCAATGTTTATGGAGATTGCTTCAAGGCGGACATGTGATTGAGATGAGCATTTGTGTCTTCGGACACGCTTCCAATGGCTTCCCTTGTCGTTCGTTACCCTCCTCTTTTCCTAGTCTTGTCTTGTTAGCACGCTGCATGTTACAGCTAACGAGATAACCACATGATGAGCTTTACAGACCCCACCATTGAAATTCAGTCCACTGGTTGTCTATCCATAGGACATACACGTCGATATTGCAGCCACTGTTCAATGCAGCAAACATGAAAGATGTGACCACAAGACAACACCTCTGTTTTGTCTTCCTCCTTCATGTTCTCCCCGTTGGTCACGTCCCCTTCCAAGCAAATGCCACATACATTGACACCATCTCTTACCACGTTCTCTACTTGATCTCGACTTGTCACAATTGTAGCATTCTTTGCCTCTTGCTGTCGAATATACGTCGTCATGTCGGACACGTTCTGCTCAGCCAGACGGAGTGTTAAAGCCAACCCCCCCTGTTTACCATCCGTAGATAGTCGTCCATGGACATATTCACGTTGATTTTGTTGCAATGAAAGTGCGACAACACTTGCAATTTGTTGTGCCAAGTGCTGCTGCTTTTCTAAAGCCTCGAGTCCCAATTCTCGTCGTGGCCGTCGGAGAATTCGACGACGATCCGTTACCATTCTTCGGGGGTGAAGAATATAGAAAAATGCACGGACAAAACCAACATCAAGATGGCTACACAAACATTGGTCATATATGAACGTCTTGCAAGCGAATCGAACCTGACCTTCAGCTATTATTGCTCCTTCGTGTCAGCTTTACTCTTCCGCATTAGGCTTGTGTTTCTTGTGCAGCTTCTTCTTCTTCTTCTTCTTCTTGTCCTTTTTCAAGGACGCATCTCCCGCCGCTGCATCCTCTCCGTCCGAATCCTTCCCACTGAGCTCGCCCTCGTCGCTAAAGTCGCTTGACTCACTACCAGAGGCATCGCCAGGGCCAAAGTCCGAGTCCTCCTCGTCCTCGTCGTCTTCAATCTCACCCTCCTCGGGACCCAACTCCTCTAAATACTCGTTAATGTCGCGTTTCTTCGAGCCTACCGGCACGCTCGCACCGTGCGACTCCTTGAGGTTGCGAATGTGTAGCTTCTTGGACGTCAGGAATTGACTCAGCTCTGGAAACTCACGTCGATCGATAGCCGAGAAAACGTACTCACGTGCAGCTTCTCCACCCACAGACTTGCAGCTCACAAGCAAGTCAAAGTTTCGGCTCGCTGAAGATCCACTCTGTCCAGCGTAACGCTGGAACTCAATGTAGTCAATCTCCTCGTAGCGGATGAAGGTTGTAGGCTTGTGAATAAACATGAAGGACTTTTCCAGTGGAAATAGTACACCACTCTGCGCCTTGACGGCACATTTAACGGCACGATCACCGCTGTGCGTCTTGAACTTTCCCGACGTGTAAACCTTCTTGCCGATAACAAACTTGAACAGCGTCGCAACAATCTGAGGCAGTGCACCAGACATCCGTTCATGAATGTTTCCATTGTACTTTTTAATCTCTTCACTCGACATGTTGACATCAATATGGACATCATTCTTGCTCAACTGCAGTACCAAATGTGGATATCCCTGTTTTCCCTGTCGAATCGGTTCTTCAAGACTAATGACAAAGGCCGTATTAATACCATTCGGCAATTCCAGTAAAAAACACCGATTAATGTTCGAGTACATGATCTTGTAGTCAAATGTCTTGCCATGCATTCGTAAAAAGGAGCCATAAATCTCCACACCATAGCGACCACGAGGTGTGAGAAACGTGCCAATTGACTCGTCTAAATCCACAATACTCTTGCCCATAACACTCCGTATATTAGCTTCTTTCAGTACTTGTTGTCGGAAATCTTCGGCCGTTACAACCTCGTCATCGACATCCCCTGGAGGCAAATAGAGCCTCATTTCCACGAGCGTTTCCTCGTCTCCAGCAACTGTATCATCCTCATGAAACTGCAATTCCACTTCATGTTTACCAGGCAATGCACACTGTGAAATTTGTTCCAGAGGGAGCTCCATAACACTGGCATTTGTTGCTCGGAAATTCAAATTAGGCCCTTCAAATTTCATATCGCCCCAATTTCCACCATCAGTCGCGACTTTTTCCTGTTCCAATTCCCGATCAAAGTAGCTCTCAACATGACTCTTTAATTGGACCACGTCCTGTGCCTTTAGACCCGTAAAACGCACGTATTTACCACCTTTTTGATAGACTTTTAAATGATGCGACTTGGGACCAACAGGTGTCCATAACAACGTCACAATGTCATCTTTTAGCAATTTTTTTTGACCTTCCGTTGCACGACTACGCCATAATAAACCTGACGCTGAAAGAACGAGAACGCCGGCACTGTGGCCCCAGAAAATGTTGCTTAACGTCGCATCAGACATGCTACAAAAATTAATGGAGGCTTCCTCCTTTTCCTTTTTGAAATGAGAAATTTAGAAACTTAATTTAGAAATGGTTGGGCGGCGGTGGTGGGGCGTACACTACTTTAGTGTAACTGTGAAACTAAATATTATCTTAGTCAAGATTGAATTGACGCTATTGTTATAATGTGTAGGTATCTATCAGCTAAATTGTATATTAATTGTTATGGAATCAGGGTTACTTGAGGCGGGTGCTACTGTAGAAATTATGTATCCATTATGTACAAGGGATCCGTTAAGGTAGTAGGTACCACTAGGCAAGTTTTTCTGTATATTGAAACTGCTCGGTGCATGTTGAAATTGATGTCAGAATTGTTGTAAAAGAAGCGACTCGGCATGCAAACGGCAACCACAAGAATGTACGGTCTGATTAGTTAGGTGTGCGCCTATCCCATGAGTAATACCACTAGCGTGGATTACTCATGAGTGACTATCTGATGAGTCATGTGTGTAGAGTAGATTACTCATGGGCGGCTATCCCATGAGTAATGCGCGATATAGCGATTAGAAACGTGTAGTCGAAGAATCCAGTAGGCTTAGAGTAGCAACAGAGTTTGTGAACTAAGGACCTAAATATATTCACTTTGCATTTTGCTTTCTACAACCCAAGTGCTTTAACAACAGGTTATGAGCCCAAGCTCTGCTGACTCTGCCCCCGACGCCGACTTCGCCTTCAACATGGACGCTGCCACCGCCACCAACGCTCGCATCAACAAGTTTGATGGTTCGAACTTCCACACTTGGAAGTTCAAAATGCAGATGGTGCTGGAGGAGCGGGACCTTTGGGAAGTGACAAGCGGGGAGATCAAGCTGGAACACCTTGCCACTACGCTGGATCAGTCAACGTTCAAGCGCAAGTCAAGGAAGGCGCTCGCGATAATCTGTCTTGCGATGGAGGACTCGCAGCTGCCCCTGGTCCGGTCGGCAAGTGGAGCGTACGATGCATGGTCGCGGCTGGAAGGCCACTTTGAGAAGAAGAGCTTAGCCAACAAACTCTTTCTTCGTCGCCGTTTCTTCACGGCCAAGATGGAGGAAGGCGATGATGTGCTTTCGCACATCAACAAGATAAAGACACTGGCGGAACAACTCGACGCGGTGGGTGCTCCGGTCAGCGAAGACGACCTGGTGATCACGCTTCTTGGAAGCTTAAGTGAGTCGTTTGCATTTCTCATTACTGCTTTGGAGTCAAGGGCCGACTCGCTATCGTGGGAACTGGTGACATCCAGGCTGCTACATGAAGACATGAAGCGCAAGGAGCAAGGCAGTGACGGGGTCGCTGCAGGTCAAGCGTTCATGACAGGTGAGAAGAAGCGTAGTGGACGGCCATTCAAGAAGACTGGCGCGTGCAACTACTGCGGTAAGATGGGTCATTGGATCGCGGAGTGTACCTCACGGATCCATGACAACGCGGACCGGCAGCGTCCGCAGCGTGCGAATGTGGCGCACGATCAAGATGAAAAATTGGACGATTTCCTGTTTGCAGCTGGACTGGAGAGCAACGACGACGACAGCGTCAAGAATCCAGCATGGCTCATAGACTCTGGTGTGACACAGCACATGTCATTCTCAAAGCGGTTTATGACAAACTACAAGACCATCGATCCAGTTAACGTTCATCTCGCAGACGACGGGGTCGTGCAGGCGATTGGGACCGGCAACGTAGTGATGATGATGAAGACACCAAGTGGTGCCAAGAAGGGTGTGCTTACGAATGTGTGGCACATTCCAAAGCTTTCACGCAATCTGTTCTCAGTTGGCCGATTTACCAAGGATGTCGCGGCAGTGACGTTTGATACGAGCACCTGTTATGCAAATTTCAAGAACCAGAAGTGGAAGATCGGCGAGCGTGCCGGCAAAGGTCTCTTTAGACTATGCATGACACCTGTGCAAGTCGAGAGCGCGAGCATCGCAAGTGAATACAACAAGCCTCAGATGAGCAAGTAATACTTGTGGCATCTGCGTCTTGGTCACATTGGCCATGGTGGACTCGACGCGATCGTGAAGCAGAACCTCGGTGTCGGCATCGACATTACATCTGTGGGCAAGTGGGAGCTTTGCAACGGATGCGCGCTCGGAAAGCAGACACGAGTGATTTTTCAGTCAACTACACGTAAACCAGCCAAGGACCTGCTTGACGTCGTGCTTTCCGATGTATATGGACCAATGCAGACTTCGACATTTTCCAACAAGCGCTATTTTGTGACGTTCATCGATGACAAGTCGCGGTTTTGTACTGTGTACCTAATTCACAGCAAGTCTGAAGTGTTAGACAGATTCATGCAGCTCACCAAGTTTGCCGAGACTCAGACCGGTCGTCGCATCAAGATGCTCCGCAGCGATAACGGTGGAGAATATGTTTCCAACAAGTTCGCCGCGTTCTGTCGCAACAAAGGCATCATACAGCAATTTACACCGCCGTACACCCCACACCTCAACGGAGTGGCGAAGCGAATGAACAGGACTCTAGTCGAGAGTGCTAGATGCATGATTGAGCATGCGGGACTAAGCAAGCGCTACTGGGGTGAAGCAGTGTCAACGGCAGCGTTCCTACGCAATCGAAGTCCGACGCAAGCAATTGGCCATGAAAAGTCCCCGCACGAGGTATGGACGAAGACGAAGCCGTTGTTGAAAAACCTGAAAGTCTTTGGATGTCACGCATATGTGCATGTGCCTAAAGAGAAGAGTTCGAAGCTTGATGCGCGATCGACGTTGTGTCGCTTCTTGGGCTACTCAGACCACGAAAAGGCGTACCGGTTTGAAGAGATATCAAGCAGTCGCATTCTAGTGAGTCGCGACGCCCAATTCATGGAAGACATGTTCGACAGCGGGAAGTGCATGCAACAAAGTGGCATCGACCCTATCGAGTATCATAACACTGATGAAGGCTTCAACGGTCGTGACAACGGGGTTGCCAATGAAGACATGGATGTGCATATGCCCGAATCAGCATCGATCCATGAGCGGCCACAATGGCAACAAATGCAGCGTTCAAGTCATCAACCGCAGTATCCGCAGCATCAGACAGCCGAGTTTCTACCGGGGTCGAAAAGACATGTACGCACACAGTCACTAGAAGCTTTGTCAGAGCCGCCAATGGAAAAACGCTATGGACGCGGGGCTAGTACAAGTGGTGTACACACATCGTCTGTGCAAGGTACTGCGTCACCACTCGAAGCCATGTCGGCGCTTCTCGCATCTATTGATGAAGAAGAAGACGAAGAAAATGAAGAAGACTGTGCTAACGTCGTGGATTCAGTGGGAGAAGCGCCGATGACATTCTCATCGGCTATGGAATCCAGCGACGCAAGACAGTGGCGAGAAGCGTGCGAATCAGAGTTTCAGTCATTGTGCAAGAACAACACGTGGGAACTCGTGCCGTTACCAAGTGATCGCAAGGCGATCAGCAGCAAGTGGGTGTTCAAGGTGAAGGAGACTGTTGATGGACTCATCGAGCGATACAAAGCGCGCCTCGTGGCAAAAGGATTTTTGCAAAAGTACGGTGTGGACTTCGAGGAGACGCTCGCACCAGTGGCCAAGTTCGCGTCGATCCGGATCATTGTGAGCCTCGCCGCGCAGCACAACCTCGTACTCACCAGATGGACGTCAAAACGGCGTTTCTCAACGGTATGCTTGAAGAAGAGATCTACATGAAGCAGCCTGACGGATTCGTTGATGCCAATCATCCTCACCATGTGTGCAAGCTCAAGCGTGCGTTGTACGGACTCAAGAAATCCCCTCGAATGTGGAACCAGACTATTGATGAGTTCATGCGCAATATTGGCTTCACCAAGTGCGAGATGGATCACTGTGTCTACGCCAAGCGTGACGACAAGGTCATGATGTTTGTTGTCATATACGTCGACGACCTCATCCTTGCGTGCAACAACATGGACATCCTCGCAGCCACCAAACGTGCATTGAGCGAGCGATTCGAGATGTCCGATCTCGGTGAGCTTTAGTACTGCCTTGGAATAGAAGTCGAGCGAGATGACAAGTCAGGCGATGTATCGATGAAACAGACTAAGTTCTTGCGATCGATTCTGACCAAGTTCGGTATGCAAGACTCTAAGCCTGTTACGACACCGCAAGACCCCGGACTGAAGTTGACTAAGCGTATGTGTAAAGATGGATGCAAGCACAACTACACCATGCAAGGAGTGCCATACCGAAGTGCCGTCGGAGCCTTGATGTACCTCATGGTAGGCACGCGTCCAGACCTCGCAGCTTCAGTGGGAGTGCTCAGCCAGTTTGCTGCTGACCCGTGTCCGACACACTGGCAAGCACTCAAGCGCGTGCTACGGTACCTGCAATCGACTCCTACACTTGGTATTCGTTTTATTGGCGCTGGCAATGGCAAGTTGCTTGGCTATTCCGATGCCGACTGGGCTGGAGATACTGATACTAGACGAAGTACCAGCGGCTACGTATTTGTGCTTAACAACGACTGCATCAGCTGGCGTAGCAAGAAACAGCGCAGCGTGGCGCTCTCGTCTACCGAAGCAGAGTACATGGCACTGTCGGAGGCGACCCAAGAAGCGACGTGGCTCAAGACGTTCATGCGTGAGCTCGGTGAAGAAGCAGGTGATGACGCTCTAGCTATCTATGAAGACAATCAAGGTGCTATTGCGTTGGCCAAGAACCCAGAGTTCCACAAACGCACTAAGCACATCGACATTCGCTACCACTTCGTGCGAGAAATGGTCGAAAAGAATCAAGTCGTGCTACAGTACTGTCCAACGCAAGATATGCTCGCTGACATCATGACCAAGGCAATCGCAGCGCCACAGTTCACCATCCTCCGTACTAAACTCGGCATCACTGTCGGTGTCGCTACCGAGTCGAGTGGGAGTGTTGTAAAAGAAGCGACTCGGCATGCAAACGGCAACCACAAGAATGTACGGTCTGATTAGTTAGATGTGCGCCTATCCCATGAGTAATACCACTAGCGTGGATTACTCATGAGTGACTATCTGATGAGTCATGTGTGTAGAGTAGATTACTCATGTGCGGCTATCCCATGAGTAATGCGCGATATAGCGATTAGAAACGTGTAGTCGAAGAATCCAGTAGGCTTAGAGTAGCAACAGAGTTTGTGAACTAAGGACCTAAATATATTCACTTTGCATTTTGCTTTCTACAACCCAAGTGCTTTAACAACAAGAATGAGGTAAAGGTCAAATGACGGCTTGGAGCTCTTCGGCTTCGACCGTGCAAATCCCAACGATACCGACATTCAATAATGTTTACGAAAATGTGTTCAAGTGTCAATGGTAAGTTTTGCCTTCTTTTAAAAAAAGTTATATCAATTGCATACAATACTTGACGTCACTTGTTTCAGAGTAGGAACTGGTGGACTCTTGCAAGCTTTGTCCTCAAGTCATTTGGTCTTTAGCACCGATCAGAATTTTCTATAGAAAATACACTTTGCAAGGTGCACAGTAATTAGAAGAAAGTTCCGAAATGATGCTCAGTTTCTCGTCTATAAAAAACTTGCCTAAAGTGATACCAAAGATTTTTATCCATTAAGACAAGTTATTTGTTAATACAGTCTCTCTATAAACCGATTTAGTGTTATGCTGTGGTCGTCGTCGGAACCGGAATTATTTGGCAGTATTAAGTGAGACAGTAGGCTTGTATCTCTAAAAAAACGACCTAACTTTAATGGCTCGTTTAATAGCTTATTCAGTGAATTCCTAGGCTTTTTAGGAGTATACAAAAAAACGGGGACATCGATCAGATTACATCTCCGTCACGGATCATATCACTTTTAGACAGCGAATTAGAGGCACGAAACCTTTGTTTTAACCACTTTCATCCCCACATCCGTATAAAAGCTTCCTTCATACGGATAACAAACATGTATATCTTGAAAAGCATGACCGGGACAATCCCATCCCACCACTAATGGTCTATTCTCTTTTTCATTTTCCATTATACCCTTTGCATCGCATATCAATTGCCAATATGTGGAAATGTACATTCCTAATACTCTTCATAGCCTCTACATACGCTCAAATTCGGAAACGTGATGCAATTTGTGTCATGAGTGACTCGAATTCGTGCCATGTGGACCATCTCATTCCTTCAAAGCTTGATAGGAGTACCGTCATTTATCCAGGGGGTGCCACTCGGTGTGCCTACGACGACTTTTTCAATGCAAATGTCAATTTTACAACGAATTCGACATACTTTTTTCAAGTCTTTCCAGCTCCAAGTAAATCCAAACTCATGCTGTATTTTCAAGATGGTGGTGCCTGCATTGATGACTTGACATGTGCCTTTGGGCTTCAATGTATGTACGAGACATTTGGCCCAAATGCTCAACCCTCAAGCACTGGGATTCTTAATCGTTCCAACGAGGAGAACCTTTTTAATGACTATAATATTGTACACTTGCCGTACTGTACCGGGGACCTGCATCTAGGTGACCACGTGACGACGATCCCTGATAGCCCACTATACGCTCTGCTCAACAAGCCTGAATGTCAGGGTCATAACATGACTCTACATCAGGTTGGTTTTAGAAATACAAAAGCTGTGCTGGACTGGGCGGTGGAAAACTACCCGAATCCAGACGAGATTATTATTAGTGGCTCAAGTGCTGGAGCTCTGGCTGCCCAGGCTCTTAGTGCTTTAGTCGCTGACGTCTGGCAAGTCGAAGAAAACGAGATCCGCTACTCCGTACTTGCCGACAGCTATGTTGGTGTCCTGCCCAGCCACTACAGTGCTGGTAAACTCATTTCATACTACGGCACATGCGAGCTGGACTTGAAGATGACGCCTGAGCTCTGGGATCAATGTGGGGATGACAACGAGCTGACTGTGGCGGAGATGATGTCTTTTATGATCGAAGACGTGCCAGCCGCCCAGTGGCTGTTCTTGAACAGTATGTACGATAAAACTCAGCGTTACTTCTACGAAGTGGTGTTAGAGGGCATTCTTGGCTACCCGTTTACCAACCTCATTAGTGGCGAGGACTTCTACTCGGTACGTTACTTCCTTGCATGACTGCGTTCATTGTAGAGGGCTGCGATCTAACAATGTCGTTTCGCTTACTGCAGAACATGACCGCTATCATCGACGTGTACAAGGATGTCAGCGACGAGGTCTCAACGTTCTACGTGAACAGCACTCAGCACGTTTTTCTTACAGTAAATGACTACTACCATAACGCTACCCGTAGTCCCGGAGAAATACTTCTGGGCGACTTTCTCGCGAAATGGTTGGTGACCGACTCGTCCCTTGACGTCGATGCCGCGGATGGATCACTGTCCGCAAAAAGCAGCGTCGATGAACCGGGCGAGTCGGCAGCCGTAGGCCTCGACAGTGCCCTGTTACTGACAGCAGTGGCCGTGTTCGTTTCAATGCTTTTCCAGTAACCTGGAGCTCAATATCAATAGGAGGAAAAGAGATTAAGAGAAAAGCTCGTGTGCAGCTACTTATTACGTAATAGACACTCAAGAATATCTGCTACTGCGTTACCTTGAACTGCTCGTAACGAGAAACACTTGATCAAGAACACTTGCAAAAATCCAGGACAATAACTGCTCACTGAATGCTTTGATGCAATAAATTGCATCAACGCCACTGGACCGAGCCACTACGGAGCATAATAATAATGCGTCGATATGTGCGCAAAGTTAATCTGCACACCAAAAACAGCCTGCAACACCAACGTGGAAAGAAAGAGTGCAAGGATTACGACGAGCGGCAGCAGCAATTGCTCCGTTCGGTGAAGAAAAGGCAGCGCTAAACGACACACACCATCACAGTACAATAAGTCAGTATCAACAACCACTTTACCAATAAATTCAATACAATAGACAGAAACACACCCATATAGCCCAAAAATGTAATGTACGTGTAGAATCCCCAACCCAACGAGTACAAGAGGTTTCCAACTAGCAGCATCACGAACGAATCGGATGTCAGCATTGGTGCAAGCAAAAACTAGCACAAAAACAATCACAAAAAGTCAGCATGTTACTAAACTTGACATCTCTGTAACTACAAAAATACCCCACGCTTTACCTGAATCACATAGAGAAACAGAAACAAAATGAAAAAGGAATTGCAATGAATATCAAAAGCAAATTGCCACTCGACTCGTTGTTCCACATAGAGAGCATCCCCCATTCCATGACTGTTATCACCATTATAAAAAAACCATATTACATCATCATAACAAATCCACAACACAATCCTTTTTCAAATGACTGCTACAAAAAACATCAGCACTTACTTGTTTCTCTGCCGTAACGAATGATTCGTAATCCACCACCAACACGTTGAGATCAAAAGACCAAAACTGAGCCATTCAATTACAATTGCATGCAATAGTAATGAGAAATAACGCGTCATGTTGTCCACACGAAACGCAAGAGCCCAGGCAAATGTAGCCATGAACAAAAACATCAACTGAATGACTACAAAGGCTGGATCGTCTCTGGCCCAGCGATTCTTGGTCTGTTTCCGGTAATAGGCACTTTTGTAGACTTTTGCAGGTTGGACACAGAGTGTCACCATTTGATAAAATGTCGCATCCAAGTCCATTTGACGGTAATCAAGCACACGAGTGAAATATTCCGGTAACAAAGAACACGAGCGAAAACCATCGGCCTTGGGTCGTTTGGTCTTTTTCTTGTGGTTTCGACTATTAAAAGAGTCGGAGGAGAGAATGTATTGCATATCAATGCTTGTATTTGGCTGGAAAAGCTCATCGGATGGAGTCACAGGTGACAACATGTTTGTATCGAGTTTAATAATAAGGGGATTATTCAAATTAGAAGCGAGATAGGTCGATGCATTCGATTAAGTACGAGACGAGGAAGCCCAACATTGTCAACGACAATCATTCTTTCATGGAAGGATCATCACTCACTCCGTGGTGCGTAAAAGTAGCCATTCTTGACTCCATGGATTATAGCCATACGCCACCATCAACATCTTCTTCCATTTCCTCCTCGTCCATGTCGTAAGACTGTGCTGTGGAGTTATGTTCCTGTCTTGTTGACGTATGATGTCGGGAATCATGTGAAGGTGAAGGACACTGGACATTATCAACGCCATCAGATCGTTCATTGTGTCCACGAAAAACGTTGACAAGTGATGACCCAACATGGCCCAGCTTTCCAGTGTGTTTGATCGCTCTGCCGCCAGGATCGGAGGCCACGGATGATCTCCTGCTCGAACAGCTTGAAGAGATACTGTGTAGAGAAGAAGTGGACCGTCGCAGTTCCATCTCGAGTTCCTCTCGCACACGATCTAGCTCGTTCTGTACCTCGGCAAATTCTTGTGTTTTTTGTTGCTCCAATTTGATCGAACGCTGCTTGGCATGCTGCGCAGCAAGTTGTAAGCATCGCTCCATCTCCTGTACTGCAGCTCGTAGCTTGTCTGCTTCTTGTTTCGCCACTTCCAATTCCGACTGCAGCTGCTCCTGCTTCTCATCTGTTCTTGGATCATTTGTCAAAGGCTCAAACTTGCGGAACTGGTCAATCTGTGGTAGTCCAATGCGTTCATGCAACTCATTGATAAGCCCGATCTTCTGTGCTTCCCGCGGTGAATCTCCAGTTGCTGAGGCAGGATGGGTTCGGTAGTGCTGATAAGAATTCCTTGGCTCCTCATCTTCATCAGAGCTAGACCCCGTGACATTATTCAGCTTCCCATAACTGTCTTCTCCTTCTCCATCACTGTACAGATATTCATTGACCTCTCCAGTCACGTCATTGAACCCTCCACGATTACTCCTAGTACTTGCTTGAACTGCAGCTTCTACCTCCTCCTTCTCCGCTGCTTTCCGTGCCCGTCGAGTCCTCACAACTTTTACCATACGACCTCGAATCTTAGTCAGCAGTGCCAATTGATTCAGTCTCTCCTTCATATTACGATTATCTTGCTGCATCTTGGACACGAGCTCCTGTTTCTCTGTCAATGACTTGTGGCGATTTTGCTGCGACTGGTGATAGGCTACTGCCAGTGCCTGTTGACTTGAATCCTTTGCTAGTACTTCATTTGTCCACTCTGAAAGTCCTTCAGCTCGTTGCAATAATGCAAGAGCTTTTGTCTTTACAATATCCTGTAAATGTGGTGCAGCTTGTCGTCTCCCAATTGCAATGAGCATCTGTCCTGCTTGAATATAAGCGTCAATTGCCGTATGTGGCATCTGTCTCCGCTCTTTGTCAATAGCAAATTGTGCCACTTCCACGGCTTTTTCATACTCAGGACCTAGTAATTGAGCTGTTGTCAGTTGCAAGACTTCTTCATGTGCTGGAGCTAATTCTGAAGCTCTTCGAGGTGCTACAAACGTCGCAATCGATTCAAAACACGCATCATTCTTCGACAAATCGCAATTAATACCATTCACGGGTGGAACTACCGAGAAAGTTGAATGTATTGACGGATAACCATCTCTTCCAGCATTAGTGACGGACATTTGTTTCTGGACGGGACTAGTTTTAGAAATAGAAGCAGGAAATGTACAAGCTGAGACTGGGGTTGAATACAGAGCTGGAGACGGAGCTAGAGGTCGTTTACTAGACCGGAGAGCTCGTAAACGCGCCTCCAAGTCCATCGAACCTGCCATAATGAGACGGATTATTTCTTTATCAGAAAGTGATAGATAAAATCCAGAGTTACGCATGGGTTACAAAAGTCAGTAACCGGTTTGCTTGGTAGCTGATACCGGTAAGGTGAAAAGTGCTATTTTCACAAAAAATAACAGGATCTGAGCCGCAATGTAAATTACAATGCTTGTAGTAATACTTTTAATACTATTTTAATTTGTAGTACTATCAAAAGTATTACTATAATATTTGTGCTGACGAATTCATATCATATCAGTTGAATTGCATCTGCAGTAGCATATTGCAGCCACGTACATCGATGAACGGTCGATTCTCCTCGTCTTTTGTCCATTCAGCATTCATTACAGTCTTCCACCGTTCCAATCAGTTGTTGTTCAAGTCGGTTCGGAGCGTCGTAATGCCGTCAGCTACACGTGCTCCCAAGACCCTCACCATATCCTGCACACTGATACGCAGCTTTACATGCTCTGCACCTCCACCAAGCCATAGAAACGACGATTTCAGAGCAGCAATATTCCCCGCTATAATCACCTAGACATATCATACTGTTAGATAAGTCAGGAGTCAATAATGACATACCTCTTCTTCATACCGGGATGGGTGTCTTCATGCCAAACGTAGACACTCCATTGTGTCCAAAACCCGTTAATTTCTCCGACATCTGCTCATCAACATCACACCATAAGAAATATCAACAGCAACTCTTTGAATCCCAGCAATCATCATCTTACCTCACTTGAGGCGTGCTGAAAATTGAATTTCTTCTTCGACGGACGGTCCGGTTCCGGTATATTGTTACGCACAAAGCGTCGCAATTGTTCTGCATCGAGCTTGGAATTGTACTGCACCACCACACAGTAATAGCTACAAGAAACACAGTAAAATTAGTCTATAGTTACTCCTGATTATGATTAGTTGCACCCAAAACTCACCGACTATTTAGCGAATCCTCGACATTATTGTCGAGATATGCGACATTTTCCATGATAATACTCTTGCATAGGTGCGGAATCGCACAGCCTAGATAGTTTCCTAATATTTCTCATAACATTTAGGATTAATTGTATTGCAAATATTGCAATAACAGCAGCAGCCCTACGCTCTTTGGTCCAAACTCCATGAATAATAGTCGCTGGGTGTCGTCTTAAGTACGGCACTGGTCAGTTTCTCACGCTCAAGATGCTTTTTTACGCGCTTTACTCTCTCAAGATCGTCTACATAGCGCTCCAACGAAGTCAGACGCTCTTGAATGGCAGTGAGATGTACCGTCACTTTGTTGATGGTTGTCATGATCGGAGCTCCTCGTAAGATCTTATTTTATTTTGTACATGTATTTTGAAAGGTTTCGCTCCGTTTGATACTTGTTAGTGTGGGTGTTTATTATGGGTAACTTGAAGTTGATGACCCAAAATAAGGAAAAAATAGAATCATCGAGTGTAGCCATTATCTCCGTAAAAATTAGAACCACCATTGAGTGTTGTTGTTGTCGTCACCATTATGTAAGTTCTAGTCATTGACTGCGTAGCTCACTCACTCTTCAGCCATACAACTACAACTAGCACTTTCGTCCTTTTACTTTCATTTCTGTATGCTACCCAGTCTGCAGTAGGTATCACCCACAAAAGTGCAGATGAGCGCCACCTCTGCTCCGTAGTAAAGTAAATGTCCCGTCGGTAGATGATCACTTCGTCCGAGCCAATGTCTCTACGAATTCGCCTAGCTCCTCCAGCACGCGCTTCCTACTCACACTATTGTCGTTCTGCAGCTCGAGCCACTTGTTGAGTGCAAGGGGGACTGCATTCTCCTTCACCAAATGTTTGAGCAGTTTTTTCACTTCGTCTACAAGAGAAAAAAAGAGAAGAACCAGTCATCAAAATGCATCCACACGCAAGAACACTACAGGAAAGTCGCACCGTTGTCATTTCGCGTCTGGAAAATGGCCGAGACGAGCCGAACTTGGGTGACAGGACTGCCACAGAAGCCTGTCAGAAGCAGGCACCAATCAGATGACGGCAGCTCGCCCTCCTGTGACAGGTTCAGAATAAACAAGCACGTGTACGTCGCAAACAATGGATCATTGCGAATTGCATCAGGAATGCTGGTCTCAACAAACGCAACAACCTCACGGATTGAAGAGGCCTTGCGTACACGGTCCACAACATCAAAAGCAGGCTCCAGCAAAAACACGTCCTCAAGATCATACTTCTTTATCCACTCCTGCATCCCCTCGAGAGACTGCTTGTGTGATGGCAAGACACTCAATACCGTAATATTCGTCGCGCGAATCTCTTTCTTTGCCTTCTCCACATCGTCTGTCTTCAACAGCTTCAGTATTGCACCCAGCATAGCAGCCAGGAATCCTCCAGCGATTAATTCCTCCATAGCATCCTTATCCACTGACTGAAGGCATTTGCCCAGAACCCAATCCAGCGACACCCCGGTGAGCGACGAATCCTTCAGAAAACGTACTACAAAATCAGCCATGTGTTCGTGAAGCTTCGGTACGTCGCACCAAAGATCGCCACACAGCTCAAGCGTCTTAACGATAGCGTAGCGGATACCGACAAACGAAAGGCTCTTCATCTCCAGGCTCAGTTTTTCAAGCATCTCAACCATCTTTTCACGCACTCCTGCCTTTGCATCGATGGCCTCCTTCAAAACCGCAAAAGCAAAGACACCATTTACGTCCTCGTGGTTCTTGTGTTCCTTCTGGGCCTCCACAAGACAGGCTTCGGCCTCTTTTAGATCAACAATAGAGACGTACTCCTCCGCGATCGACTTGGCTTTCTTGCCAATCTTGTCGTGGGACTCATCGTCAAGCGGAGGAATCACCCTCGAGCGAGCAGGCGATTCGGGCTTCTTCGCACCAACAGCTGGTCCACGACGGCTGGTAGGAAAGCTCGCTGGTGCACCACTAGGGCCGCCACGTCCACTCTGCCGAGCTCCAAAGTCAGCGGGTCTTCCGGACGGTCCAGTCTTCACCGAATCATCACGCGCTCCGATACCACGCGGAAGCGGCATCTGCTTGTTGCTGTTGCCACGACTGCTCATTGACTGCGAGTGTTGATATACAGGTGCCATGGTGGAACGATTGTTATTGTTGCTGTTAAAGCCATCGCGGGACGAGTTAGGTCGACGGTCCGACCGAAAATGATCGCGATCTCCTCGTTCGCGATCTCCTCGTTCGCGACCACCTCCACTTGGCACGCTGCTTGGAGGGGCACGTGCTTCTCGTTCCGCCTCCTTTCGAATTTCAGTCAATGTCTTTTGCTTCAACTCCTTGCGCCGCGGTTCCCATCTATGCTGACGCAACTCGATGACATCTTTGATCATAAAGGTGATACGGGACGATAGGCGTTTGTCCTTTACCATTTTGTTTTCCATGTAGTGAAAGTACAATGGCATAAAACCTTCCGCACCGTGCTTATCCAGGTCTTTTCCCATCGTAGTCAGTAGTTTTGCCAGCGACTCAATGCTCTCCTCATCGGGAGGATTGTCAGGGTGTACACACACCAGCACGCTGTCATCATTCAAACGAACATCCATCAGCTTCATAATGCATCCATGCATGATGCGCTCCTGAAGTATCCCCTTTCGATATAGCTCACCAATAAAGCGAATGTTACCAAGCATGCGCAACTTCATGATCAATCGTTTTTCCTCGTAATTAGCCTCCATCTGTGGCGTGATCTTACCGTCTTTCTTGTCCTTCTTGAATTTCTCTTCCAGTTCTTCATATATGTTATCTTTCTCGAACTCCTCTTGGCAAGCATTTAACAAAATGCGCTTGAATGAGTATGTCTTGATAGCAACTTGACTTGCGGTCTCATGGTTTTCATATGGACCGTTCAACACCTGATCGTCTCCCAAGTCGTCCAAGTCTTGGCCCGACCAGTAGTACTGAGGCTTGGCCGAATCTTCTTGCACCCACACCTTGATAAACTTGTGGTCCCTGACACGAGCTTCGCTCAGCTTCAAGTTCGAAGGAGCAGGAACAGGCTCAAACTCATTACTGCTGGCCGACTCCAATACATCATTAACCTTGTCGAACGGTCCAACAACTTCCGAGTCCGATTCGGACATCGCCGTCCAGTAAAACATTTTATCGTCGTCATTTTGCACAATTTTCAAGAACGACCACACCTTCCAATTCATCTGAAGATGCACGCATAAATCTGCGTACATATCACAAAAATGCGGCTCACCAACCGCCTTGTCGAAAATGATTTTGATAACGGCTTGCAGCATCTCAAGACTTTCCATGTTGATGCTAGTCAACTGCCTAGACAGACGTTCAAATTTCTCGCGAGTCATTTTGTTCAAGATACCATTCACATTTTTCTTCGTCACTTCCAAAGTTGAAACGTTTTTGGTAGGAATCCACCGGTTCTCTGACCGCGTCAGAGGCTTAACAGGTCCATCCAAAAGAGGTGGGTCCGGGGAGCCCCCACGGCCGCCACGCCCACCACGTCCGCCACGCTCCCCACGCTCTCCGCGCTCTCCACGACCACTTCGCTTCGGTAGGTCCTGCGATCGTGCCCACTGGCCACCGCCCGACCCACTACGAGGTCCTTGACGTCCAATTCCACCAGACTGCTTGTCACCACGTTCCCAACCAGTTCCACCGCGTCCTCCACGGGAACTACTTCGTGGCATGGCAACCTCGCGAGTAATCTCCATTGACGGCCATGTGGCATCCAAATTTGTTACAGCATCCGGAAGGTTTTTGTATTGCTCAGAAAAGCTACATCATAAACAACGCACATGTTAGAGACGATGCGAACAATATCAGTAGCAAATTCGTTTGTGCACGAAAGTAGTACCTCATCAGAAGTTCTAGCGTGTATGTTAACTTGCCACCCGACTTCCTTCCAAGGGTAACGCTCACATCCGTTTTTTTCTCAATTGCGTGGACGTCAGCTTGCACCTTGTCTTCCTTCTCCACAACTGGTGCTTCCTGCTGCAGCGCTGGAGAAGCAACATCGTGATCACGCGATTTCTTTTCCGAAGATACCCTGTCCGACTGCTTACCAGCTGATGAGATTTTCTCGCTTTGCTCCATGGAAGTTTGTGTCGTCGGCTTCGGCGACGAAGTATTGATCGTAGTAGCGGTTGTATTGGTCGTCGTGGGAGTAGAAGATCCACTTTTGCTAGTCTCCAAGTTTTTATCGACCGTCTTTGTAACAGTCGTAGCTGCAGCCTTGTCAGCTGACGTCTCCGTCTTCCCCGTGGCAGCAATATCTAGAGCCGGCGTCGATTCCTTTGCAGAGTCTGCTACTATTGGTGTAGCAATCTTCTCTTTTGGAGATTTCGGCGAAACTGTGACAGATTCCACTGCTCCATTCTGCTTCGCAACAACCTGAGAGGTCTCCGCAGCAGGAAGTTTCTTAACAGGTGTCGGCTCCTTCTTTTGTGGGGTACTCTGCGCTGTAGTGCTCGTGCTTGCAGCCGCAGTTGTCGTACTATCATCACTGGATCGTGCCGAAGACGAGTTCCGTCCAAGTTCAATGGCTTTTCCTGTCTTGGGGTTAATGATATCCAATATCTTAAGCTCTCGCTTCGGTGGCGGTTGGTGCTGTGGCTGTGGGATCGGCATAGGCATAGGTATACCGCCCATGCCCATCCCCATGTCTTGCAATGGTGGCATAGTGTACATAGGAGGGCCTCCCATATAATGTTGACCTGGCCCCATCATATAAGGTGGAGGCATCTGCATCTGCATCTGTGGTGGATAATATCCTTGGGCTCCTGGATTCATATCACCTCCTCGAGGTATATATTGTTGTTGTTGTTGCATGGCTCCTCGTGGAGGTCCACGCATCCTTGACGGATGATGATGATTATGGCCAGGAGGACCTCGTGGGATACCTGGTTGACCACTAATGGGATAAGCAGATGAATAACCCATCGGTCCATTATAAGGTCGTGATGTCTAGAATAGCACAAATCACATCAAAAAGGTCAAGAATTACTAAAAATATTCCTATCCAGAGGTCTTCCACAAAAAAAAGATTAAAAAAACCCACATGTTGCATATGAAAAGCACCTCCGCCTTGTTTAAAGACGGGGGCATTAGCGTCCATTCCATCCGTTCCAGAATGGGTCATTTGGGAAGGTATTTCGTGCTGTTGTCCGTTTTTTGGTCGGTATTCTAATAAATGGGTATCAAAAAAAGAGAATCAGTGACTGGGTTTTTTATATGGGTTTTATTCCTAATGAGAAAATGGGTATCGATACATCGATATGTAGTAGTAGTAGTACCAAAATGGTGGGGATTTCCACGTGGATATGGGGCTCCATTGGTAGAACCATAACCTCCTCGATTGGAAGTAGAATTAGAATGCTGCGACTTCATGTTTCCATCAAGTGAACGCAGCCAAATGATCCCTAAAGCTCTCCCCTTGTCGCAACGCGAGAGGGGACTTTATTATGAGCTTGAAAAAAATGGGCTACTTTTAAAATAGATACCAACCAACGACGGATCAAATGTAACGACAGGTTTTTATACGAAACTTGAGGTTTGTATTGATGTTTTGGGACCGCGAGGTTTTTCGACTCAAAAAAAGTACTTATTATTTACCCAAAAAAGGTCCTTATTATTTACCCAAAAAAGCAGCGGCGATTGCTTCATTGGCACGCTCTTCCTCTTCTTGCAGACGATGTCGCTCCTGCGTAGGAGATAAAACAGGTTGTCGTTGAAGAGATGAAGACGATTCGTTAGTACGTACAAATGCAGCACTGGAAAGCTACGTAAAAACAGCAGCATACGAAATAACTTAATTCAGTACAATACTATAATATACAACAATACCATAGTAGTAATAGACAGTAGTAATAGACAAGTAGTAATAGACAGTAGTAATTGACAGTAGTAATGAACTTTACCTCTTCTTTAGACACCACAACAGGTGCAAACTCATCCATCTTCCATACTGCGTTGAAATCCCAATGAAAACGACTGACAAGAAGCTGTCGCAATTGAAAAGCTTGTGGATGGAACTGTCATTTTCAATGCAAATACGTGACACACAGACAAACAAAAAGTAAATCATCCTTTGCTCTTGACCATTGCATTTCAAATACAATTGTTTACCTGTGGTGGAGCTTCAGTATCTTCAATCAACTCGAGTAGCGACAAGAGACACGGACTTAGAAAGTTTTCACTAGTCGTCTCATCTTGGAAAAAGTCCTCAGGGATCTAGTGACATGTAGCACAAAATGATGAATGCAAGGAGGGTGTAGTGGTGGGCAGCTTTCAACATACCTGTTTCAATTGCGTAATTAAGAGTTTGATGAACGCAAGAAATAGCGGCACATGGGAAGCGAGTGTTCGTTCGCAGGAACACAAGAGTGCAATGAACTATATATCAGCACACAAAACAACTAGTTAAACCTGTCTACAAAGCACCAGATAAAGACAAAGTTTTACCTGTTTCCACTGCTCTAGCGCTGCAAGAGACGACAACTGCAGAAAAACCAGGAGCGACAGTTGAAGTTCGCCGATGAGTCGCTTCCAGTCGCCACCAAACTGCGTCTCAATTAACTCTTCTAGTCTTTCACTGCACAATAGAATTCACATACCAGTGAGACTAAAAAACCACCCAGACGGGATGCAGCAAGCTTCAAGAATATAGATGGCACCCATTCAGTCTGTACCTTCGATCAAAGTGATAGGCCGTCCTTGCTGCACCCGATAGATCAGTTCTTGTCTTTTGCAGTGAAGTAAATTGTACCGTCCGCGGTAGATCTGGGAAGAACGGAACAATTCCAGCCTGGACTTTGGACGAGATCGATGCGTCCTCAACTGCATCGCCTGGAAGAATGATGGCACCAAATTCCACGCCACATTGCTGTAAAATCCCAAAACATAAATATCAAAAAGCAGCAAGTATGCGTAGTATTCCAGAGTGTTTAACCTGTAGTACTGAAGCAGAAATGAAGCTGGAGAGACGTTGCCACGTTTTCAAATGCTGCTTCGGGTACGGTCCCAACCCACTATCAAGTTGGAACGACAGCACTGCATCTACAATAACATCAACCACCATCATATAGATGTAAGTTAGTAAAATCAATATAAATGCCATCTAGCTTGTATCCGTTGCTCTAGTCGTACGCTCGAGAGTTTCCATATCAAGTCCTGGTCGTGGTGGTCCCAGTTCTTCCTTCTCCATGCTCCACTCACGTACCACAACTTGTAAATGACGCTCGATATTGATAAAAAATCCTTGTCTAATACCGTGTTCTTGTTCCCGAGACCGAAAGAGCACAAAATGAATTCCTAATGGCAGAAATTTAACCCCTTGGAATTTTAAACCAGTACGAAACACCTCGTAGTCAATGCCAAATTCTGTGGCGATTGGAACACCTAGACATACGAGAAAGCCACCAATAGATGGAGAGGATACTGATTCATTGGATGTCTTGTGCTCAGTAGTATCATGGAGCACACGAGAAAAGAGATTCGCAGTCGAGACGTTGAGCTTTTTCATATGAATGGCTACGCTTTTGTTTGAAAAAAAGTTACATTGTCCGGTTACATTCGGGGTACGATGCATTTCAACATGTAACTAGGGGTTACCTACGGGGTACAATGCACTTCAACATGTAACTAGGGGTTACCTACGGGGTACAATGCACTTCAACATGTAACTAGAACGAAGACGACGATACTAAAGCAGTAGACAAAGGTCTTGAGTTGATTAGCATCCGAAGTTTCTGAAGTTGGTGACGTTTTCTCAGGTGTTGGGCTAGAAGTGGCACGAGATTGATCTTCAAGGGCGACCATGTCGTCCAAAGACCCACTTTTGCTAGTATCTCCAAAGTCTGATGATTGAGATCCAGAAGCAGATGCAGACGATGTCGATGCAGCCGTGTCACTTGATACAATATCATTGACAGTAGCTTCTCCTCCATTGCACGTCATTAAAGCCAGTTGAGACTCGGTAAAGCTGTTCGGAACACCTGGATGGGTCAGAGACGACTGCGTTGTAGATGGAGAAGCACTGTCAAAACCAGCTCCAGCAGTCCAGGTACAGCACGGATCACCAAGTTCTTCTCCATTTGAAGCACCATCACGGTCCGAATCAGCCTCGCAAAGCTCTCGAGTCCATTCATAGCCAGCGGCTTTGAAACTTTCACCAAATGCATTCGTTGCACCACCACCGACAGTGTTTACGTGGCCCAATGCAGCAACACCAGCCACTTGGTTGCCATTCGGGACACGAGCCACAAAAGTGGGATGAGCATCAGATGACAAGACCGTGAATGAAAAAGCACCGAGTCCCAGTGAAAGCTTCATAATTGAGTTGGTGAGGTCGTGTAGTCGACTGGAAATTGTAAAGTGACTGCTACGTGCACTCGTGACTTCAGTGGTGATAGTTGACCAGAGGTAGCACTCAGGAACCATCAATTTTGAAGAAAGTAGACAAAGAGACTATGCTGTTGTTGGAAGCGACGTTTGTTCCATCATTTTTCTATCAAGAGACAGGATCATGACGTCCTGCGTGAGAGCAATGGGGGACTGGACTATACGTGGTCAAAGTGTTTGATGGAGTTAAGAAAAGTGTGATCTCTTATGAAGGACGTGAAGCGATTAATGCCAAGTAGGTTTTGCCTAAAGAGATAATGTAGCCATTTGTTTTACTAAATGTGGCTCAATCTTTTAAGGATGGAAGCTTAAAGTAGCTGCTCATCCTGAATGTCATTGTCCCGTGGGAAGTGTCCCAATAGTTCTCCTTTCTTTTCATCCAATCAAATAAGCTGATTAAACTGTCCCTCGGATCGTACGGCTTAGAAGCGACTTGAGTAACTACCGATGCAGTCGTCCGTCTTCCGTCATGTTTATCTACTGAGCGTACGCAGCTTTGCCAGTCATGTGAAGCCGCATATCCATATGCCAGAGACTGCAATGATGACAAAAAATGTACGTAGTTTCTTGGGCATAATGATCAAGTCAGTTATTGAGGTTTTGTCTGTATATACCGATAGGGGACACACCAATTCGAACGGAAAGGCTGGGAGTATTCCGCTTATATGGGGATGCTCGGTGGTCCCATTTTGCTCTTTTTAGGACTTACAAACGTCCCCGAGACAGACTCGGAGGTATTTGCCAGGTACATGAGAGAACAAATAGCTGAAAAAAAGTCTATTGATAATGACACACACGTGACTAATTCTTGAATTTGATAGAGAGGAAGCGCTTGCGATTCGCAAAGGGACGTAATTAATAAAATGTGTCGACGTCTGCTAGTGGATGAGCAAGTCATGACGAGATTTGGCGAGCTACAAAGAGAGATGAACACTGTTATTGGCCCCTGATTGACCGTACACTCTCTCTCTCACTCTTCAGCTTTTACTGCTGCTGGTGCTGGTGCTGGTGCTGCTGGTTTTTCACAAACGTCTTGATCTCGTCCGTTGTGCCGCAACTTGTTGACAGCACGTCGCTTTTACTTGTTTGTTGTCGGATGAGTCCGCTTAATACACCACCGACCCCCAACTCTAAAAAGTGATCAACTCCTTTGTCTACGCAGTAGTCGACACTGTCACTCCAGCGAACAGCGTGCACGAGCTGCTTCTCCAGTACCTGTGCAATCTCCTCCACTGTTTTGGTAGTCGCCTCTGCCTCGATGTTCCACACGACTGGCACCTTTGGCTCGTGCAGCTTGTTAGTCTGGATCAACTGCTGGAGCTGTTCATGCAGTTCCAGTTTTGCTGGTTCCATGAGTGCACAATGAAAAGGAGCACTCACATTCAGCAGCACCGCTCGTCGTGCTTTCTTGGTGGCTTTAGCGTAGCTAATAGCAGCATCGACAGCCAGTGCATCGCCACTGATCACCGTTTGCTTGCTCGAGTTGTAGTTGGCCACTTGACAAACGCTTCCAGTACTACTTGCAGCCTCTTGACACAACACTTCAGCATCTTCAGGCTTCACGTCTATCAGAGCAGCCATAGCCCCTACACCAGGAGCTACAGCTCGTTGCATGGCCAAGCCGCGAAAATGTACAAGGCGTACAGCATCAGCAAATTCAATAGCTTCGGCCGCCACCAGCGCCGAGTATTCACCCAGTGAATGACCTAAAGCAAAGTACACGGGCGGCAACTCCATTTCGTGTTGCAAAACTCGCAGCACCGCTACGGACATTGACAGCAGAGCTGGCTGAGCCACATGAGTGGGCGTGAGTTGATCGGCTGGACCTTCCATCATCCTGCGTCGCAGGTTAAGCCCCGTGGCCTCGCTGGTCTCCTCCAGTACGTCACCAACGATACGTGGCCAGTCCGCGAGCAAATCCTTCCCCATGCCGACACGCTGGCTGCCCTGTCCCGGGAACACGAGTGCGAGGCGACGTAACGCCATGTTGAGACTTGATAATGATGATCTCCGATACGATTGTGATACAATCACTGGATTCTCAATGTCGCCGAGTATAATCTGCTTGAAGACCTTGTTTCGTCTTATACCGTATCTACCTGTAATCAATCCACGTTGCTACTACGATGGAAAATACGGGGAGTGAATACTTGCTGGCCTCCGTTATCGCTTGCAAAAGGTTCATTTCAAGTCGTGCTGGACACAATATCTACAGTCTCAGTCTACCGGCGACTTGTGCGGTTGTCATTGCGATCACGCCGACGGTTGACGTTACCAACATTTCCACGGCGGTCATCATGACCCCCGCGTCTGTCAAAGTTTCCATTGACATTGCGGACACCACGGTCCTGGCGTCCACGCCTGTACACCATCAGTCGGATAGAAAATTAGCATTCGTCTCTTGCAAAAAAAGCATCGCGGTAATAGGGATTCGCTTACATTGAGTCACGCTGCAGTTGCTGCTGGTTTCCGTTGTTGCCATCAATGCCTCCACCTTTATTTCTTCGAAGCTTACGCCTGTCGTCATTTACACGCTTAGGCTCGATCCAGTTGCCAATGCTGCCGCCACCATCACGACGCCGCTTCCCTTCATGTAAGTCTGTGGGCGCCTCACCATCAGCTATAGACTCGCGCTCGCGCTCACGCTTGCGTGACGAAGACACCAGTGACACGATCTTACGTGCCCCACCAGTTGGCGTTCCAGCACCTGTCGGTGAAACCCCGCCCGCCGAAAATCCTGTCACTGATGCCGAAAGCGGAGGCCTCATGCGATCACGCACTATCGGCCTCGTGCGCTCAGCAAATTGCTGCTCTTTCGCCTTTGCCTCCTTATCGGCGGTAAGTTGACGACGCAACGCAGCCTCCGACTGCTCAACAGGCCGCGCTTTCTTGCGATCTTGGAGAGGAGAAGGCTCAGCTTTCACGGAATCGCGCTCGGCCCTCGTTCCCCAGCTCAGTTTAGCAGACACGGAAGTACGGTCAGACTTTGGCGACAAAGCCTGCTTGGCAGGCTCTTTATTCCGTGTAGGACCAAGTTGAGAGGCCTCAGATTTCCGTGTCATCTCGTTCTCTTCGTGGCCGTAAATCAAATCACGGTTTCGCAAGTTGCGTTCATGACGATCACAGCTGCCACTGCGGCTATCACCTAGTTCTCGACGGTTGCCTTCACCTCGTCCACCACGGTTATGTTGTCCACGTTCGCGCCCACGCTCGCGTTCGCGTGAAGACCGATGGCTATCGCTATTATTACCACGGTCTTCGGCACGATCTCCTGATCGACTACGCAGCGGTGCTGGTGACCTCTCGCGTTTAAGGGATGCCAATCCACTGCGTTCGTGCGGCTCGTTCTTTGTTTGGCTATTTGCTGAGCTACCGCGACCCGCAGTCGTAGGAGACAACTCACGTTCGCGCTGACCGCATCTTTCATCCACGCCAAGTTCACGAGGAATATCCGTCGAGATGTTTTGGCGGGACGTAACTTCTTCGCGTTCTGCACGATTGCGACGGTCATGACTAGAGTCTGCTGAACCACCTCCACCACGGCTATTACGATTATGATCTCCACCTGGTCCACGCTCCGGACTTCGCTCCTTAACCAAAGGGGAGATGTCGCTGTTGTTGCTGCTCTTTCCCACCACAATTTCACCGCTTTCAAGTTCTTGACTCGCTGCGCAGCTTAGCGCTGGTTTATTTGAGGTGTCACGTGTGCCTTCATTGTGGTTGCCATCATCGATGATGCTTTTCTTGTCCTCTTCAGCTGGCACATGCTTTTCATCGATGCTAGATGACGCAGCAGACGGCGGCTTGGTTGGAGCATTGCGAGTACGCAGTAGCCTGTCATTAATAAGCGATGCCTTGCGCTTGGTTAGCAGAGCAAAGTATCGTTTGGCCATAATCTTGACATCTTCCCGGTCCTCATTCGTCAACTTTTCCACGATACCCAAAATCACTTCAGCTGTTCCGCGGCCCGCCGGGAATACATCAATCAGCTTTGTCAGTACCACCAGCGTGTTGCGGATTGGCATGTACTCGCCACTTGAAAGCGCCGTCGTGTATACGAGCTCTAACTGCTGGTGCCAACGAGCATACGCCGACTTAAACTGGCGGTGAGCAAGACGTTTCTTGTCGTCAGTCAGATCTAGGCTCATGCCGATCTTTCCGTGGATCGCTTCATCATCGTACGTTGCACCGTTCTGGTACCAGCGCAAAATAAGCCCTAGAGTCTCTTTCATGTAAATGCCAAAGTTACTCGCCTCGCGCTCCGTTGCACATAGCACTATCGCTGATACCTTCATACTCACCTTGTGAAAGTACTGCAGACTACTCAGTTGTGGCGTTGAGAAAGTATGTAGTAGCTCCATGAATTTGGCAACAAACATCGCGTCTTCAGGTGATATGAGCGAGCGTGGGATCACACACTTCTGTAGAAGCTCATCAATTGCAGTTTGGCGATCATTCGGTTCGTATTCGAAAAACTTCCCTTTCATGTTCTCCAGTCGCTCATACACTCGTTTTCGATGAGCCACTTGGTCTTTTTGTTCCGTCGTAAGCACATCAATCATCTGCGCTGTTTTCTCTTTCAGCTTTTTCCGCTCACTTGCACTAAGCGATGCGTTTGCACCAGAAGTGACGGAGTTCCGCAGACGCAAAATCTCGGATTCGTACTGCTGGAATGGAATATGGATATCGTACAGCTTTAACCCCCAGAACGTTGCGTATACTTCCGGTGTCAATCCCGTGAAGGGCCCTTTAACCTTATCACCGGAACCATCATCGATGCGCAGTGCATTCTTGATGTCCTCCAGGAAAGTGGGGTTGTACATATACCAACTTTTATCCTTGTCTGATGTACCGCTATGTACAGATCCATCGGTGCTGACCCCATTATTAGTTGTGTTGGTACCGCCGGTAGCGTGCACACCACGCGGCACAGTTTGCAATACTGGATCATCGCTACGCATCGCCGGACGACAGAGTGACATTGCCAATTCCGGTGGTACATTATACTCACGGACTAGCGTCGTAATGGAAGGAAGCATTTTTCGGTACACCAATGGGTCAACAACACCACCAAGAAACTGCATAAGCTGGGTGAGCGTGAGCTGGCAAGTATCGAACACCCGTCCAAGCAGCTTGAGATGTGGCATGTTTCTGTCTTCATGATACTCAATACGGCTGCGCATCTGGCAAATCAGCACCGATAGCGGTAGGGCCAAATTATGCTTGATCAAAGCATCGCGCAGTTTTGGAATGGCACGACGGTTTTGAAACTTTGGGTCCGTCGGCTCATACCAAAGATGTGGTCCACCTGCCTGGGCTTCAAGCTGACTCGCCGAAATATCCTCCAGGCTCAAGCATGATCCCATCTTCGTCAGCAGCTCACTCAATACGATAAGGTCTACTGATGCCCAGTTCTCAAGACGCTTGATGAGATACTGGAGGAGGCCTGCTAGTTCCACGTTAGGATATTTGCGATAAAAGCTGCCCGAAAAATTTGCAAGCGACGTCAACCAAAGCGATACATGGGTTCCGTCTAACTTCATGGACTTCTGTGGTCTTGATAATTCGCTTACGAGAACAAACGACAGCACATCCATCCCCAATGGTGTAACGAACTTGAATGACTCCACCACGGGCTGAATCAAGTTATCATACGACTGAATCTGCCGCAGCATCGTGCGAAATACAATGAGCGGGTTCGAGTGTGACACATGAGTCAGGCCGCGTGCTGACAGCTTTGCCCGGTCCGCTGTGAGCCGTCGCATGATTCCACGCGTGCTCTGCACTACCTGTGCTTCCTTGAGACGTAGTTCCGGATACTTATCGTACGCCTCAAACCAATGCAGGTAAATTCTGTAACGCTCATCACACGGCAACGTCTTAATCAAATCCCACACCAAAAATGCTGTGCTCGGGTTGCATGCTTGCAGAGACATGGCAGGAAGGAATGTGCCAACCAATAATGACTTTACCTTATCGAAAAGCCCACCATCCTTTTCGTCCTTTTCAACAGAAGTGCTCGACTTCTTGGAGTGATTGTCGACTAACTTGCCAGCGATACGCAGCAGCTGTGTGAAAAGGAACTCGTCGTGGAACAATTGAGGGCCGATCATCTCCAAGATAGGAAAAGCTTCGGACACACATTCCTCTAACGTAGCCACACGACGAACATAATGGCTGCTCGTGCTCGTGTGGGGCAATCGTTTCTCCGTAAGATTCGTCGATCCATCACACTTGCCACTTACAAGCTCGAGACTGCGAGGTGAAAGCGGTGCATAGACATCCTCAATCATCACATTCACAACAGCAGAAAGCTCTGTGGTTAGAGGTGTAAACGTAAGAGGATTCACACCTCTCTTTTGAAACCACGAAATCATTTCAAAGGCACGTTCCCGTGCGCCAACCTCTAAAAGCCCAATAATCACTCCGTACACCTGGTTGTGTTCGGCATCCTGCTTGCGTTTCTCGGCAGCAGCAGCTGCAGCTTCGTCCTCGCCGTCGACCTTCACTGGATCTTTCTTGCCGGCAAGGCTGATCTTGCCGAATGATCCCGCTTTCTCAATCAGCTCTTTTTCATGTTCTACAGACGCTTTCACAATGTCACCACGAGACGGCGACAAGTGTGGCAGGAGAGCATCCAATTCAAGCAGACCCTTTTTCAACAGCGTCGCAGCTAGACGATAAAGTGAACGTGGCGTCGTGACTCCTTCTATAGCAGGTGGATCACGCTTGTAAAACTGAAACTTGAAACCTATAATGTGAGGCAAGCTGTCGCGCTTGAAAATCTCAAGAAGCTGTGCAAAGCAGTCGTTCCTTGGGTGCATCTCGTACACGTCTAGTACCAAGTCCAAGACACGGTTTGCGTCCAAGTCAAAGAAACCAATAAGAGCCATCAAGTCGGTCTTTGTCGCCTCAAGTTGGCTCGTGGTCACTCCAGTGTGCAGCAGACACAGAACCTTGGAGAAACCCTCAGTCTCCTCCCGCAGCAAATTGTACTTGGTCTGTGTGTACAATGTCTTGGTATTGATGCGCACCATCTTTTTCGTCATCAGCTGGGGCTCAGGTGCAAGCTCTGCATCATGTAGCAGGTCAAACTCGAGCGTCGCCTTGAGACTCAATAGTGTCAAAAGCTTTTCCTCCCCAATATTCTTCACGAATGCACACAAATTGCGCCACTCTCGTGACTTGTGGCGTTCATGACCACGTTCATTGGTCTCCACCTCGTTGCCAATGACCCACAACAAATCCGTCAGTAGATCGCACGCCGTTGGATATTTCGTCTAAAAGAAACAGCATTCATTTGTTTAGACACTAGATTACCATCAAAAATATTAACGTCACTATATTTGTACCAATTCTGCATCTTTCAACAGTCCCAGCACTTCTTGCTTGGTCAATTTAGCGTGTAATACGATCCATACGAGCTCATACAGTAATCGAGGTAAATCAGAGGCTAGAAACAAACGGAATTAGTACGTGGTGCTGTAAAGTAACTGTTAAGTAACATTATCCCACCGGAATCCGCCTTGTGGCCGGTGAAGTCGTTCAAAGAGCGTGTCAAATGCGCCAATCTACAGACCAAAAGAAAGCGTCAAATCTCGACCCAGAGCTACGGTGATGAGACACTTACACGTTAAGACGTCCGGATTCGGTCCAGTGGTGTAGCGCCCGCTCACCGATGAGCGTAAGGTCCATGCGTCCGCTCTCCATCCTTGTTTTGGACCAGACGTTGGGTGTGTGCGATCCTAATATTGTGTTTGTTACTTCAAATGTAAAACGGATGGTAAAATATTGTGGACCGATACACATTGTTGCACCAGCCCGTAAAGTTGCGGAAAAAAGAAGAGCTTTATTTTGGGAGAATTTATATTACGACTACTGCTTAGTATAGTCCAGTACCATACAGTAAATACTGTGAGCAAAAGAAAATCGTGAGCTGTTGCGAGATAAAGGCAAACACATACAGCAGGATGACAGAGGCGTAGATGGCTACAACTGCTACAACCATCATCATGTCGAGGTTGTAGTAAATACTCAGCAAGTGACCAGTGGTAGCACTTGCTTCAGGTTCATTCCGCAGAGCCATGACAATGACGTTTTGCAATGACCAGATGAACATGAGCACTGCAAATGCACCAGGAATACCCGTTGCTAGCAGCTTCACGCCACCAAAATAGAGCTGTGCATACATTCCATAGAGTCCTTCTGCCTGTTGCATATGGATCGATGGACTGTAGACCATTAGATGCTCATCACGTGGTGAGATAAAGTTGTAAAGTGCGCAGTCCAATTGCAACAAATGCTGCAACGTCCATAATTCGATACGTCGAAACTTGGTACCCCATGCAGCTACAAGGGACTGCAATACTTTCCCCATTGAAAGCGTGAAGACGCAGATGATGGCAACGACGGAGAAGATGAAATTAGCGGTATGAAACAGCAGTGTCTTGTACGTCAGGAGTTTGAACGGCACAGACAGGACCAACCAGATCAACAGACACTCTTTGGAGCACATCGAGTCCAGACGTTCGTAGAAGGAGGGCTGACATTGTTCAACGTCGTCGTCGTGTTCGGACTCGACGTCAATCATAGACACGTCAAAGGTTCCGTATCCATCGGTCACGACAGATCCCAAGTCGCTCGATAACTTGATTAGTTTTGGATGAAAAGTCTCCTGAGTAGCCATGAAAAGCTATTATTACTCGACGTCGTTCTGTTCTCGTTGTGTTACGAGCTGCATAGAGATGGAGGTAGTTGACGATCGACTGAGATTCCTCCTCCTCTCCCACAAATTATGCCAGGTGGTGCATGAGTCATAAGTATTTTTTATCAGATGCGTATTAACTCAAGGCACCGCAGTATAAACACTATTTTATGACTACGAATAGAGCTACGCGGTATTTTTTATAGAGGCGGGTCGTTTTCCATGCAGACCTTCCTAAAATTTTAGAGTTGGAATCATATGGAATAGAGTGCTGTAACAAGAAAGAAAAGGTTAAGTAAAAAAAGAATAAACACGTTTATACGTTCTAACATGAAAATGCATTTATACGTTTTTAAAGAAGATCGATCATTTCGAGACATAAAATGACAAATTCAAGGTACGATGACGTCTGGATCAAGTATTTCGACTCAAAGGAAGACGTCGCACTATCGAATGGCGACGTACGTTACTTGTTTCTATATAAAAATATAGTTCTTTTACGTCTTGACGATATTTTGGTCTGTTTTGGTCGGGGGGTTTCTCGTAAATTGAAGACATTTCGAATGTATCATGCAGGTTCTCAAGGTCCACACGTGATACTACTGCATGGTGGAGGTTGTACCTCTATGACGTGGTGTCTTGTGACGGTATACAAACTCAAGTAATAAAGGATTCGATTCAATATGAGAAGATGAGACTGATACTATATTGTCTCACTAGACGATGCTGAAGGAGACGTGTACGGTCCATGCTTTCGATTTGCGAGGTCACGGCCAGACGAACACAAGTGCCGACGACGATCTGTCTATGGATACACTGGTTCAAGATACATTGGTCATGCTGGACCATATTGTTCCTCCTCCAATGGTTACAAAGGTCGATGGAGATGCTGAGTCAGAGATCCCACAGACCATTCTCGTTGGTCATAGGTGAGAAAAAATGCCTCTCACGTCAGTGTTTCTTCAGTAGACACGATTTACTTGATGTTGTTTGTAGTTTAGGGGGTGCACTTGGAGTTCGTGTTGCTGCAACGGGCAAAGTACCGTCCCTTGTGGGTGTCATGGTGATTGATGTGGTGGAGGGCACAGCCATGGCATCGCTAAAGCACATGGGCGCCATCCTCGAAAGGCGTCCGTCTCATTTCCACTCATACGAAGATGCCATCCACTGGGCGCTGCATAGCGGTACCGTTTATAATCCGGAAGCTGTCAAAATATCTTTGCCGTCCCAGCTGAAGCAGCTCGAAGATGGCTCGGTGGTGTGGAAGACGGACCTGGCTAGCAGTGCGCAGTACTGGAAAGGTAGGTAGTCTAGTTCGGTTATCGGTTGTAGAGCGTGTTTGTTTACCTCTTGTGCTATCTATAGACTGGTTTGTTGGCCTCTCGAAGCAGTTTTTATCGCTGAAGGAAGCAAAGGTGTTGGTGTTGGCAGGTGAGAATGTGTTGATGTTTTCGACGACAAAGAAGTGTGTCTGCTAATGTTGTTGTACCAACGCGTTAGGATCTGATCGCCTAGACACGGAGCTCATGCGCGGCCAAATGATGGGCAAATTCGAGATGAGACTGATGTATTCATCAGGTCATGCGATACAGGAAGATTGTCCCCACGAGATGGCGAACGCCATTATTGAATTTTGCGGCCGCTGCGCACGTGTTATAAGCGGAAACATCTTTGGTCCCAACGGAGTACCCGTACAGCCTACCAAGGATTCACGCTTGGCGGAACGGCTTGCGAAAGCGCGTGCAATGATACCGAAGGAGGGCGATCATTAGCAGAAAAAGGTCGAGGCATTGTGTCTTCTGTGTAATTATTGACCTCATGAGGGGATACAAGTATAGTAGGCAGATGTCTATGAGTAAAAGCTCTTCTAACTAAAAGCACAATGCGTTAAACGTTTTCACCGACAAAATGCCGGCCACCTGCGTGCATTATCTGCGAACTCTTCGTGTCGATGGCAACTTCTTGCGCGTAGTCCTCTGATGTGGATTGACATTGCTTCTTGGCGACGGGTTTGATTGCAAACCTGCTGTCACCGTATACGAAGACTGAGCTTACCACCATCAGTACTCCGAAATAGAAGGAGAGCGTGGCTGTCTGGTTAAACATGTAGTTGGAGATGACGCACGAGAAGATAAGCGAGAAGGACGTGCCAAAGTTCTTGACAATGTTGTCCGAATAGCGCACGACAGCGGCGATTGTAAGTCCACCGACAGCCTGGAGGAAGATGACTGCAAAGACTGCCGGGTGGAAGCCGTAGAAAAGCCCATGCGTCCACACTTCGCCCATATTGCGCACGAGATCCAAAGCAGCGACACCCACTGAGACGGCAGACAACTGCAAGTTTCGTGTCCAAAGCGGATCCAACGTCTGTTGAGTCGTGACAGGCTTGTGCGCCTTCATGACGCGTTCAAAATAGGCTGCTGCAAGTCCCGAATTGATTGCCAGTCCAATCATAATGCAAATACCAACGAATCTCTTACTGCTGCTTGCTTCAACCGTGTGATTCGATCCGCTCGGTAGCCTCGAGTAGGAACAGATAGCTACACCAGCCATAAGTGCCAGCATGGCATACCACTGGACGATACTAAAATGACGATGCAATATCACACTCATAAACATGGCGGTAGTAATGATCTTGAGCTGGTAAACAATTTGGTACGTGGCTACATCCACGTAATCGTAAGCCACAAGTGCAAACATATTTTGCAGCGCGTAGAGGAAGGCAAGCACTATCATTTTTGAGAGTCCTTTTTTGTCCGCAAATACTTCAATTTGCAATGTACGAATGGATGCCTTCACGTTTCCATGCTTAAACTTAAGAAGCACAAGACAGCACAGGACGAATTTAAGTATCTCCACTAGTAACACTACAAAACCTGGTCGGTACTTGGGTCCAGTCGTGGCACGCGAATACTTGGATACGATCGATAACGCTGTGTTTTGTAACACAAGCATTACAAAACTTACTTGTTTGCGAGAGATCCTCATGGTCGTAGACGAAAGAAGGGGAAAAGAGAAGATGAAGAATGAGCATCTTCGAGTCTACCTATTGTTACCTATGGTTCGAAATATATATTTCTAAATGACAGTGGTACGTTTTTTTAGAAACAAAAAATAAGACGGACGTTTTCGGACTGACCTAAAGTACGTAACGTCTCTTATTAGTGATATTTATCTCTTACGGGGGATTTATCTCTTTATCGTTCTAGTAAAGGGGATGGCGTCTGGTTTTGGCGAGGTTGGTTGATTTCGTTTGTGCATCTGTATGGAAGCTAATACTAAGCTACGAAATATACAAAATTGATGTCTATATGATTACTGTTCTAGTTAGTATTAGTGGCGGGGGATAGTCACATTCCAAATCGAGCTTCCGAGGTTTCAGAAAAGTTTCAAAAAATGCTGGTACGATATCGTACGTCAGTGATTCAAGGTTTTCTCTACGATCAACAATGTTGTTGTTGTATGGAATAGGTGCCGAATAAAATGCAGCACGTTTTGTGCACGGGAAATTTGGTGACAAAGGAGCAATTTGAGGAGCTGCGGAATCTAGCGCCCAATGTTCATGTGGTAGCAGGAGACTGCGATCAAGTATGAAAGAACTGGGGCTTAGCTATGGATTTTATGAGGCTGTTTGGACTAATGACTGTGTCTTGCAGGAAGGAGTTTATCCAGATACAAAGGTCATTACGATCGGTCAGTTTCGGATCGGCCTTTGTCATGGACATCAGATTGTTCCATGGGGCGACCAGCATAGTCTTGCAGCTTTACAGCGAAAGGTACGTGTTTCATATGTACTTTTGATGAGCTTCTTGATGCTGAATCGTGTACTTGTTTTACAACGTTTTTCAGATGAATGTAGACATTCTCATTACTGGTCACACTCATATGTGAGTGTCGCAACGCTATCGAGAGAATGCTTGGGCAGCACTAATAGTTTTGTCACTTGTTCCGTTGATTGTAGATCGCATATTCGGACGGAACAGGGCAAGTGGTTTGTAAATCCTGGATCTATCACGGGTGCGTTCAGCAGCTTGTCCAGTGACGTAGTACCGAGCTTCATGCTTATGGCGTTGCAGGGGCCTAAGGTTGTTGCCTTCCTCTATGAGCTTAAGGGCGACAACGTTGTCGTATCCAAAAGTGAGTTCACTAAGGAAACGTAATTTTTCCTCTTTGCGTGATGGCAGTCAAGCATCAATAAACATCATTGTTTTGTGTATACTGCTGCTATTTCTCTCTCGTGTTCGACGGGGACCATTGCGCTGCAAAAGTCCGGGTATCATTCCTGTGTCACTAATATGCTACACTTCATGGTGCTGAAAAAAATGTCAGCAAGTCACTAAGACAGATTAAACTCTGCTTCAAAGTCCTCAAAGAACACAGCTGGGTCGATGATCACGGGATTTGTCACCCGCGGTAGCACGCTCACCTTGTAGGACTCGTAGCGCCGCCACATTTCAAAACCGCGCAACGTATGCTCCATCTCCTTCAGCAGATGCTTGCACATTGCCGCATCTTTACTGCTATTGCCGTTCAGGTTGCAAGTTGGGTCGATCGGTGGAGTAAGACCGTTCTCCCGTGACTCAGGTGAACGTCCAGGTGTAAACAACTCCGAGTAAAATGACTGCAACTTGCGGTGCTGCAACCGGTAAACGGTCAGGTGTACTACGGCGGCCATCTTGCAGCCTAATGCAGCTAGCCGCATGCTGCCAGCACTTTGAAAAGCGCGGATGGTGCTCTCAATTAGCGAAGACGTTTGTGAAAGCGTCGTGACGCAGTTTTCACCGAACGTGCGCGCGTGTTGAACATCACCCTTTTCCTGGTACGCCATCTTAACTTCCTGCAGTTTAAGTGCATACTCGAAAAACTTGGCACCTGAGCGCAAATAGTATTTGCCCTGAGTGACATGTCCTCCACTGCCACGTTCGCTTGATCCACGGCGGTTTCCCTCGTGCTTTAGTTTTCGTGCCTCGTTCATAAGTTTCGCCGACTCAAGTCGCAAATTTTGTGCATCACTTCCGGGTGAGAATGTGATTGTGAAATGTCCAACGAAAGGGGTAAGAGCTTGTGATAAAGGTTCCTTCTTCACCTCTTCGAGTGGCAGCTTCACCTCTTCGAGTGGCAGCTTCACCTCTTCGAGTGGCTGCTTCACCTCTATAAGTGGCTGCTTCACCTCTTCTGCCTTTACATCCTTTTCCATTTTCAGTGACCGCTCCTGCTTCTCCTCGTCCTCTTTTGATGTTTCACCACTCAGCTTCTTTTTACAAATTTCACACATTGCCGGTGCACTTGGTGCAACTGGAGCTGTAGGTTGTGTCGGTGGTGTAAGATGATTGGCGGACCCATTTGACAAAAGAGGAATCGACTTATCTGTGAAGGCATCTCTTGAGTCCGATGCAAGCGTCTTGCTTTTGCTGCTGGCTTTGCTCGGCTTGCTGGAATTACTTTGCTCGCTTAACCTGCTTGACTTGCTCATTTTGCTTGACTTGCTGGACTTGCTTGACTTAGTTGTTTTACTGGAGGAAGCATCATGGGATAAAGTACCACCCGATTCCACAGAAGGAGGTTCCTTCCATGTCACGCGTTCTACTTCTCCTGCGGTAAGTCTCCGTCGAAACTCATCGTGCCGCGACGATGAGTCATCTTTAAATGCGTCTACTAGTGTATCACTATTACTTCCGTGTCGTACACTAAGCAAGCAGTCTCGTACGTACGTTGACATTTGCTTGTAGTACTCCGAGTCTGGACGATGTCGCTTCCGCGCCCGAACCGCTTTAATCGGGTAAGTTGGTGCGTCCTTGTTAAAACTCTTCACATCATTAGTCATTGACAAAGATTCAATATGTATAGGAGGCGTTGCGACAGTAGGTTCCTCCTCAATCTCCATTGCAGTCTCCCCTCGGTCTTGATTGTCATCGTCGCTGTCCGCAACTGATAACAAACTTTCATCATCCGAGTCGTGGTCACCATCAGATGCGACACCTCCTTCAGCTGGAAGTACCTTACCCCGTGAGAGAGCAGTCGGGAATCGAAGCTGCTTTCCTCTTCCTACAGTAGCCGGCATCACCTCTACCGCCATTGGCTGCGGCGTGACGCTTTGACTAACGTTCAAATCATCATCATCTTCTTGCTCGTATTCCGACGACAGCGGTGTGGATGATTCCACATCAGATGAGGCTACAGAATTACTGGATTGAGACTCGACACCAACTCGGCTACCAGTTCGACAATGCAACGCCGCCTCTTTGCTAGAAATGGTGCGACTCGGTGCATTTTTCTTCGACGACACAAACTTCCGCTTGGCCATCTACAGCAAAAGGCACAAGAAAAAAAGAAGGGCACAGCAAAGAGTACAGCACGGATCAATATAGTCTCATCAGGTCTCATATAGCACCGGTACGCACCTTTTTTCTAGTTACTTAATGGACTGAGACTAGATGAAAGCGAGGGGGACTGGCTGAAGAGGGACCAGAGTCACCCACTTTGCGAATCTAAAACGTTATTGTTCATAATTAATTTTTACAATGTGAAAAAGTGGTAAAGACACAAAACGAGAAGGAAAAAGACGTACGTGGGTGAACAAATAACTTCCAACAGCTTTCGAGTGGCCTGTCTGAGCTTGGTTTGAACAGTTTTCTTGCTTACTAAACGATGCTCGCAGTAAGCTCCCAAATTGATAGTAGAGGGCAAATTGGGTAATGGTGTGGTACAGTAATGTGGTGCACTTTACAATGAATTTAGCAGGGTAAACATCGATTTTGACAGGTAAAACCCATGTCATTAAATGCTCTAAAAAAACTGCTGTATATGTATGAATGTATGTATGTATGGGGTTGGTTATTATAATGGATGCGACCAGCTCTACATTTGCCATATCGGACCGTCTCATGATGAAGCAGCATAGTCACCAACTCATCTTCCGTGTGACAATCGATGTAGAAGATATAGGTGACACGGTTGCAAACCACTCGTGCCCCATGACCAATTGCGTCAAGATCCCTGACGATTACGGTTGTCGTGGGAACGGATCAAGAGGTTCGTCGTGTAGATAATATAGAGATAATCTATTGATCGTGATGAATACCACCACCACTGGATCCAAGACCAGTAGGATTTGGGAGTGTCTGACAGTGAGAGGTTCAAGCACGGTGGCATTTGTTATAGTATGTGACGTGAAAAGAGGTAGGGGGTTCAATTGCAGCTAGCTTATTATGATGCATGGCCTAATAATAATGTCCTTTAGCTCGAGCAAGCTTTGTCAAAGCAGTTGACATGGAGTTGTTTCTCTCTCGGCGGCTTTTGTAGAAACAATATTTGATTATATTACGGAGGTAATTTGCTGATCTTATTTGTTTGTGCCGTTTAGGATCTTCTGTCAGCTGGTGAGCGTACAAAACAGAACACCAAAGGCTGTTTAAGATCGATTTGAGCTATCCTAATTCAGTACTTTTACATCTCTATATCTGATAGCGATTGCTTCATTGTAAGAATTTATGACGAATTTTGCCTCGAAAAAGTTGTGGACCTTTTTTATGTTTTAGTCTGTTTGCGACATGTTGATTACAATTAGAGCTTTTGCCACATAGTACAAAACCGAGACGTACACGAATACCGATCAACGATGATACGAGAGTCAGACATTGTGCCTTTTCCTGTCGATGACGTGTGTAACGACTATGTCAACGAACGTACATCAGAGCGGTTTCGCTTGATCTAGACCGGGCTGAATAACGGCAGTCGCATCAAGATTCGAGGTAATGTCATTGACAGTCCGGTCTCTCAATGTGATCACGTAGCGGAGAGGCGAGAGAGCTGCCGCCTCCAGCACTCCAGCGTGCGCTAATAACAAAGCATATATTACCAGAGCTTAACCGCATTAAGCTCGCGCAGCGAAATCTAGCTATCCGTTTTTCAAGACTCTACAATCTGGTATGCAGCGTAACGTAATGACTGGCCCCAGCAGCAATTTTTTTCGACTCATGAGACCTCGATCAGGCACTTTGCCAATGCTGTAACTAGACTGTTCAGATCAAAGAGCTTATCGAGGTTTTGGATGGATACTTTTTAGGTATATCTTAGTCACACGAAAGCGTTGCTTGTCGTACTCTCGGAGGTGCTCTGTTTTGTCCACACCAGATATTGAAGGCTATCCAAAAGCTACGCAGCTTTCAAACGTCATATCTGCTAGGCTTAGCTCACTTTGAAGACCATCATCGTTCTGCTCTCCTCTAGACAGCGCACTCACGACACTGACGTAGTTCGCCATATACTTTGCTCGCACTTGGACGAGTTACTCTTTGTTTTAATCCAGCATCTTCAGTGATCCTCCGTAGATCTTCCGGAAAAGTGCTGGCGGTCAGCAACGTCCGTAGAGTCTCACTTACTCATACTGGTCAAACATGAAGCCGTTCAGTGGCATTGTAAAAACCTCAGCAAAGACCCACATTCATTCTTTGCTCTAGCTAAAACACACCTACCTGACTCTTCACGTCATAGAGCGATCGTAAAGTTGTCTTCAGTGCAGGTGTACACCACATACACACCAAGGTGACAACTAAATGAAGCTCGTGCGCATGCTGGCAGGAATGCTGGCGGTGGCAACGCTCATGTGCTCGGGCAACTTGTGTATCAGCGCGTCTAAGCAAGACGGCACGATTTCGTACAGTAGCACGACTGTTACGCTGATTATTGAAGTGCTCAAGCTGGCGATAATTCTCAGTACGATCGTCTTGACCGAGACGCCGCCACCTGCGCGATTCGTACCGATCGAGGCCTTTTACTACGCCGTTCCTTCGTTCCTTTATACCATTGACAACAATCTCAACTACGTCATCCTACGGTTCATGGACGCCGCTACTCTCTCGGTGCTTTGGAACCTCAAGATTGTAGTTACAGCCTTCCTTTTTCGCTTTGTGCTCAAGCACCCATTATCAGAGCTGCGCAAAATCGCCATTGTACTGCTAGTGATTGGTGTGCTTACGAGCGAGTCGAACCATCTGCGAGAGATGACAGCTACAATCGTTACAAAGAGTGGCAATGACAGAGGCGGCGGGATGCAGTCAATGAAAGACACTGCTGCAGATAAAAGCGCCAAGGACTTAATTATTGGCGTCCTGCTAGTGTTGGTGGGTGTCACCTTGTCGTCCTGTGCTAGCGTGTTTACCGAGTGGGCTTTCAAACGGAAGTCAAACTGTCCATTTCTGTGGCAGAATATTCAGATGTACGTATTTGGCATTATTTTTAATGCCGCTGGGGTTCTGCTGGTAGAAGGTGAAGACATCTTCTCAAAGGGATTCTTCCATGGCTACAACAACTGGACACTGGCCGTGGTGGTAGTGAACAGTATTGGTGGCATCGGAATGGGCTTTATTCTCAAGTATCTCGATAACATTGCCTGCGTCTATTCTCATTCCATGGCAATGATGCTCACGATGCTCTTCTCGATGCTTTTCTTTTCCTTTTCACCGTCTCTCGAATTTGGCTGCGGACTCATGGTGCTCATCATCTCAATGTACATTTACCATCATCCGCTAGCACATGCTGATGACACAGCCAAGCCCCCCCGCCGTTTCTCCGACTCATACTCCACAGAGTCCGGCAGGATCACAGAAAGCAGTCAGAAGGAGAGAATGGTCAAGTTGAAGCAGCAACAAAATGACGACGTCGACGATATCGACATCACTGTCAATGCAAGTGGCTCGTTGTCGTCTATGGCACCTAAAAGTATATCATTGTGCGGACTTAAGCTGATGAAGACGCAATACGCAAAGCTTCCAGACACGTCAAAGCACTTGAAAAGCGCCTGTACAACTGCAAACGCTATGGACTCATCACTCCACAACAGCAATCAACCTCACGAGTGAACTCGACTCGGGAAAGTGCACTTCACAGACGATGTAGCCATTTGTCAAGAGGATGGCTACAGTACGTCTACTTTCGTGCGACATGTATCTAGTACCTAGACCTTCATTCTTGCAATTTAAGTTTTCCCACACACATTCATTCTGTCCAAGGGTCAAAGCTATTAAGAAGGCATCCATCAAGACCTCCGTCTTTGTCACCGTCGTCTTCTTGTCCATCGTCCCCTACTGCGTTTCTCATTAGGATGATCTCACGTCTGCGACTTGGCGGTTCCGGTGGCAATAACAATAATAATGGCGCAGCCAGTACGAGCTCGAGTATCTTCGGAGCCGCTGCATCGGCCATGAGCAGCATTAGCGGTGGGAGCATCTTGCCAGGCAATAGCAGTATCGAGAGTGCAGCAGCTACAGCAGCAGCTAATCATGCAGCCAGTACTACAGGCGTCTCAGGAGCTGCAGGTACTTTTATAATTCATAACAACTCACAAGAGCTGATTCCAGAATGGCGACTGGTTAGCAGTCGGAATTCCCAAAAGGGAGTACTATCTGCATCTTGCATTAGTCCATACTCAATGGAATTGACCTACTGGGGTGAAAACCAAGCGTAGGGTCTTGCAATGTCGAGACACGGCTTCAAAATCCTCACTCGCCTCTTGTCACTCCTTTTGTCTAACTCTTTTTTTCCTCTATGTTACTTGTAACTTTTATAGGTTTAGATACATCAACTACTGGAAAAGCTGCAGGTGGAGGTTTCTTTGGTGTCTCTCGCATGGTTGCGCTCGTCAATCAGGCCAATAGAAGTCTGCAGTCGTTGCAAAGCACTACAGCAGGTCCTGGAGGTAAAACAGGTTCGCAGTCGAGAGGATCGGGATTGCAGGATGTTGATCGTGATGGTCAAGTGATTGTGGAGATTTTTGAAAACGAACGTCTTGAAGGAAAGTTACAGCCTATGGATCCGAAATGCTTCAGCGATCGTCACGCGGCACCTGATGCTGGACAGGATGAGAAACCGGAAGGAGATCTTCCTCTTGGTCATGAATGGGTAACTGACTGGGAAATTGATCAGAACTATACAGCGGTGGACCGTGATGGGTGGACGTATGCTGCAGATTTTGTAGAAATTGTACGCTTGCTCGGTGACGACCTCAGTCACGCCTCACGTCACCCGACAGATGCAGTGCGTCGTCGTCGATGGATTCGCTATTGCCAGCCTGTGGATAGCAATGCGCCGCAGTCTCCTACAGATTCAGGTGGAACCAAGTCTTTAGCTTCCTCGGCCTCCTCGAACAACTGGGCCGATGCGACCCCTGGACATGGCAACGATTACATGTTGGATGATAACGAGGATCCATTCATGCGCACTGCTCAAAAAACACAGACTGGCTTCCGTGTAAACGTAAACTTCGCTCAGCGCGGAAAGAAAGACAACACGAGAGACTACCAGAGCATTAGCCTGACGGACGTTATGTGGTTAGTGAACGCGCACGACGTGGCAAATGCACCGACTGAAGAATTGATGCGCGAGAAGACGGCCAACCTTGAGGAACAGATTAGGGAGGCCACCCTACGCTCCAGGTCAATGGAGAAAGACCTTCGTGCTCAGCATGATAAGCAGACTAGAGAGCTTACGGTGCAGCAAAAGAAGTTTGATGCACTAGTGGCCCAGTACAAAAAGATTCGATCGGAGAATGAAGCGCTCCAAGCTGTTGTATCGGAGCATCGTGTCAAAGTAGAAGCTTTGCGCAAGGAAGCGGTACGTTTTGGAACTGTTCATTGACGTGGATGTGGTATCCCTAATATGGTTCGACGTTTGCTATGTTGTGCAATACGTGACAGACTGAAAAAGATATGGTGGCGGTACGCGTATTGTATTTCGTTTCATCTGTAGCCAAAATGTGAGCGGCAGCTGATAGCTGTGCGTACCACCTGTATTTTTAATGCGTAGAACGAAGAACAACGAGCACTTAACGCAGAAACAGCAGCGCAAAACCAGGCGCTTGAAGAAAAGGCCAAAGCGCTTGCAACTGCCCGCATGCGTTACAAGCGTGACAACAAACAGCTTGCCGCGGCAGTGGAGGATGCGAAGAAGCGTCTGGAGCAGCACAAGGCCCAGGCTAATATGGATTCGCAGGACCCTGTTGCCAAGGATCTGAAAACCGAAATGGATAAGGTACGACAGTTGCACGCTAAGCTGGAAGCGGTGCGCCAGCACCGTCTTGTCGTTGAGGAGGAGAGCAAGGCACTCTTCAACCAAGTGGTAGAAAAGAAGGCTGACCTGAAGTTTAAGTCTAAGATGAAGGTAAGCACTTGCTTCCATTGCGCTCATTCTTGCTGCGAGACTGATGCAGTTTTTGGATCACTGTAGATGGAAACGGCTTTGAGCGAGGTGGATGCCAAGATTAAGACGCTGAAGGAGGAACAAGCTTCGCTGTCAAAAAGCCTAGCTCTAAAACCTGAAGGCGACGCTCTACGCAAGATTAATGCTCGGAGGAACGACATCAGAAGCGAACTTGGTGCATTGAAGGAGAGGCGGACTATGCTACTTGCGGAGAAGCGAAAGCAAGAGGGTGTTGAGCTGTAGAGGTTTGCTAAGGAGCGCTAAACAGCGAGCTGTGTATGATGGTACCCCGTCTGAAGCCGGTTACAGTTGTTCGTCAATTTGGCATGATACTTGTTAAACAGTGTGAATTTCTTCGTATTCTCTCCACTTTATATAGTACGAGCCCTCACAAAAAATAATTTGATCGACATAGCCGATCGCAATACGGTTTGACCGTGCTATATGAACGTCGTGTTGTGCCTGTCTTACAGTCGCCGCTGCTGCAATAACTTTCTGTCTGAGTTGGCTCGATCCATCATGATGTCCATCTTTCCACCCGAGAGATGTCGAGCGATGAGCAAAGGGTATCGATGGCATTGTCCAGCATGTCGTCAAGCACGAATGCAATGTTAGAGCCGTAGCAGCTCACGTTAAGTACCTGCGTATCCGTATTGCAGCCCGACATTGCTGCCACCACACCAGTCTCATCGAAACCATACGCACGCCCACTAAGCTTAATCGCACGCCACCGGTCTGGTGATACGATCAGCGAGTCTTCCTCGAATGATGGCACACAGCGCTCATCCATGATAATGCTCACCTCCTCGGCTGTCTCGCAGCAGCACCAGAAAGACATCCCGCCTGTTTCGTGCAGCACTTCACCTTCAACTTCCCTCGATGCTGGTCCAGTATACAACAGCACGAGCTGCGTGAGCCCGTAAGCACTAGACCGAAGAGCGTCTTTCTGAAGTCTCACGAGAACGAGGGGCTCCGGATACACTATCGGTATATGAATTATGCCGCGGTCAGCAAGCAAAAGCAACGTGAAAGAATACAGGGCAAAACTCATACCTGTAAGGTACTGTCCATCTCCGACACAAAGAGGCACTGGAATACACGCTTTCTCACTACCTTCCACGGCATCTGGTGGTGACGTCGATTTACGGTTAAACAGTGCGTTATCTGCGTCCTTAGCCTGCAACCATCGCATGAAAAGATAATCGAAGTTAAAATCAGCTGCAGCAGCAGCAAACAATTGCAACATCAAGTCTGTACCTCCTTCAGGCCGTGTAATCCTCGAGATAGCATTGACTGCAAGCACGAAATCGCAGCCTCCAAGTCCTCTTCTTGCACGAAAATGACGTCTGTGTCGTATGTGCTCATGTTGAGAATACTAATGTGGTCATCCGCAAGCAGCTTGGACAGGAAACTCACGACACCAGGAAATTCTACCACCATAGATCCCAAGTGAATCTACATGATACGACGACAACGCAAATATATGAATTAGCCCTGACATCAACAGTCTCAGCTTTAGAAGTGCTCACCTGAACAGCTCGCCAAGACAGCGGCGCGATGGTAATTAAGTTCCCCATCCCCTGCAAATACACAAACAACCAACATTTAACATGGGCAACACACACACCTGTTAAAACGTTTAAGATTGCGGGATCTCGATGACAACCAAGTACCGCGCGCTTAAACATTTCAATTCCACTAGGGTCCATGAAAAGCGTGGCACCCTCTCGATCGGACACGATAGAAAAGATCTCTGTCTGCATCGAGCGACACACGTGGCTCTCCTTGCGTACGCAACTATTCTCAGTCTCATCAAAGCTGCAGCCACTGTAGAGCAACAGACTGATAGACACGATACAATCATATGTAACATAGAGATAGACCGATAACGTCAGTTGTAAACTTCTTTAACCATTTGCCTCGACTCAAACGCACACATTAAAAACTCACGCACTTGAGCAATGGCCAAGTACCGTGACGAATGTGCTCAGCCGGTACAAACACAACACTTACATGACCTGCATTATACAAACACACACACGCAATAGAAAGTCAATAATAAGTTTTTACTTTGTAAATAAAAGACGTACCTGGCAAGAGCGTTGCATGAAAGTTTGCTGTCGTTACGATGTCCATCGACTTTTTTTCAATTGACACTTTTATTTTTATATGGGATTTTGTATGGTTGCTGCCGACTGGTAGGTAGGTAGTCAATCATCTATTATCAAGAATCATGAGTGGGAACAAGAATCCGACCAACAAAAAACTAGAAGAGCTCGTAGAGAAGGCTGGTATTGTAAAGCATGTGTTGGAGGACCCAAAGCAAGTGGTATGTGACGATGTGTGGACAGAAGAGCGTGAGAGACTTGCACAGGCACATTTGAGTCAGGACAAGTCCGTGATTCCCGAATTCTGGCAGAGTACGTCACACGACGCGTGATGAGCAAACATTTGGATTCTTGTTAACGCTAGAGTGTTGTATGGTAAACAGACAAATACGAGAAGGAAGCCGCTAAGAGTTGGGATAAGTTTTACCAACGTAATTCCACTAATTTTTACAAGGACCGACACTATCTGCACTTGGTATTTCAAGACCTTGGTGTTATACCTGAAGCTTGTGAGACAAAGACACTTTTAGAAGTCGGCAGTGGAGTTGGGAATGCGGCACTGCCTTTGCTAAAGATTAACCCGGGACTTTACATTGTGGCCATTGACTTTGCAGATTCAGCCATTGAACTTCTAAAGGTGCGAGACGTCGACTTACTCCATGTACTGCAGGTTTTGTCTTACCATTTCTCTCTTTTATTTGGCTGATGTGAGTAGAAACAACCGTTGTACGATGAAGCTCGTGTAGCGGCCTCGGTGTGTGACATTACAAAGGATGCACTACCCGATGCGGCGTTTGCCAATGGTGGCGTGGACTTTGCGCTCTTTTTGTTCTGCTTGTCGGCTCTGCATCCAGACAAAATGAAGGATGCTGTAAAAAAGGTGGTGGCTGCAATCAAACCTGGAGGCAAACTTTTCTTCCGCGATTACGGCCGATACGACCAGGCACAGCTTCGTTTTCGCCCAGGTTGCAAGTTACAGGACAACTTTTACGTCCGTCAAGACAACACGCGGGCGTACTACTTCACGACGGAAGAAGTGGAGGATATTTTCAAGGAGGCAGGCCTTGTTGTATTAGAGAATGAGTACATCCGTCGCCAGTATGCCAACAGACAGCAGAATGTCGTTCGCTTTCGTGTATGGGTGCACGCTATCTTCGAGAAGCCTCTCCCCGTCGGGGGAATCGAAGCATGAGCGTAGCAGTGTGTACATCCGCCACCAAATACATTTCAATACGCAATTTTGGCAGGTTTGACGCCTACTTTGACTTTCTTCTAGGCTGCCAGGTGATGTAGCAAGTCTACAAAGACACAGGTGTCGATTTCCGTCACAAGCGTCACGTTGGCTTTTTCTGGAGGGCAATTTTCATCCCAAATGCTTGCCCCGCGCTTCTCGTCTGGAGCCAAGTGGATGTGACCTCTCACCGCAGACGCGGTCTTGATGTACTCTGGATGCAGAAGGATGGCGATGGCGTAGGCATCACAGGGGTAGAAACCTTCATGTTCGGACAAGGTCCGTGCAAACTTCCAGATCTTCTTCACGTACGCGCCACTAGCACTTGCTTTCTCATGGAAAATGTGGTCGAAGGTATCCCACGGAATCGAGTTGTCCAAGCACGTCTCGAATGGCACGACGTACAGCGTTCGGGCAGTGCAATGTTGGTAGACGATGTTCGTGGCCTCAGGATCGCAACCCACATTGAACTCGGCATGAGGCGTGTGGTTTCTCTCATTGCGGGACAGTCCACCCATAACGACAAGCTGCTTCACATTCGACATGAAGTTTGGGTCCAGCAGAATTGCCAGTGCAATGTTTGTGAGTGGTCCCACTGCCGCGATCACCAACTCACCGCTGTGTTTGTGGGCCAAGTCAATAAGCGCATGAACAGCTTCGTTTCGTCGTGCAGTGGTTAGTGAAGCCTCGACCTTGCCGGATTCACCACCAAGACCGTCCATGCCATGCCCCTAAAAAACATTGGACGACAGATAAAGAGATCAGAACATTTGCAATATGACAAAGTGCGATAGTCGTCTAACCTCCCACTTTTCCTCGGAAACGCTAGCAACGATCGCCTTGGACGCTCCACTAAAGACGGGAATATTTGACCGTCCTGCGGCCTTGAGAATGCTGTGAAGTACATTGAGAAAGTGTTTAGCCGTCCCAAATGTTTCAATTTTTCGTAACTTGTCGACGTACTGTGCAACATTGTGATTTGCTTGATGCACGTCTACATTTCCAAACACGGTAGTGATGCCTACCACTTGATCATCATTAGAAAAGGCATGAAGGGCCATGAGAATGGCCACCGCATCATCAGCGCCGGCATCGGTGTCCACTACAAGACGCATTATTGTCAACTATTGAATCTGCTGATGGGTTTTGTAGTACGCTTCAATGCTTATGCAGGTGGATTCCTGGAAACAAATCTTCAGGTGATCAAAAGAGACTATTAACAGATGAACAATTGATTTGATAATGATGGTCTAACATGTCCGAAGAATTATTGGTCATGTCTGTAGGTGCAGGTTCGTGTAGGCTGCCATATACATTGCTAGATATCTATTAGTCCACGGATTTGATTTTAGCGGTGGGCTCCCCTCCCTTGGCATACTGGATAGCAGCCATTAGATAGTCAATCACGTGGAAACGCAAGACCAAGTGGAAATGATCCCACCAATAGCCCAGCGATGCCCGTATTCCACCGTACCCTGCTTCAGCAGAAGCTGAGTGAAAGGTGGAGTGCCCGCTCACGGCATAATTTCCCATGATCGAAAAGCGCTCCCTGTTAATTGCAGTCAGTTTTGGTCAGTGACGACGGTTACATTCAGCACGACAGCAAACTTTGCACCTGGTTGTTCCTCCCAAGTCTTTATTCAGACCCCGAATCATGTTGTTTGTCCGAAAGACAAACAGCATATCCCTCGGAAGTTGCTCTAAAAAGTCGGTTACCTGCTTACCATAGTGATGCTAGTGAGACTACACCAAGCGTCTGCAAAGTAAACAAATACCATTCACAAGGCCTGAAGTACGTACATTCGAAAAACGCATACTTTTGAGGTCATCAGAAAGTTTCTTGCGCTCAGACTCACTCATTGCCATGTCCAGGCGTCCCTTGTGATCCATCGTCCGGTACGTAAACAGTAATGGTAAGTACTTGGCAAGTTCTCCAACGTTCAATTTCTTGCCACATTCGTCCAAAAAAACACTATCGCGCATTAGCATTGCTCTCCATAGGTCGCAATATGTTTTGCGAAATTCAGTGTCCAGCTCGCGGTATAGTCCATGGTCAAGCAAGACGAGCTGTTCTTTACGCTTGACTAGAGGGTCAGGATTGCGACGTACGAAGATGTTACCCGCATGTGGATCGCAGTGGACAAAACCGTGACAAAACACCATTTCGCTGAACACTTCACACAGCGAACGCGCAACTTCAGGCGGATCAAGGCCAAGTTTTCGGATGGCATCAATTTCCGAAATCTTCGGTGCACTGATGAACTCCATCGACATCATTCTCTTCGTGCTTAGCTCGTCGTACACGATAGGCACGTGGACGCTATTGTTGTGCTTAAACAAATCTGCAATACGCCGGCTGTTGTACTTTTCATTTTCGAAATCCAGCTATGAGTCAAAAATATGTGAAGCATCAGTGCAACAACGGCAACAATAATTCAAACAGCTCACGTAAACGTACCTCCGATAAGAGAGAACTCTTGAATTCAGGAAAGAGCCATTGGATCTGGACGTCAGGAAAATAGTACTCGATGAGCTGAAAGGCCCATTTGATGACTTGGATATCCGCTTTCATTTGCGACTTCAAATGTTGGTACTGGACTTTCACAGCCAAGTCACGTCCTTGGTGATCCACTGCATGATGTACCTGAGCTAATGATGCAGAAGCAATTGGTGTCTTGTCCAACTCTCTAAAGATCTGCTGCCAGGGTCGTCCCATCTCTACCTCAATGGTCTGCCTGACCTCCTCAAACGACACTGGTTTAGCCTTGTCCTGTAGCTGAGCCAAAGTCTTCGTGTACTCCATAGGCAGTCCATGGTTGAATGTGGCTACTTGCTGGCCAAATTTCGTGTAGATTCCACCGTTTTGGAAGCACAAGTGAAGAAGTCGCTGGGCGATGCGCTGGTTGAGACTTTTCAGCTTGAAAGCGTATTCAGGATCATCTTGTTCAGTGCTTTTGAAATGGAGTCGATGGTCCCAAACAACTTGACTCCCCGTCATAAATACACGTAGCGAGCGGGACACGATATTCCTGTTTTTTTGTCGAGAAAAAGTTAAAGCATTTAGTGATAATCATGAAGGGATACAATATAAAAACTGACAGCGCTCTTTAGTTACCCATTGGTTTCATCACCTATGTAGATGCCACCAGTAAGCAGTGAAAGTGCAGCAAACGATCGCCTTGGTACGGAGAGTAGGCGAGATGTCATGGTAATGTACTGTGTTACTCGAAATCAAATATCTCAATTACTAACTAGTACTGTCAAAAGTCGAGCATCTACCGGTATGACGTAGAAAGTGACGGTCGGTACCTGTCAACGCTGTCCAAATGAACTTGTCACACATGTATTACTCATATTACTGTACTACAACCATCCGATACTCTTTTCGTTGAGTATTCATCTCTTTGACCGAAAGTCAGCTCTTATATGCAGTCTGTTTTGCCGGCAACAAATTTACCGCTAGCAGAGTCTTCACAACCGCACTCGCTCGTATTAGGGTCCTTGATGCAATCGGTTCCATATCCGTCAGTTATACCCTTGTCACTGTTTTACAGACACACGTTAGAAACACGATTTCACTTTTCACACGAGATCTCAATGACTTACTTCCAGAAAAAAGTCCAGCAGTCATCATTGTCGAGCATTTCGTCCAGGGTTGGCTCCAGGCATACATAAGCATAGCAGGTGCCGTAAGGATAGCCGTGATTACCGTCGTACTGATGATCCGTCATGAATACCGCAAAGGTCTGATTCTCGTAGGTGCGGGTGTTGTGCGAGCACTCAGCAGCCTGGATAGCGTTAGAAACTTTCGTCGCATCGCATTTGTAGAAGCTCGGGCACTTGTTTTTGGTGTTAGACCGGGCTGGGTCAAGGGTTGCAGACACAAGGGCAGAGCTTGCGAGGAAGGCCAGGGTGAGAGTGAGGTGCATATTTGCTGGTGCTAGATTGGTGGGGTGCTTCTGTTGTTCGTCGAGTATTATAAGATGAAGTTATGGCTTCTCGCAGCTAGGCGTGGTCTAACATCATGAAGACTTATTGCACAAATATGCATGTGCTACTGCTAGATGAACTACAGGATGGTCATCTAGTTGATGACCATCCCGTACAGCGACTGCTTTTCGCCATTCTGTATAGCTGGCTACTTATGGAATCACTATCAGTTTGTCTTCCTGAGTTGGAGATTTAGCGTTTCGAATAACCCTGATAACTCAACTGCAAATTTATAAATAGTGAATATTCCGACTATGGCACGTTTTTTGCGAATGTCGACTTTGTTGACCATAGCCATGCCATCTGACAATGGCATTAGAGGGTGAAAGAACTCATGAAGTAGGTTAGGTTATAGCTGTTATTGGCATTGGAGGGTGAAAGAACTCATGAGTAGGTTAGGTTATAGCTGGTATTGGCATTGGAGGGTGAAAGAACTCATGAGTAGGTTATGAAGCTTTGACGATAGTGTTTTTCATCGACTTTGGTTTTATGGTGAGGTCGGCGATCTCTTGGATACCTCGAACTGGTCTGTTTCGTGCACTTGCTTGCCAGTTTGCAGCATTTAAAGCAATAATAGGCGGTATGAGTGAGTCCGCTACATGCTGCATATGACCATTGTCTGTTACTGATACGCATAGCGATCTTCGCGACTCCTACTACGCTCTGATCAGTCGCTTCGAGATGGTCTGTTATCAGCACGACCATGGCCTCACTCCACCTGTAACGGGCAAATGTTACACGAATGTGTTAAGTATGTGATACGTAACGGATGGGAGGTCTGAAAAGGTATCTGGCACATCAATGTGATCCACCCTCGTGAATGTGATATCCATTGATGGAACATTTAAGGGATGACGCCCAGTTGGGACTAGGCGTCATGATGACGTCACAAATGGACATCATCAGCGAGCTTAAATATATTTCAAGCTCGCACGTATGGATGCGCATCTATAGAGATGGCATCCAATCATTACATATCAAGCAATCAGTAATTAGATTTATATTTACTTATTTTCCATTAAATATAAATCAGTCTTGAATTCGCTAAGCCAACGCTCACTGCGCACGAGAAGCTGAACAAGCTTCGGCGTGGTGTAAGTGAAGCTCTTGCTTAGAAGTTTGTTACGCGGCTCTCTTCGGCGACCAGCAGTGGTTGTTGCAGTGCTTTAGCGCTGACCAACACCACCGCCACCGCACTCGGAGGTTTGACGGTTTAACCGCTTTCTTTCTTGTGCTGAAGGTATGTGCTTAGTAGTACGCGGAAGCTTCCTAGAAGTGCCCGTATCCACTTGGTAGCACTAGTAGTCCTTCCCACGACCCGTCTCTCTGAGCGTGCATGTGAGTGAGGATGGGCCTCAGTATGGATTGGGGGGATTTTCCTCACTTTTCCCAACATCATAGGGAGATGGCTGAGCATTTGGCGCAGGGACTTGGTGAACAAGTCCTGGTCAATCTCTTGAATTGTCCTCCTGAGCAACATGTTGCTCAGTTAAAGCAATTCAAGGCATTTGTGCTTGGACAGCGTAGAAACATGTCCGAGGCAAACAACCAAGCAACGGCTGAGTCCATCAGTAACACTTAGGATGAGCTTTTGCGTGAGCAAGCTCGGAACGAGGCGCTCAACAGAACTGTTGAGACGCTCTCTGCCCGGTCTTATCAGCCAAGGCTCATTCGGATGGCTCCATCGAGGTTTGATGGGACTGTCCCACATGCGATTGTCCACTATATTTTAGCATTGGAGCAATGCGGTATGGCGCAGATCATCGAAGACGACACCAGGATGGTGTAGTATGCGATGTCAAATTTGCGTGGCAAAGCGTCAGAGTGGTCTAACTCTGCGCTTATGGCAAACGTCGATGCGTTTCCATCATGGGCGATCTTTTAAGTCAAAGATTCGCGCCATGTAACAGCCGCCTAACAACAAATTGTTACTTCAGGCACGCTTCTTTGGAGCACGACAGGCAAAACGATCTCTTCAGGAGTATTTGCAGGAGATGCGTTTGCTGTCTGCACCCATTAATGTGGGCTCGATACCGAAACACATTAAGGTGCCTACGTTCATGAATGGACTACGGCACGTCCCATCGCGTCAGGCTCTTTTCAGAAAGGTGCCAAAAACGATGGAGGAGGCAATTGAAATCGCCATGGTTGAGGAGCAATCCTACAACAGCGTCTCGGCGACAGATTATTATAAGCCGTCGGCCGAGAGGTCGGATGCCACTCCAATGAAGTTAGGCAATGCAGATGTCATCTGCTACAAGTGCGGCAAGCGAGGCCATATGATGACTCGCTGCTATGCCAAACTTGCTGCTGGTGCTAAGGCAGCCAGCAGAAAGGCTCACTACCCTAAGGGAGGTGTGAAGAATCAGCGTGCACGACGCACGGGTTCAGCACCTGCCCAAGATGGGTCGGGAAATGTGGGAGCGAAGTAGGGGCGGGATGCCCTACTGTCGCGGACTCGAAAGCTACCCCTATGTTCAGAGTTATCGAACAAGTGGGTAGCAGAGTACCTGAGGTACCGAAAGGTCGGACCTCAACAATTTTGGTCTATAGCGCTCTAGTACGAGGCTACGACCAAGTGATGACCATTCTCGTGGATTCGGGTGCATCACAGAATTTTGTGAAACTCGCGAATCTGAAAAAGAGACCGGCGAGTTATGAGTCGCTTTGCCAGATTGGAAAGCGAGAAGAGGAGACCGTTCGTTTAGCGAACGGCGCGCTCGTTAAATCGGAGGGAGTTCAAGTTGAACTCGCCTTCAGTTTCAGTGACTTGTCTTGTAAAGAGAAGTTCACAGTGCTAGGTATGGAGAGTCCGTATGACCTCATCCTTGGCATGCTTTGGATGGCTAAACACCAACCATGGATAGACTGGCGTACATGTGGTGAAGTGCTAATTTTGCGATGTGGAGGTCCCAGACTCCAGTTGGATTCGGAGTATAGGCCGTGGGTCAGAGACAGGGGACCAGAGAGACAGGGGCCTCGAAGGGGAGCGACCGTTGGTGGAGGACAATCCGCGGAGACCGCCGAAGAAAAATCAGTATCAGGGTACCGGTTAACCGGTACCAAAGGGAGTTGATCATGGCCGCTCATTGATCGACCTGGCCCCTCGTTGGTAGACCCGGGTCCCTCATAGATAGACCCGGGTCCCTCATCGGTCGACCCAGTCCCTCATTAGTAGACCTGGGTCTCTCATTGGTAGACCTGGTCCCTCATCAGTCGACCCAGTCCCTCATCGGTCGACCTCGGCCCCTCATTGGTTGACCTGGGTCCCTCGTTGGTAGACCTGGGTCCCTCATCAGTCGACCCCGGCCCCTCGGGGTTCAGCCACTCCGGACCAGCTAAGAAGGATCAGACCAGTCGACGCAAGGAATCAGAGCTTCAGGCAAGGATAGAGTAAAGGAGCTAAAAGGATAGGACTATATTAAATACTACTCAATTTGCGATCTACGTGGCACGACTCCGTCACCCAAGAAGGACTTGTTCTAAGTTACTCACTGTTCCGGGAAGGAATATATTTTGGCCCCCCGTCGAAGACAATTGTGTAGCGAAGTTCAAGGGCGAATAGAGCTCCAGGATATATTTGGCCTGTGAGCTCGTTCGAGTAGCAACACCCCCCCAAGACCCGCTATCGGAAGCGGCCTCCCTCGCCTCAAGGTCCGGGAGCAACGTAAAGGTCAGGTGGTTGATACCCCTGAAACACGAAGGAAAAGGCCAGGGACGACAAGCGCCCCTGAAGAATTTGGCTCTAAGTCCACTCTCGACAAGGTCGATCGAGTGGCCACCTACCGGCCCACCGAGTGAAGCATATCCACTCGAGGCCCCCCAGGTCTACCTCCCTCAAGGCAGACATCTACATCGTCACCAAGTCCTCCGAAGAGTGCAGCCCGCCAGCCGACGGGTACACAAGGTGAGAGAAGGTTCATACGCGGCATCGGGGTACCCCCTCCGACAGTCGGCAGTCCGGCACAGTGAGTGGTTTGGGGTCTCATCATACAATTTTAAAAACCCACTCCACCACATGCACGCACAGTTGATATATCTACGAAGGACACCGGAAAAGATGTGCTCCTGCGAGAGGCTTATGTGACTGATGCTGTATCCAACACAGTCGAGGGTGCGATGACGGTATGTCAATTGACACCAGGTACTACCCAGCTCGTGGAGCCTGGAGTAGTTAAAGGTATTCTGACATAAATTCAGGTAACAAATATTTATAACTAGCTTGAGGAGACTGGTGCAGTGAATGGGCGATGACAGGTAATCATTCGTTCTATGGTCCTTCACAGAGCCGAGATCCTGTGGCAGTTGGGAAAAGTGCGCTGGTTATAACAGCAACGACACCTTCTTCCAGGGTAAAGGTCGTGGTGACTCGAACAACGAGGGTCAAAAGTATTAAGACGATCAAGGGCACGTCGAAACGAGTGACCCATGGATCAGTCTCGGCTCAAGAGGACGGACTTACGAACAAGTTGTTTGAGGTCGTCGAAGACAAGATGCCGGAGTCATCCTCAGTTGAGGTGCTCCAACTTGTCTTGGCATCTGCCGAGGAGATAGTAAATCCCTCGAAGATGAAGTGGGATCTGTTCCTGTCCAAATTAAAGGAAGGGAAGATCCACGAGATAGTCGCACCAGTTCCAGTAAAAAACGTGGTAGACTGTTGCTCTTCATCCACAATGGATGAGAGCGTCGTGGAGACCGACAAGAAGAAGCGGTTCGCTGCTCAAGGCTGGGAAGCCTTGAAGGACAGCCCGTTCTATGATGTTCTGTGAGAACACCGTGATGTTTTTCCAGCAGAAGTGCCGAGCCGCCTACCGGCCGACTGGGGCATCAGGCAAGAGATTGACCTGGAGGCTGGCACCAAGTATTGTGTGACCAGGCAATGGCCGTTGCCGAAGGAACAAGTCGATTACATCGATGAGTTCTCGACAAGCGAGCTAAG